ATAAATATTACTTCTAGAGTTAAATATAGTATTTATATTTCTTTATTTATTACTTAACTATAGCCTTATTAATTTTTATATAAAAGGGTTTTATAATAAATTTAAATAGCCTTTCTTTTCCTAGGCTTAATAAATATATTAAACTAGCTTTATATTAGGTCTAGTAATAAAAGTATTTACTAAATTTTTATACTTTTTAATAATATATTTACTGCTTTAATATAGTATATAATCTAATGCTTTATAGTTATTATAGTAATAGGCTCTTTTATATTTCTAGTATATAAGTATTTTCTTAAAGTATTTATTATTTTATAGTAAAATAATTATTAATTTTTTTCTTTATTTTAGCTTTTCTACTTTAATAAATGCTTATAGTATATTATAGTATATAAGGTTTTAATTAAATTTAATATTTTTAACTTTATTCTAGCTTTAGGCCTTTACTTTTATACCTTTATTATATAATTTTATTTAAGTATTTACTTTTCCTTAAGTAATTAAGTTTTTTTTTTATTTTTAATAAATATTTAATAAAAAACTATTTAATTTTTATAGGTTTTAAAATAATAAAAAAAGCCTTTATTAAAATTATATTAAATTAATTTATAAATATAAAAAACTTTTTCTTTAGTGCCTGCTTAAAATATTTTAACTTTAAAAACACTGCTGTTATTTAAGTCTTTCTATCTTTAATATAAAAAGTATATTACTTTATATATTTAAAAAAAAAATAATTTTAAATCTTTAATATTTATTTATTTTATATCTTAATATTATTATATATTATTTATAAATTTATAATTAATAAACTAAACCTTTTTTATATTATTTAAATATTTTTATAAATATAAATAAAATATAGATTTTAATTAAATTTAATAATTTATAAGTTTTTACTATAAAGCTTTATTAAATTTTAATATAAAGATATTATAAAAGCTTTTTAGCAAAGAGCTTTTTATTAATTTACTAGTAGCTTGCTTTTTTAATATAGAGGCTTTAATATTTCCTTAAGTATAAAAAAATAAATCTTTTTTTTATTTTATAAAGTCTTTTATAGCTTATAACTTATATTTTTATAGCTAACTAGCTTTTATATTAAACTGCCTCTGCAGGTTTTTTTTTTCTTTATTAGCTCCTAAAGTAAAAAAAAGCTTTTATATATTAATATTTACTTATATATTAAAGATAATAGGTTTTAAGCTAGTAGATTATAATATATATAAAGCGCTTTTGCTTTAAGCCTTTATTTTAATCTCTATTAGTCTTTTTCCTTTTTTTATTAAAAAAAATAAAACTATTATAATCTAGGTTTTATAAAAAAAGTAATAAAAAATTAAATAAAGCTAAGTATATCTTTATTATTAAATAGCTATTAAATATTATTAAAAAACTATATTTATCTTTACTTTTTCTTTATTTTTTATAAAAAAAAGTCTTTTTTTTTTATACTTTCTTTCTTTATAATAATTAGCTTTTAGCTAGTTATATTAGGCCTTCTATTTTATATCCTTAGCTAAAGACTTAAAGTTTATTAGCATGGTATAGAATATTTATTTAAGCTTAGAGGATAATAGCTAATTTCTAGCTAGTTATATCCCAGCTTCTTTATTGCCTGATATTATAGCTATACTTTAATATAGAGTATACTTTATTAATTTCTTATAACTAAGTCTAGCTACCTTTAAAATTAAAGATTTAAAACTATAGATCTAGTATAATTGCCTAGGATATTTAAATAAAGAAAGAATTAAATAACTTATAAAAATATCTACTAGAATTAAATTTATTATACTAAGAATAACTTGTAAATTATATACTAATAGAAAATAAAAAAAATAACTATATATAGGCTTAATTAAAAAAGGAATAAAGCTATTAAAAAGCTTATATATAAATATAGCTAGTTTTTTCTCTATCTAAGGATATAATAAAAGCAGATATTAAATAGTATTCCTAGATAACTATATATAAATAAACTGGGTTTTTTTATTTAAATAAAAGTTAAATTTCTTTTTTATTTTTAAGTAATTACTTAATAATCTAAAAATGCCTATTTATTATTATTAATTTTTATAATTTAATTTAAGTAAAGAAAACATAAGTAAAATAATATTAGCCTATTGCAGTAATAAAAGAATAGAAGTTATTTATACTAGCATAAATTAATATTAATAGAATAAAGTAATAAAAATACTTTACTAAATCCTTTTAAAAAAAGTAACTTTAATTATAATTAATAAAAAAATAAATTATAAATAATAGCCTTATATCCTTAAAATAGTAAATTACCTATAGATAGTTTTTTTAAACTTAAACTTATTTATAACTTTATATAAAGTATAGTATAAAAAGAAACTAAATCTTTTATACTTTTATATATTAAAATTAAAAAAATAAATAATAATAAAAAATAAAAAAATATAACCTTAAGCTATATTTTATTAATTTATTAGTTATTAAAGAAATTAAAACTATATAGTAGTATAAAATAGTATAGTTAAAGCTTTATTAAATATTATTTTTTAAAAAGATTTATAAAGTTAAGAAATAACTAAAGCAGAGACTAATATAAAAATATCTTTACCTTTATTATTATATAGCCTTATAAAAAATAAAATTACTACTATAAAAATAGCCCCTTTTATATATACCTTTAAAAAAAAAATAGTAAAATAGCCTGTTACTTTTATAAAGTCTTTAATAAAAGAACTAAATACTTTAAGTAATATACTTTTAATTATAGAAGTTACTATAAAAGCTGCTTTAAGTATTATAGTTAAATTTAATAACTTAATTAAGGCTTTTTAACTTTTTACTTAGATAATAAAAGCTTTATAAAGACTTACTTTTACTGCTTTACTAGTTAATAAAGATCTAGAAACCTACTATAATATAACTATATTAAAGAAATAAAAATATTAAATAAAGGCTATATTTAATAAAATATACTCTTTTAAAGAAAATAAAATATAAAAATTAATTAATCTACTATTAAAAAAGACAGTACTTTAAGGAAAATAAATATATAAAATAAAATAAAATACTAAAAATATTATAGTTTAATATAAAGCTTAATATATTATTAAAGAATTTAATTAAAAAGAAAAAATTAACTACTATAAGATTTTTATATTAATAATAAAGTCTATAAGCTATAAAATATTATTTATACTTACAGTAATATAAAATTTAAAAATTAAATAAATAAATATAAAAACTGCTTTTTTATATAAAGAAATAAATAAAGAATTATATATTAAATAACTTAAAGGATTTAATAATTAATTTAAAAAAGTCTATTATTTAAATAAAGCACTATATAGACTAAAACAGGCACTATAAATCTAGTATTAAACTCTTATAAAATTCCTTTAAAGCATAGGCCTTAAATTTATTTCTATAAATAAAGGAATTTTTATAAAACTTAAAATAATAATAATAGTTTATATAAATAATCTCTTACTTATTAAATTAAATATAATATAAATATAGAAAATTAAAAATAAATTAAATAAAGAGTTTTATATAATTAACTTTAAGGCTTATAAATATTACTTAAGCTTTATTATTTAAAGAGATTAATTTTAATAATAAATTAACCTTCTGCAGAAAGGCTATATTTAAAAGATATTATAATAATATAATATAATAAACTATAACTCTATAAAAACTTTAATATAATTAAATAAATTAAATATAAATAATAGTTTAAATATAATAAAGGAAAAAAAAATAATTTATATAAAATAATTAAAATCTTTAATATAAATAATACTAGGCATTAGATTTAATATTGCTTTTTTAATTTCTTTCTATAGCTGTTTTTTTAATAATTTAAAGTTATTATATAGATAAATTATTAAAAAAATATTTTAATATTTTAAAAGTATATAAAACTATAGCCTAATATTTAAAGGTTAACTCTTTCCTTTATAAGGCTATATAAATATTAATTATACTAGTAATAAAGCAAGCAGATAGTTAACCTAAGGCTATATCTTTAACCTAGGATCTAGTATAATTAATTAATTTTTAAAGAAATAAACTATAATAGTATTATTAACTTATAAAGCTAAATATATAATATAAATATAAGTAAAAAAAGAAGCTATCTAGCTATAAAAATTAATTATAACTCTTGTACTTACTTTATAACTTATAATAAAAATAATAAATATTTATATAAATAATTAAAGGGCTTAAACCTTTATAAACAATCTAAAATATTATAACTATATTAAATATATTAATATTTAATACTATTAAATTAAAAAAAAATTTAAAAATAAAAAAATTAAATTATTATATATTTCTTTAGTTAATAAAATTATAAATAAAATAATTAAACTACTGCTAGCTAGGGTATTCTTTAAGTTTAAGAAGGCAATTAAAGTTAAATAGCTATAATTTAGTAAATTAAAGAACTTTTTAGCTTAAGTAAAAGACTAAAACCTTAAAATTAACCTACCCTATATCTTTATTATTAACCTATTCTATATCCCTTCTTTATCCTTATTTTAACCTCTTAATTATTAAAGGCTATAATAAAAGGTAAGTTAAAGAAAGATATAAAAGGCCTATTTATATTATTAACCTATAGCTAGCTTAAGTAGGAGTATTAAATAAAGAAGCGCTAGTCTAATTTTACTACATGGGTTATATAGATTTTATATATATAAGAGGTCCTGTCTCCCGACTTCTCCCTTATATAAAATAAGACCTTTTAATATAATTAATTTAACCTCTATTGTTCATCTTTCCTATTGACAATTACATCATTTAGTTGCGAAATACAATTGTCTGGGCGTTGCTCTGTATATGTTGGCCGATGCTGCGCATACTCTAGGTGTTTTGTACCGCTCTATTGCTCTAGATATTAGTTCGTCATGCGGCGCCAAGCCCAACTATTTCCCGAATACTCCGGTCTGCTCTCACTATATAAAGCCTGGATGGAAATGCTTTTTTCGACAAGAATCGTTAACACCAATACAATACGCATTCAATCTCAAAGAGCATCAAAACAACACAAAATAACACATTATACTGCTATTAATATATTATTACACTTCACTTTTCCTTTACTTTTGAAAATGACTCTGGAGCAAAAGAATAAGAAAATTGTTACCGAATATTTTGACCGCTACTGGGTCAAAGGCGATGTTTCGGTAGGTCATCATCTCATATGTCATTATACAATGAATGAGACAATCAAATGATACATTATAATAACCTGTAATAGGTAGTGGATGAGCTTTGTTCCGATGATTTCATCATGTCTTATCCTAACCATGGGCCACGACATGGGAAGGAAGGGGCGAAGAAAATGCTCTCAGAGTTTATGCAGGTAATTCATTTTGTCATTTATTCAATCCATCACATCAAGGTCTAAATAAGGATATGGCAACAAAAACTAACACTGGCACTCAAAATAGGCATTTCCAGACTTGACATTTAGGCAGTATCAAACGCCGTTAATTGCCGAGGGAGATTATGTAGCTGCCCAGTGGGTTGGGGGAGGAACTCACACCGGAATTGCCTTTGATGATATGGCTGTTGGAAAGCTTGCTTCACCAAATTCCGGAAAGAAAATCTACTTTTCCGGCATGACAATTTTTACATTGAAAAATGGTAAAATTGTAAAGGAAATCGCTGAAGAAGGAGGGTTGACAGTGCTTCAACAGCTTGGCCTTGTTCCCCAGCCGAATCCTGGTAAAGAGATCAAATGGGATGCAGAGGGCAATCAAATCTACTAGCCAACTTCTCTTTAGGTATATTCTGAAAAAGGGAATAGAATCGTGGTAGAGTAGCTTCCAGAAATATGCACTTTGTAAATCAATTTACCTATTGACTTGCTGCTTGAGTGGTGTTCAGTAGACTGAAACGGTCCAAATATACAGCTACTATTAACAATGTTGCTATAAATGCAAATTCAAATTCATCAGTTAACTCGAACTGCATACACTTATTATGCCTAGCACTCGCACAGCCTTATTAGCACCTAGACCCCGATGTAGGCTAGGTTCTTTAATCCGCTGGGTGATTCTTGTGCCTGGCCCGATGAGGCGGCTAGGGCCTGTAATTTGCCTCCCCAGGAATATTCGTTGGAGCGGGCCTTCTAACCTCTCCACCCGATGACCCAGAGGTGCGGAGAAACTGTGCAGTGTAATTGGCGGCGAATGCGGGGGATGGCAAGCAAACTTGCGAGTTCCCGTGGCGTACGCTAACAAGGAACAAACCTGGGGTAGCAAGTTACAAAGCAACAGCTGCAGCAGGTAAATGCAGAATACAACCCAAGTAAGCGGCGCTAGGGTTTTGCCGCTTCAAAAGCAACTGCATACCAGTTGAGTATATTTTAACAGCTATTCGCGGGAACTATGGCGATACAGGTGAATGGTTACCTATGCGAGGGTGTGGTAGCTTTTCCATTCATGGTTGACATTTGCGAGCAACACAGAAGCCAGGCAATTATTGATGTTGTCTGGTAGTAGAGTATGATCATTTATAATAGAATTCCGCGGTACGCAGTTTGCTCAGTCCTAGTATGACGTAGGAAGGCGTGTTTTGATGAAATCGTCGCTAATATCGGGCGACCTGTCCAATATATAAAGGCCTTCTTAGGACAAGGAGACGTACTGTGAATACAGTTCGTGCGACATCACAGACAAACATTAACGAAGAGACATATTACACCCAACTATCTACCTTCTATCATCATGGTTTATCCAGCTATCGAAGTCACCGTCGTCACTGTTGGAAATCGCACGATTGAAGATGAATCAACAGAGGATGGACAGAAGTATATGAAGGCATTTCACGCAGCAGCAACAACTATTCCTGGGTGCTCCCGTGGATGTTGGGGCAGAAGCGATAAATACCCAGACAAAGTTATTCATTTTATCGGTACGTTTATGATGTCCTACGAAAGAATAAGATAATAAGGATCCGTCTAATATATAAATTCTATAATAGACTATGATACGCGCAAACATCATGATGTTCATAAAGCACTTATTAATGGACCTACACCACCAATTCTTCTGGATGTCCAAAGCAATGAGACCGTCTACGTTATTCACCCAAATACGAATGATCGCAACAAGGTTTATTATGCTCCATATACTACAGTTACTTTCTTTTGGGGAATTGAAGAAGATAAATGGACCGATGCTGCACCAGAATTTTTTGCTGCTGTAGCTAAATCCGATGGCTGCACTGGGTATATATGGGGTGAAGTAGATAAGCCTATTCTCTCCGACTTTGACGGATATGCTTCGTTGGGTAGCGGGAAGTGTGGAGTTTTAATCACTGGTTGGCGCAGCAAAGGTCAGCACGATCGCGATATAAAGAGTGAGCGAGTTGTCAATGCTTGGGAAGCAGTTGGCCGATGCTGTGCCAAGGCAGACGATTGGGGCACGAGCTTGAGGATCACTGAGAATACCGGTCATATTCACCGATGGACTACACCTTTGCCATTGAAGGATCGTTCTGACTGGCTTCCGGCGGCTGGGATGATTTAATCCAGATAGTTTTACTATTGAGACCAAGTATATAGGATTATGAGAATATGAAAGGCATCTTGCAGAAGACTCTGGATAGCGTTTCCGAGACCGCAAAACCATTGTGATGATCCGCAAACTATCACCATCCACAGTTTCAGAGCAGGGAACTCAGGAGCTTCCAGAGCGAGACGGCATCTATTTGAGGCTCATCGAGGCCCAGGAGCTGTCTGTCCTCTTCTTGTCATCTGCTCGCCGAAAGCGACGCAACTTCCAAGGCACGGAAGAGACCTACTTATCTGTTACTAAGCCTGTTGCCCCATTCAATGTTGGAAGATCTGGATGACTTTGAGAAGTACCCAGTGGGCCGTTTCTATAGCTGTGTCTTGCATGTCGCCCCTCGCGCGCACAGCCCGGAGGTGATTGTATGGTACATCTTACTGCTTTGCCATGTGTTGGAAGAAGTGTATATTAAAAACTTGCTTCTCAGAAAGATTATAGACATCCTTGCTGTTAACGACCCTAGATCCTAAGCCAATCTTCTTTCTCCGATGCTTTTTGTCCTGTCCCTCCGATGCCTAGCGTGCTACTGCATCTTGTGCTGGACAATGAAGCCCCATTGCCAACTTGAATTACTGCTACTTTAGTGCCATTCATAAGCAAGATAGTTAATAGCTTTCTCAGTCACTTTTGCGATAAGATCCGCTCTTCTTTAACCAGCTTGAAAGCACTATTGGCGCTCTCAGCTACCAGCTAGACTCAACTGGCTTCCGATGGGAATAGATGAAATAATAGCAGGCAAGACACGATCGCTTTCTGAGGGAAATGCTTCACGCAAATAGTAGGCAAATGTTGCGATATTGTAAATCATTGAAAGGATTTTCCAGTGCGGTCATCAGTGGTGCGAGCGGCGTGAGTTGAGCCTCTGGTGATAGACGATCCCCGGGTCGTTAACCTTGGACATTTGTGAAGCTCAAGATAGCTTGTCGACGGTATATCATATCCTATACGTGGCTGTTAGTGTCAACTTGCTAGTAAATCGAGGCATCCTATTTTCGGCATAGTCGATGAACTGATTGATAAAGAGGATATTCCATGGCGATGCAGTCGTACGACAGAATGCCGTGTCCACTGAGTTAGGGACAAGGGTCAAAAAGCGATTCGTACTTTGGAGAGAAAAGGAGGAGGGTCAGAGAGGTGGAGAGAGCCGTTTATATATGGCCGAAACCCCCTAACGTGGTAGCAAAGGGGGAACGCGGGACGGATAGCGCAACGTTTCGGAAAGAAGCACAATGCACAATGCGCAGAAGAGCTCTGGAGTTCCAACAAAGGAAGGAAATGGCATTATCTCGATCTGTGAAACTGGGAGTCACCTGCATAAAGCAAATCAGCTACCAGTCGAAAACGGCAAGAAGTCGTAGATCATCACAAGGGAGCTTGGGCTCACCGGAGTGAATGGAGCTGAGGGCTGAGTTCAATATCCTCCTCTCGTCTTCATACTTCCATGCAACTTTCCTCTGAGAGTCACGAATGGTGGAAAGTTCCGTGTTGAACAAATTACTTACCGCCATGACACATGCCAAAGCCGTCGTCCTCAAGGTTGGGTGGTATGTCCAGCATCTGCTGATTGAAACTAGACCAAACGACTGGGAGTTGGGAGCTGAATTCGAGATTGTGAAGGAAGACGCATAAAAACAACAAGAATAAAAGAAGAGGCAGAAGAGGAAAAGAAAACAGAGGCATAGGTCCCCAAGGACCAGCAGCTCTGGATTGTGTGTTTGTTGGTTCCGTGCAATAGTTGTCGGCTGCCAGCTGCCGGTTATGATTCATTCACCTACGACTTAATTTTTGCTTATTGTACAGTAACTTGGGCTCTGCCTCAAATTTTATTTTCGCCATAGTAACTTGGGCCTCGAACCGCTGAATGGTTTTGCCCGTTTTTCTGCATCTTAATACACATTCTGCTTAGATAATATCCTGATACAAGGCAGAGAGCATCTGAAGTTACAATCGAGCATCGCAAGATGGGTTTGGCAGTCCATTGCGAAACTCTGAGTCCCCTCTCTGTAGGTCTGTATTTTCCTTTCACAATCTATAGGTATCATTCCTTGACATTTAACTATTTATCGACAAGTGGAAAAGACTAGCAACCTGAATTCGCGCATCGTATATATGCCTCTGCTTTTCTTTATAGCAGCCGATAGCGCGCCTATGAGCAACTGCGCCTGAACAGCCTTCGAAATTTCGCCGCTGTACAGTGAATCGCTTCTGGAGAGAGAGCCTCTCACCCACTATCGTTCGACAGGATTACCATGACTGAAAGAAAACTATGCCAGAGACAGAAGACCACACATATCAAAGCTCCTCGCGAAGGACCAAGCGGAAGTATATCGCTATCAACTACTACGAAGACCATTCCGATGAAGAAGACGAAGAAGAAGAGTTCCACCCATATGAAATGGAACATCAAAATATCGATACTAAGACCGAAGAAGACTTTTTCAACATGGCTGATCGCCAAGTCGCAGAGCAGGCAGCCTATCAGGAGGCAGTAGATCATGCTGTAGCGTTAGCAAATCGATTTACAAGCTACCACAATTTACATGTGGACCGAGACTTGCTTGGACAGCCAGAAAGAAATTTATCCGAGGGGAGTGAAGCGCTGAATTCCGGCGAACTACCCAAGACTATTGATAAATGGGGAGGGTGTGAATTGGTTGCGGAGAGAGATGGAACCTTCACGTTGTACACTGAAGGGGGTGAAAGGCTACTTAAAAACATCCTATCAGACCAGATGGAAGAACTCTTCGTGATGGAGGAACGAGATGGGTTTATTACCGCCAATTCTATAAAAGAAGACCGTTGGATAGTTGCAAAGGTACTGCCCCGTGCGAGAAACCTTTACAAGGTTGAACTCCTAACTCCTACTGCCAACAAACGAAAGTCGCAGACCAAGGAGAATTTTTACACGTCATTCTCGATAAATACAGACAACTACGACACTGCTGAGAATGAAGAAGGACAGAGGCGGGCACTTTCTGACATGGGACATGCAAGTACAGGAGCAGTATATATTGGCTACTCGATGTATATGCTGGGCCCAGTCTTCGTAAGGCCCCCCTGACAAGGTGGTCTTTCCAGGACCTTGAAGTATGTTAAGTACTGAGGTTGAGTAGAAAGAAGTAATGCAAGGTACTCACCTAGCAGCGTGGAACCTGTGCAATGTCGGCACTCCCACAATCGCTTGCTTGGAGATGGTAGATGTAGCAGAGATAGCAGAATCTGAGGAATGCTGTTTCCCAATGCTCAGCCATTAATACCCGACATGTTCCATTCCGTCTTGCCTGCTCCAGGGCATCTGTTGACGAAGTAAATGCCATTCTTGACGACACTCTGCACCTCGTAGGCATCCATGTGAACCTTGTTGAATTTGGCAATTTTTTCCAGGAAGATTGGTTACGCTAGGTACGCAGTAGTGCTCGGGTTCGTAGGAGGGGGTATTTGCCAAGGAGATTGATATCTCCAAATGTCTCCAAGGATCGTCTCTTCCTGGGCCTCGCAATGAGGTTCGGCGTCGTTGGAAGGAGTCGTCAGAGCAGTCACCGGTGTCGAGAAACCCGGTTGCGGTGTGTCTGGAATAGGTAGCAGGTGCTGGCGGAAGATTAATCTCGACCAAGGTCTGTTGATGGTATAAATTGCGCTACTATTCATCTCGGTTAGCTGGGTACATATGTAATTTGAATAGCCGATTTCAGGAGCCCTGCTTGTCTTCTAGGCAGCGCCAATAGCTGTAGAATAATCTGCCTAGGCATAGTCTCCTGGAGTTTTGTTTACACCAGCACTGCATTCGAGGCGAAATGACAAACACGGAATATGGCTGACGCATCATAGACGGCACGGTATGACGGGTATTGGCTCAAGGTAACAAGGTAAATGGAGGTGAGAATAGAGTGTGAAGCCACAAATGTTCGGCCAAAACCACCCATCTGCCGTCATCTGGCGCAAAAGTCCAAATGGCACACATTTTCTCGGGGAAAGAACTATGGGACGCACAAAACGACTCGAAAACACTAGCAGCAGATGAAAATAAAAATTGTACAGTTGGCAGCCGGTCCGACCAGAGACTGGACGACGTCTACACTCACCATCGGCCCACGTAATCGATCGTACGTAGATCTCGATCGCATGTTAAACGTCTTTGCTACCTCCATCAATTACGAGTGAGTACCTATGTATTGAATGGCGCTGTACCCGAAGCGTTTTATAAATGGCCGATTGCTGACAGCTTTCGAGCTTTGTGTACAAATTGCCTTCGTGCTGCAGCATCATCGGTGATTTAGCACAGAAAGGAGCGCTTTCCTGTTGATTATGAGCCGCTTCCCGCCCATAAGATCAGAGCAGGACTTTATAGTGAGGATTTTGTGTTGGAAAATGAGGGCAGTAGCGGGGTTGAAATATGTCTGTGGACCAGAAAAACAGACTGGCTTCTCACTTTGAACATTTCTTCTTCGCCACCAGGGCAAACCCCAGCAAAGCAATGAAAAAGAGAAAAAAAAAAAGTGAGTGCCAAAGATTTTTGCGTTCCCTTCTCCGAAGATAAGAGGGAACGACTTGTCTCTTCCTCGAAGAGATCCCACTCAGATGAGATGGTGAAGAGAAATTCCCTCCTCCGAAATGTAAAGGAAATGATGTACTCTAAGACTAAGCCTTCTCGGAAGAGATGGGCTTAGTGACGTTCCCCCCTGCGAAATGTAAGGGGAACGATTGTAATCCCTCCTCCGAAATGTAAAGGGAGAATAGTCTCTATGTAGAATAGACCCTCAACCCAAATGAGATGAGGAAAAGAACTTCCCCCCTCCGAGATGGGGGGACAAGCCTCCTCCACAGAAGAGGAGGAGATATGAAGAGGAAGAGGAAGAAAGAAGAAGAGGTGGCAGACGACGAAATATAAGTAGAGAGTGGGGTAACTGGCTAACGTACAATAATTAATGTCATTGGCTAAGAAGTGCGTTCTTCAGATCGATCTGCTGTAGATTGTGCCTGTCGATCATGTGCAACTCTTGCCAGCCGTCTGCCAACTGCCGCTGCCAGTCAATCGCGATTCTCTCTCTCTCTTTCATTTTCTGGGAAGAATATGTATTCTGAATTATCTAGCGCTTATGTAGGTAGTCTGTAGCACATAAGGCTTTTCCACTCTCCAAAGCGCCCGGCGATGCCATCTAACACTAGGTCCCAAACATTGTGACGCTATCTATATTCAAGCATATCTCCTCCTATGTATGTACTATCCCTAACATGGACCCGGGGAGGTGGGAAGAGGGGGTTCATCATCAGCCAACCATTGTCATGCCACGCAGGAGACGATCACAGAGCCCGGCGGAAGCCGCAAAGCCTCAAGGCTTCACAAAGAAACAAAAGAGCCAAGTTGGGATACTATGACATGGTACGCACATCATGGACGATGCTTTCATCGTCCTCTTCATCTCTATCTATTCTCAGTCGCTCACCTTCTTCATCCACCAGCTATCACCATGTCACGTACGAGACGCCATAAAGCGCGGATGAACACTCGGCACTTGGATCTAGGCGGTAAACAGGCCACAGTTGGAATATTGTTACGCCGGCCCACAGCAGTAGAATTTGGAAGCTGAAATTACCGTGGTTCGTCCGCTTTCATTGCAACATCATTGTGAAGAACGTCGCATCGATACGTCTTCTTTGTCGTCAAGTCCAAGGCGTTCAACTCTATTGCCAATAATTGAATCAGGTGGTCTCTAATAATACTAGTTATAGGTTCTTGATCCTTGCCTGTGAGCTTGACTTACCAATGCTGTTGCTTCCCAGATTTCGAATGGGATGGTTTTGACACACCAGACCCAGATATTGGTCTCTTAGCGAAAGACATGGGCAAGAACAAGGGGGCCGTTCATGCGGTATCTTTCAGCGTCCTCTACCATCCGATATTAGGCGCCAGCAAGATGACATAATGAACGACGTCAATCAGATCCTTGACCCAGCCAGTCTTGCCAGAATCAAGCGATATAATGATTTTATACCCTCCTTGGATTAGCGACATGCTGAACGCCGTGGCTCTGACCTAGAATTAAGCTCGATGATAACTCGTTCGGGGCCGTGAGGTAGTCTAGATTCTGTGGTTTATCTGGTCTTCCTGAGTAGACGCGGAGCGCGCTTCCAGTCGTTGAATTTATTTTTCGTCTCATTTCCTACATGTTTTTATACCAGAGAGTAAGCGCAGTCGTGTTTATCTGCGGATTGTAATAAATCCGATGGATGACTAGAAGCATTCCTCTTGCCTCTTAAGTAATAGCGGCATTATGCCACTGGAGATTGTTTATGAATCCGACCAATGACGCTCGCACCATTAATGGAAAAAACAAGGAGGAAGGCAAGTCCGCGATTATCCTACTTTCGGCGTATTAGATGAATCGAACAACTGAAAGGATATTCCAATGCGATACAGTCGGTTGATAGAATGCCGTGTCCACCTAATCAGGGATGTTAACAGAACAACCTATGACTCATGATACTCCTCCGCTTACTGGTGGACATGAATCTGGATTTGACCCTAGGGACTTGGTGGTGCTGGAATTCGATTGTTGCTGAGCGGCAGATATAACTGAAGAGGGATGATCGCATATTGCCAAAGATTTTCGCAGCTGTTAATATTCTACGAGGGCACGTTCTATGTTGAGGATATATACCCTTCTCTTAAAGTCTTGAAGTCAAATAACACTGGTTACTGCCTGGCCTCCCCGAGTCTGGCCAAACGTCGGCGCTCGAGACAATCCTCTGCCATTCTACCAGCTTCCAGGTGGTCGGTTGAGACATGCTGGGCTTTGAAAAAAGATAGGCTTCTCCCCTTGCCAACGACCCAGCCAGGGAAATAGAAATCTTTCCTCTAGAGTAGTAGAGATTAATAGTTCCTCTCCGGAGAGAGGGGAAGTATCTGGATAGAAAGGGAGGAATAAGAGAAGGATGTAGCGGAAGAGGGAGAACATGAAGCGTGAGCAGCCGCTAAACTTGGGGCCGGCTCAGCAAATCGGCGGTTTGCTCTGAACTGGGTCTAACACCACCAGATACAGGAGGAGTAGGTGCAGGAAGCAGATCCATGATGGAGACGAGCTGCGATTTGGGAGGCAACGGAGCAATGCGATGCAATGCAGAATTGGCTGCTGCTGCTACGCTGTGTGAGAGAAGACGTGGAGCCGAGGGTGGGCCGGCCTGCCACTGCGTGGCTTTTTTTGTTTCTCGTTTGGAGGAGTGAAAGAGAGGAAGTTTATGGCACGTGCGAGGAGGTCACCCCTTAAATTCTTTCAAGGTCCGCAAGATGAAGAACGAAACTCCCGAACAAGCTTGGGAAAGGATACAATGGAGTAGATGCAGAGTTCTCTGCAACTTTCGACACAATGAGTTTGAAGTTGGGCCTACTACCACATCATACAATACGAGTGAGAGATACAAGAGGCTTATTGGCGGTTCGGGGGAGGTAGCTCGCTCAGGTGTTGACAGTGACGTCTTTGGTCTACCACTACACATTTGTATGAGATTGGCGACGATGTACCCTGCCTCCCACATGTCGCTTTAATTGACTTCAATAGCTAAACAGGCGGTCTGGAGATCTATGAACAAGATTTACGATAGAGACCTTTGTAGGCACCATCGATTATGCCGATGACGTGCAGTTGCTGGCCGGCCGGCCGCCAACTGCCAGCTATCTGACATGCCCAGCAAGGTCGCACAGGGCCACATCTCAATATTTAAGGTGCAAAACGCGTCAAATGCTTCGCTCTTGAATCTGGTTTAAGGATGGTCAGCAGTTCTCCAGCTAGTGTGTCTCTAGTCGTGTAGTGTGTGCCGGATTTCTTTCCGCACGAAAACGTGTGAATTTGGACTTGCGCCATGTGATGGCAGACGAGTGGCCACTATATACCTGTCTGGAGATTTGTGGCTTCGCACTCTATTCTCGCCTCCACTTAACTGACGACCTTATACTCATGGCCACAGCAGTAAGCCGCTTGTGATGAGCCACTTGATTATATTCCTCCTTGGTCATTTCGCCTCGAAGGCAGTGCTGCGATATGTCTACAGGGATGACACCAAGAATTCTTGGACCGGGTTCAACATTGAGGTCCCCTACGAACTTAATACTCAAAACGACTTCGTCTAGTTCACCTAGCTTCCTTGAGTGGGTGACATTTTTGTAAGTCGCAAGTCCAATGTGTACATGAAGTCCAAAAGGAGTACTAATAATGTCTAGTTTCATACAATGGCTTCAAACGACATCAATACATGCGCTAGACGCATCAGCCAACACTTGGATACCTACAACGCCATCAAATCCGACATCAATGATCTCCGTGCTCAAATTATAGAGAGCAGTGGTCCCGACAAACAAAACCTTGAAGCAGTGCTTCAAATTCGGACCCAGGAGAAGACGGATGAAGCTCGCGCCGCCATCAACACACAAATCCAAATGCTCAACCTGGTAGTTGGTTCCGGATGGACCAGAATTCCATTTAATATCCGGACGGCGTTGAATCGAATCTTTTCCGGAGATGGTCTCGCCGAATTGCGAGAACGGTTTGAGCTGGGGCGTGACCTTGCCATTTCTGATAATGGCGAATTGGCTGGCCCCAACCCCAATGGTATGTCATCTTTTCATAGCTCATATTCCTTTTATATACTAACAGTTGGCAGCCTTGACACTCCTTTCTCGGCAAACAAGGGCCCAAACCCGTGCCGCAGTGAGAAGGCCACTCACTGAGATCTCGGCAAACATTGTTCTCGACACCCCGGCACCCAAAAGGCCTCGTCTTAACGCCCCGGAGGTTGTCCCCCCTACCCCGGCAGCCATTCCCGCCAATGCCTTTTCCCTCCCCGAGTCGCCATCAATCGGTCCCAGGCGTTCGTCCCGTCTCTCTAGCGTCCAAAAAGTCAATTACTCTATAACATTGGACGACGCCGCCAGAGAGGACAGTCCTGATGATGTCGAATCAGAAGGATCATTCAAAGACGACATGTTGGATATTGACGACATTGACGACATGTTTGACGACTTGGAGGACGCCGACTTGGAAGAAGATGGCCCATCGACAGCCACAAGAAGTGTCCCAGAGACTGCCAAGTGCACGCCTTTTACCGATGAGAATGGGCTTCTTCGAATCGGTCCTCAGCCAAAGGCACCAGCAATGTACATCAAATGGGTACCAAGAAAAAAGGCTATATTTCGAATAAAAAATAACAGCCGACACGCTTATAAGAGGGTAGATCGAAAGATCAAACAATTGGCCTCTATTGATCATGAGTCGGAGTTAGCCGCTATTTAAAACAAGCTCGTTGAATCTCTCGCAAAGCAAAGGAAGATTCTTAGACTAATATAAGCCTGTATAAATATTCTACTACTTCTACTTCTACTACCTCTACTACCTCTACTACCTCTACTACCTCTACTACCTCTACTACCTCTACTACCTCTACTACCTCTACTACCTCTACTACCTCTACNTACTACCTCTACTACCTCTACTACCTCTACTACCTCTACTACCTTTACTACCTCTACTACTATTACTACTGTTACTACCGTTATTTTGTTAAATATATAATAATTTTTTACTATATGCAATCTTTCTTTTTTAAGGTGATGGTGCCTGTCAGCTGCATCCGTGGCTGCCTGGTTGATATTAACTCTGAAGAGAATCCTATGACGGGATATATTGGTGAGTGAGCCGCAGGGCTATAGGATGCTTCGGTAGTTGTACCGAAGACTAATCAGCAATGTTCTCCCCGTTCTGGTCCTAATTAAGAATATATTTTACGCTCTCTTGCAGTTAGTTAACATCCTCTGTATAACACCGGCGCTTTTATGCCAGGATAACTTGAAGGTCTGGAAAAGAAAGGCTAAGGGTATTGCCGTAGATAAGGCAGTTAACATCAGCCGCCTAGATCTATACTATATATAGGGCAATACATCTTTACTATATGCCTTGGGCGGTGACGATTAGTAGTTTTACCTGGCTAATATAACCTAAGAGGATAAGAAGGACAGTAATAGTAATTATTTTAACCGCCTAAGCAGAGATTGTTACAACATGGTTTACCGTAACTGTAAAACCCTTATAGGCAGCTGGCTCTGTTACAGTAACTGTTATAATAGTGGCTATTGGCCTAATATTTTGCCCTGTTTGGCTTAATGGTATAACGGATCGTTACAGAGATATAAAAATCTTTACCCTTAAATTTTTTAAAGTATTTAACTAGCCTATCTTCTACCTGTAAGTCTAGCTATAAATAACCAGAGGACTTTTTAATTTTTACTATTAAAAGTCTACAGTAACCTGCTTTTTAACTATAGCTTAAGCAGTACTTTTATAAATTATAAAGTTAATTAAGCTTTAAAAAAGTTTTTTTTTATAAAATTTTATTAAATATATTTATTACCTGCTGATTTTGTATTTATATATTAATAAAAAATAACTTACTTTATAAATAAAGTAATTAATTTTAAAAAAAAAAAAAACTTAAATTAAATTAAAAATATTCTAAAGTTTTTTAATAATTTAATTATAAAGTTTTAAATTATATTTATATTTTTAACATTTTAATTATTAATTTTACAAAGCTAACATTAAATCTATTAAACACCACTATAAAAACTTAAGATATATGATCTTTTTTCATATACTACCAGCTGCCACTATTAACTCTTTCCAGGGCTATAAAGCAGGTATTATTATAATTATTACAGGTGATATATAAACAGTTAGCCTAGGTTTTACAATAGATAAGCATTAATTTAATATAATGCTTAGTCGACAGAGAAGCGGCCTCCCTATCTTCGGGGTTATTAACATCTTGGGATCGGTGGAAGAAGATGGCAGGGGCAAGAACTTGCTGCGACTGACGGAAGATGGAAACCAGCGGTTTCTGCAAAGAACCATGCTCTACAGCGTCTTGCAAAAAATGCGCGGTCAAGATCGCGTCGTGACATTACCGGTCAGGGCCGCAAGGGGAACTCTGGTAAGTCCATGTCTCCCTTGCTACTATCTTCAACTATCGACGATCATCGGTAATTATATTGAAGTTCATCTCAAATTTGGTGACTTGAGACTGCGTCGTTGTTATCATTTGTGACGACTTGGAAGCTCTCGCCCACGCGTTTTGCCCTGTACTTCCTTTTCTATCTCTCTAGAGTGGCAAACGTTGCGTTGAACTGTCAAATACTAGGCAATAACTTGCCTCTGCTATGGCCAAATCCGATGGTTGCACGGCCACCTTCACCATCGCCGCACCACGCCTCAAGAATTATCTCGTCGCCGTCTTCCAAGTACCCTAACTCTGATCCATCATCGAATTGCAATTTTGAGTTGCCATCTCGTGTGGCCTCGTACAGACAACCTAGCTCACCTTGTTTCTTTTGCACCTTCGTTTAGCATCCGCGCCGGGTTCACTCTATCAGGGTCACGTACCTCGCCCGAGATGGTTCCTGTTCCAAGAAGGTCGCCCGTTTTCAATCCACATCCTCCTGCTGCGTGATGTACAATCTGCTGATAGGGTGTCCAGTACATATAGCGCAGATTACTTTCGACAAGATCGTAGGTAATGCCGTTCCCTATTTCCTCTCTGGTCAGTGTTTTAGTAGTGCGACGTATGCCCTCATGTAAGACCTACGTATGAGCTTTGCAGTTAACCTAATGTCGAAAGTGCCCTTGGCGCGATCATGCCATCTGAGATGCTCGAATGTAGTGGAGTCATGGTTGTGTTTTGGCTCACAAGCGAAAGGCTCCAGTGCTTCGAGTGTTACAATCCAAGGTGAGATACTGGTGGCAAACCCTGCATGAAATATTCAGCACCAGCTGTCGTCAAAGCCCGAATTCGCTCCACTCATTGATACCTTACCTTTTGAATGGAATGGCCCCAATGGAGTCATTTCGTAGGCTTGGAGGTCTCTGCTCGACCAGTCATTCAGGACAACAAAACCAAAAATGTGGTCCCGTGCTTTCTCAATATCCAATGATTGACCCCAGGGAACCGGCTTCGAAACGAAGAATCCCATTTCCAACTCAAAATCCATCTTTAAAGATGCTCCGTAAACTGGATTGCCCTCCTTCCCGCCAGTGTCGTACATAACGCCTTTGGGCCGTCGAATAGGGTCCGGAGACACCACAACGCTTGAAGCTCTCCCATTGTATACAGAGGGCGAGTAGTAGAAGTTCTTCGGAATGTTCCCCCCAGTCATAGGAGAGCACTGTAAAATGATTAACCTTGTCCAGGGATATCGCTGGTTAAACCCACATTTTGGCAATGTTCAAGTGAACAAAAGAAATCTGAATAGCCACTTATCTGCATTGGCATATGCATCCTCACTGTGTCTAGCGGTAGGAATGCCTCGAATGGTACGGTATTGTTGAGTAGAGAGTCCAGAATAAACCTGCGAACATTGGATCTGAGACCAGAGGGAAGCCCTGCAAAGGCATTGAGAGTTTGCTATCTTGTGGCATGAGCAGTCTACGTCTGAGAAAAGCCGCTGAAGCACTGACCTTCCTGAAGACTTGTTCAAAATCTTGGTAAGGTGCTGGTTTGCCTAACATGATATCGGGTTCTGCTTTTTGAAAGAGGATACCGAGGTCGATGGCATGGTCGCCAATAGCGCTTGCGCAGCGAGGGGTTGTATTAGAAGATGTTGATATTACCCCGAACGGAATGTTATGTAAAGTGAAGGGCGAGTTTGCGGGTACTTCAGGAGTTGGACTCATTGTCGTGATGTCGTTGACTCTCAAACGATTTTATTGATAGATGCTTCTTGGCCCGGTGGGTGCGAATTCAATGGACTATTTGAAAGCATCGACTTGCCTCCCTGTTGTGATTGTAACAGTCAGTGACAGGGTCCACTTCTTAAGCTTTGTCCTGCAACACTAGAATATTCAGCATCCGGATATTCATCATGCAGGATCGGGAAATCTACCTGCAGAATCGGCAAATTCGCCCCACGAACCAAGATATCCAATTAAAACGTCAGGGTATATACCATGCATAATCGGCATATCTAGATTGCAAGGCCGGGATATTGTGGATAGTCGGCTTCCAAGACTATTCAGCCTTTGTTGAAATTCAACAACATCGCAATCTCGCAAAGCCCCGCCATTTTGTTCCTTCTTTCCGATATTTTATTTTGTATAAGACAGATCATTATTCGAAGGAACTGCTTGCCTAGGTTCAAATCCCTTTTGCAATATGTCTCTTTTTCCGGATCCCAGGCGTATTGTCACAGGCCACAGCCAAGATGGCAAGTCGATAGTAGTAGATGATAACACAATCAGTTGCCTGCCGACATCCATCAAGTGCAATTTTGCGGTCTTGTACGAAACCCACGAGTTTCCAGCGACTTTGCATGAATGGGAGGACCCTATCAGGCAGAGAACAACCAATTTGGCGAATCAGAACGGCGTTGTTTTGAGGGTCGTGGACTTTCCCCCAAATACAGAGACTGTACGCATCACACCTGCTCCACTGGCGGCTGAATGCTCTGACAGAACGCTTCTTCTAGGCTTTTCATCGCACAGAATCTTTGGACTTTGGCATCCTGCATCAAGGCGAAATCACATGGTGAGTGTGATGTTGACTTCAAAGCAGTAGTTTGTTTTTAACTTGTCAAAGTCATCTCGATGATGGCGTGCGAGTGGAAATGAAGGCCGGGGATACCTGCGTCCAGCGGGGCACAATACATGGGTGGACAAATTACTCCAATAAGCCAGCCCGTATGTACTTCGTTCTTACAGGTAAGACTCATCGATATGCTTATGTGTGCCTCGTGCAATGTTGATAATAACTCCTCTAGCTGCTGAACCGGTGGTAGTACGCGGGACGACCTTGGGGGAGAAGGGGTTCGACAGGAAACATGTGGCATCAGGAGGAACTCGCGAAGGGAGCAGCTCACAACTAGAGGCAACGACTTAGGCATCCCAACTATAATTTTACATTTGGATCTCGGCACCACACTTTGCGGTGCAATAGAATGCATCACTGAGCAGTGTTCTTGTCGACGGTTCCACAGATCCATACCATTCTGATGCCGGTAAACTAGCCCTGTACTTAGAACCTAAATACCTCTATGCGATACACTTGTTTTATTCAGTCTTTTTAGATGCCTGACTGTATCATGCTTTCCTATCTGAAAGATCGTCGTATATTCAAAGATAAAATATTTGTGTGGCCGTGGGTATTACGGCATTACCTAGCACGGCACGTGAGCTGTTCAGCTCCCCGGCCCCAGACTCCCGCTGTCCGGTCTAGAGCGGAGACGCCGGAGACTATAGACTTTCAACCCGAATCACTTCGACTTCGCTTCATCAACACGTGTTGGGGAGTTTTATGAAGTTCAAAACTATAATTAGTCACGATTTCCTCCGCAAGGTGTCATAAGTTTCTCTTGCGCCTTCGAGGTATTCCGCTCCCTTCACAATGAATGTTCGAGTTAATAGGGGTGCTGGCCGCCCAAGAACTGCTTGTACGCAGTGCAGCTCATTAAAAGTGAGTCTGCGTGCTAACATCTTGTTTTACTATGCTCTCGTCTGACGGACGTCTGGAGTCATTGCTTACTGAAAGTGCAAAGATCCGTTGCAGCGGTGAACAACCCTCTTGCCGCAGATGTACGCGCCTTGGTCGTCATTGCACCTGGGCCGATGATTATCGAGCTCAACGTGCCTTTGGGCACAATCACTTGGATTTCTTCGCGAGGGATTTAGATGCATGGGCTATGATCCCTTCTTTGCCTGCAGACAGCCATCAGTCATCGGCTGTCGGGATATCGCGAACATGCATGTTTGACCTTGTGAACACATTCTTCACCCACGTTTTCAACGCTTCTCTTCTTCTCCATCGAACATCATTCCTTGACTGCCTAAGCTGTGGCTCTGCGGAGAAACACATGACACTCAGTGTCATGGCACTAGCTTCAAGGTACCTGTGACTCCCTCCTCACTCTCATTCCTACGTCTCCTTGCTTTACATCCCTGAAGCATGCTGGCGAGAGAGAAAGAATAGCTGGTTTTAACATTGCCTTAGATTTTCTCAAAAGCCTAACCCATGCGATAATGCTGTTGGTTCAGGCTTTGCTGAGGAGTTGGCGACCGAAGCGGAGCGGCTCGTCTTTGCACGATTGGCATCGCCATCAGAGGAGAACCTTGTCACTCTCGTGAATCTTACTTTGTTATGGTATGCGCAAGGACAATGGCGCCGGGCTGCCATCCACTTGAGTAATGCTCAATGCACCTCACGTATTCTCGGCCTTGGAAGGAAGCCATTGCTTGGTTACTCAAACAACCAGGAGCAGACTGTGGGTGATTTTATCACTGCAGAGTTGAGCCGACGGCGCTTCTGGGCTGTTTTCTTACTGAGCCAGTTTGCGAAGGGCGACGATTGCTATCAACAATTCGAAGCGGAGCTGAAAGACCCAGCCGGAGTCAAAGCACCATGCAATGAGCAAATGTTCCAGCCACTAGGCAATACTAATCTGGACCGCCATTTTGGCAATCAGATTGTCGTGGACAGCTTGTATGCACATATGATACGCGTTACCAGCATGTGGTAAGGCCACTCATGGATGTGATCGAGAAGTTTACATTAGTCAACAGGACCATGGTGCTGACATGTAGTTCTAGGAGGACGGTGTGCCAACTAGTCAAAAGTCATTCCAAATTTACTGCTAAGCTTCTAACTATTCAAGAGTTGGACCTGCGCTTTAATGCTTGGCGGACCAGCCTCCCCAGCTCTCTGGAGTTGGACGACGTTCTGCAAGACTCATCTCTCAGGCGCAGCAAAGTATCGTTGCTGCACATTATCTACCACCAAGTAATGTCTGTGCTTCATGCTTGTGTAATTCCGTTGTTCTGCCTTCACTCTATCAGACCGACCGACGCTACGGACACTCCTTCTGCTGCTACCGAAGCCGACAGGGAAATGGAAACGGAAACCGATCCCATGGCCTACGAGTCGTTGCAAAGGGCGTCTGCTCAAAAGGCCCTTTACCATGCGAGGCAAATATCTCATATCATCTCTAAAACTGAGTTAAACGGCGTCCAACTCCTATCAAGTGGGTTCACTGGATATGCTGCCTATAGCTCCTGCGCGATTCAGCTTCCTTTTCTGTGGTGTCGAAGTCCTAACGTGAGGGAAATGGCACGTCGAAACATTCAAGCAAATATCGCCGTCATGGACTACATTCAGAGCCAATGGAAAGTTGTTGCCGCTTTGGTAAGTCATGTTCCTTGTAGTTCAGTCTCTGGCGTGTCATCCTCAAGGACGACACAGATAGCACCGTCACTTACTTACGTCTTCCATGACAGAGAGGTTATATTCCTCTACTCTACAAGCATCACGAGAGCATGTCGTACTCTTTGCCAGATGAACCCGTCAATCTACAGCTAGCCGACCTAAACCTACATTGCAAGTCCGATTCCAATCGTGCCACCATGTCTATTCTTCATCATAACGCAATCATTTGGGACAAGGGAGAACTTCTGAATCATGACAATTTGCCCGACATTGGCCTGGCTACTCGTCGGCAGCCGCAGCAGCAACAACAATCGGACAAAGTAGGCGACGGTGGTTATTTATATAATAATAGTAGTTCAGGTATCAGCAATAGTGAAATAAGTGGTTTGGAAGCTATCGATGGCTTCCCACTGGGGTCAATGCATCAAAATGATGACTTACTTGATGAGCCTTCCTTGACATACTCAGGTCTGTCATTTTCCGATGCCTCTTCAAATGCGTATAATTGGCTCGACGATGCCGACTTCTTAAGTCTAGGGGTCCTCGATGAGTTAGAGATTGAGAGGAGAGTCTATTGAAAGTGTCGCGGACTCTAACGGGCAGCTTGGCATTCTAGAATAGCAATGCATGATTATTTCGCTCAATGAGAACTGCAGGGCGGGGCTACTTTGCCAATTGCTAAGACTGCTACCTATGTGGCGACGACGGGTTATTTGAAATGTGCTTGTATTGATCATTTCTTGGGTAGATGTGTGAGGTATAATGCCCCTACCCCGCCAATCGGACTCTGAAGAGCTGGGGCAAACTGAAGCCAAAAAAAAATGGAGAATTACCGTATACACCGAGCCACACTGTTGGCATTCCCAAAGAAAAGAACTCAATATCATTAGCTACCCTGCTGCCGAGGGATGAATTCACATGATTCATTGTTTGGATAGGCAAGAAAGACTTCAAAAGCAATTGGAATACCTCGGTCGGTTGCCAAGCTGCTTTCAAGCTTTATATCATCTCCTACAGCACATTATATTCAAATAGCCCACAACTGACTTACTCTCCAAACACACACACACACACACACACACACACACACATTTGAGGCACAATTACTTCTAGACTCCAGTTCCATCCATCAATCTATCATGGCATTCTATATGCAATCCCTCTTCCCCAAAAATCAGTCCTTCAGCTTCGAGGCTCTGCGAGCTGCGGGCTATGCTAATGCTGCAGGTGCAGATATTGGAGAGGTGATGGCAATCTGCTCGCGGATTGCCCCTGGCGACGAAGATGCCTGGTTAAAAGAATGGAAAGGATCAGGCGACCGTGCGGTCGCTAACGCAGAGATCAGTCTGTCCAAGGGGAACCGATCTGGCGCCAGGGATGCCTTTCTACGCGCTGCCAACTACTACCGCACAGCTGAGTTCTATCGGCGAGACAACCCGTTCAATGATGCGTTGTCGGCTTCGCTAGCAACACAAAGCACCCGGGCATTCTATGCGGCGATGAAGCTCGTGGATCATATCACGGAACGAGTTCGCATTCCATATGAAGGCTCTGTGACATTGCCGGGCACCATCTTCAGACAACGAGAGGATCAGAACAAACCAAGGCCACTGGTCATTGTCAATGGTGGATTTGACTCGACTCGAGAGGAAGTCGGCTACGGAATAGCACCATGGGCGCTGGAAGCCGGGTTCAATGTCCTCACATTTGACGGCCCTGGTCAGGGAGAGACACTCCGGGAGCAAAAGCTTCGTTTCCGACCGGATTGGGAAAACGTCATTACTCCGGTGGTTGAATACGCCTTGTCTCAAGAATATGTTGACGAGAAAAAGCTCGTCATCATGGGCATTAGCATGGGTGGCTTTCTTGTTGCACGGGCCGCAGCTTTCGAGCACCGTGCTGCTGCCATCGTTGTCAACGACGGCATATTCGATTTTGGCGATTCTTTCCGTAGGTCAACACCAGCAATAATCAAGTGTCTTCTCAAGTATGGCTGGTATGGGACGGTCAACAGGCTCCTGGGGTTCGTCATGCCAATGGATACTGGCCTGAGCTGGGCCCTGCGGAACGGAAAATGGGTATTCGGAGTAACCTCTGGAGTAGAGGTGCTGGAGGCAGTGAACAAGTACACACTTGATGGTCTAGTGGACAAGATTGTCACCCCTATATTGGTTATGGATGCCGCGGACGACCATTTCCTAAAAGGTCAACCTGCTGCACTATTTGGAAAGCTGGAGTGCGAGAAGGCATACGTTGTCTTGACTCAGGAGGAAGGTGCAAGCGCTCACTGCCACGTGGGCGCCAGTGCAAGAGCAAATCAGGTCGTCTTCGATTGGCTCCTCCCACAGCTGGGTATGGTATCAAATGCTAGTATGTAGAATACAAACTGGGTGTCGACGTCTTTGGTCGCTATGATGCGATAGATCTGGATGCTATCCGCATAATGGCACGGATAACTCGTTGAGCGGTCTTTGTTCGTATCGTTAGTTCGGTGGTAGCCAGATGTTGGTGCAAGATAATATTAACGGCAGCCCAGGGACTACCTGTTTTCTTTTAATACGTTCCAACTCAACGGCATCGTTTAGTCTCGCTAAATCTACCCTGGTTAGGGTAGGTATGTGGTCTTCGCCAATGGCCTAACTAGCTATGAGGAACATTGTCGGTATTTTGACCCTCGCGGTTCTGCTGTCGGGCTGTCCAGGCCCAGACGGCTCGTCAACCTTAGCAGCCAAATTATCGCCTGCGCCAGTGCCTGCTACACCTCTGCTGCCTCAACTGTGGGGTGTGACGACCAGAGCAACCTCTCTTGCCAATGCAACTCGGCTTCCGCTCTGCTACGCCAAGGAATCTCTCCGTTTGCCATCCCTGATTACCACCTCTCCAGACGCTATTGTGCGTCTGCGAACCACAATCAGTTGCTGATCCTCGATCCGCTGCTGGATGCGTTGCCTCGAGTCGCATCCGAGTTCACATGTTTGTCCTGTTCGAGTGTCGTGTTTCCTTACTCTAGTTCCAAAACACCGACTCCGTATACAGACAGGTTGGCATCTCCTGTAATGATAGTACGGGCGGAAAAGTCAACACGCTTCCCCATCAAGTTGCCTCTCAGACGACCTTCCTTACCCTTAAGATGGGTACGAATTGCCTTCTGGACGTCCGCTCTTCTCAAAAGCACGAGCTTGGTCAGGTATTCGAGCACCTCTTTCAAAGCTTGTGTGATATGGTGCGGCGAGCCCTCATGAATAGCTTGCTAGACGTTACCGTTTACGCGAACGATATCTTCGAGCTTGTAGGTCAAGTCATCTTCGTTCCGCATTCCGGTTCCAGTACCATCCATGGAAATAGAAGCATAAACAAGAGGCGGAGTGACAGGGAGCACGGCGAAAATCACCCATTGTGGACGGGTGCAGTCTGAATTAAGACCCATGTTAACAAGGCCCTTTTTGGAGATGCGGCAAGTATTGGAAACTTTAAATAAACACGGCGAGCGCGGCGAGAACCATCAGGGTGAAGCCGCCTTGTCAGATAACCGCTCAATAAAACTTTCCTGGTTCTCCCGGCAAGTCAGCGATGATGACAGTATATAATCCATATGACTTTAATCTAATTACAAATGGATGGTTGACTTTGCTCAATAGTATAATCTCAAGGACTAATAATGGGTACTTTAGACTGCGGCGGCAATATACAAACCTCACTAGCGGATTATGACTCCCAAAACACTCTTAGCCTGTCTTGGCCGTATGGCTGGGTGGACGACGAAATTGCATGCGCTTGATAAAAACATGGAAACCAAAGAAGCAGATGGATGAGATTCGCTCACGGTTCAGATACATGTAATCGATTACGGTGGCGGATTGTCGGGATAATTACCTCAGCATGGCCGAAAAATTATGCCGCACAATCCAGTCCTTTACACTACATGTGCCACATGGTTTGTTAAACCAGAGTTGAGCCTGTGTATTTAGTCGCAAGCTACCAGCACAGGGTGGCTGTTCAGCTACTGTGAACGATCAGTAATCACAACCTGTAAGTTTTCTGATTACTGATCTTCTCACCAGATCCCCTGCTTTCAGCGCTCCGGGAATTCGGTAGTACAGGCATCCCACCGGCTGGAGATAAGCTTAGACTATGGAGATCATTGATCCAAAGTATGTAGCTGAGGCGCCGAGGCGCCTTTCAACAGGATTGTTGATCAGTAATATGATGTCGCTAGGTGCCTAGTTTCGCAGCAAGACGCTGAGCATGGAAGACGCGCGGAGTGGGCGAAGGACGGCTGTCAATATAAATACGTGTATCTAGCTTCTCAATCTGCAAGGAAGCACTCAGATACAACAACAAACGCATCCAATTGCACAACTAGCTCTCGTTGCATCCATCACTCAGAAATCACACCCATCTCCCCCACTCAGCTGCAAATGGCGCCTCTCGTTTTCGTCGTGGGTGGAACAGGAGCCCAAGGAATTCCTGTTGTACGCGGCCTTGTCAAAGATGGAGCCTATGCAGTGCGTTTTTTAACTCGCGACGCCACCTCGTCCAGATCAAAGCAACTTCTCGCCTTGGGAAATGTTGAAGCCATCGAGGGCACATTTGCAAACGAGAACGATCTTCGCAAAGGATTTCGCGGAGCGCAATACGCCTTTATCAACATTGATGGCTTCAACAGTGGCGAGAAGACTGAGACGTACTGGGCTATAAGGTCGTATGAGCTGGCGCTGGAAGAAGGCATCAAGTTCTTCGTCTATGGAAACCTGGACTATGTCTACAAGAAGAGCGGGTTTGACCCGAAATTCAGGACGGGGCACTACGATGGAAAGGGACGCATCGGCGAGTGGATCTTGCAACAGAATAAGAATCCCGAGATTGCCAAGAGAATGGGCGCTGCCATCTTCACAACTGGCCCATACATTCAAATGGCGCTTGGCGCACGCACGCCCATGTCTCCTGTTGTAGAAGATGAAGTCGTTACTTGGAAAGTCCCACTGGGATCTGGCGCCGTTGCGCACGTCGATTTAGATGATTGCGAATACTACGTTCGATGGCTGTTCGACCACCAGTACCGCTCCAACGGCTTGGACCTGGAAGTCGCCATTGAACTTGTGGACTATAACGAGATGGCCAAGGCCTTTGAAAAGGTGACTGGGCATCCTGCCAAGTATGTGGATGTTTCCTTGGAAGAGTATTGGGCAACAGGCCCTCTCAGTGCGGCAAAGAGCGCCACGGCCGGGTATAATTCTGACCCCAACGATACTGCTACGATGAATATCCGTGATAATTTTACGGGATTCTGGAATATGTGGAAATACACATACAAGGGAAACCGTGGAGTGATCAAAAGAGACTTTGCTCTGCTAGATGAGATCCATCCCAACCGAATCAAGTCAGCGGAGGAATGGTTTAGACGGGAGGAGAAAAAGAGCAAGGAGCAGGGGTTACCTAGCCTGTGGGAACGAGCCACGAGTCTGAAGCCTGTCCTCAAACTCGCCGAGGATGGGCGAAAGGGCCGCCTGTAGACAGATTGAGATATCATTTTTCAGCGTTTTGAAAACCTTCTTGACAAATAGTAATAGTGCTAAAAATTTCTGAACTTTAACTACCAAGAAAACTAGTATTGTGCTAAGAGACCTTTATTCACGAACTCTCAGTAAATAGTTGTAGAGAGAAAGATTTCGGTTGCCCTGCATGCTTTTCAAGGCTAGCCACATGGCGATGTACGGCGGCTGGAACAAAAGATGCCCTTTAGGTAAAATGTATCGGGTTGCTTATTGTATCCTGAGATGGCAGAAGACTTGACAATTTTAAGAAATTCACTCATTACAATACAAGACTTTAATGCATTTGGCCATGAGGATCAGTTAGCCCAGATAAGAGTGCAAAGGTTATTAATGCTTTTGGTGGTGTTTTGACACAGCTGCGCCCAAGGAGATTGTCAACTGCTATGACTGAGTTCCTCACCCAGCTTGAGAGACACTCAACTCCCGACAATGTAATCGATTTAGCCCAATGACTCTCAATCAATTGCGTCTCGCACCTCTGACAGTCCTGCGACATGGTACTCTTTTATTTTTCATACTTTTTTTTCTTGTTCTTTAATTTGGTTATTCATGGGAATCATGTGACTTTCCCTTCTTTGGTGGAACCCATGGCGGCATCAATATCAGAAGATTCCCTTGTTCTTCCTTTGAAGTTCTGATATCTTGATATTTTTTTCATTCACGAGACTCATTGGGGGGGGTTATTTATTCATTTATTATTTTTTTAATAGGGCTCTGGTAATGAGGGCTCTTCAGGACAGGTTCTTTCTTTTGTGCATTATATGGGTTTTGGTGGAATGGAATTTATTATTCTTCTCGTTCGCTTTCGTTTCTTGCTTTTTTTTAGATGGGACTCTTGGCTTTTGCTGTATGTGACGATTCTTCGGTATAGGATAGCGCTCTATACTTTCGCTAGAATTTCAGAAGCGACAATACATGTATTCAAGCAAACATTGCAGAATATTATTTTTTTTTTTTTCTATTCTTCTCTTCTTCTTTCTTCGCCTAAACTCTTTGATCCTTGATTATCGTTACTAGGGATTCTTCGATACTTCTGGATGGAGTGACTACTTTCTGAAAAGCTGGGGATAGACAGCTCTATTTCGCCCGTCCCCAAGTGGAGAAGAAAAGCCACCATCTGGAAGAGACTCTCCACTTCTTTGGCCATTACTTAAGTCTCCCGAAAGTCAGCCTCTTTATTGCATCCTAGTTTAAAACGCACCACCGCTCGCACGTGCTGCTGATGAGCCAAAATCGTGGGGTAAATAGAGTGCTGGCAGTGTTAATTAAACTTCAAATGTTGCGCCACTACGCTATTTCGATGCTTTGACAGACACGAAAATACGGGGTACCAGTTACGTCCTACGAATACTACGATACATGTAGCTAAACATTCTTCCCGTAGAACAGTGGCCGATTAATATAGGAAATGAGGCTGGGGATCCTCAGTCCCTTGTCTCGGCGATGTGGGAGTCAGCATCCGATTGGCTGAGCTGGGCATTCCAAAGGATTCAATTCCACCACAGCTGGGTCGGGATCAATTCCTTCCACGCGCGAAGCTGCGCGGTGAGCTGTTAGTAGTGCGATACAGCTGCAAGTGGCCGAAACTAGCCTCAGGATAGCGGTAAACAAACGGCCGAGAACGATCGCATTGGTCCTTTTGAGATGCCTAGCCGGGCTAAACGCCATCTTTGTAACGTCACATTCACTGCACCGTTAGGGAGCTTGAATCTGCACGCGCTGGCCCAGGATTTGCCACACGTTGTTCCGCGAGCACAGACGTCGAGATATAAACGTAGACCTCCCCCAGTTTGCAGGAATAGAAAAGAGAGAGCAGGTTTCACCGGACGAAGAGACCCAGAGGGAACAGTAGAGGAGCCAGGAAACTAGCGTCTCATCTCACCAGACACAACGGCGGACGAGCCTGTACAAGATGCACAACCTTTTCACTCTCACGGCTGCCGCGGCCAGTCTCTTCGCGGCAGCCTCGGCCATCAAAGTGCCCAGCGTCAATGTGCCCTCTTGTCCTCGTGTGGGCAGCATCAGCTACAGCAAGTCGGTCCCTGATCTGACTCCCTTCCCGCGCACGCAAGTCGATCTCTGCTACACAGACACCAGCCTCGAGCTCAAGTTCATCGCATACGACGAGGTCAACTACTTCTTCAACGCGTCGCAGGGCACCAATGACGACATTTGGGAATACGAGGTCATGGAGGCCTTCCTCTTCAAGGGCACTGAGGATCCACAGACTTACGTTGAATTGGAAGTGAATCCCAATAACGTGACCTACCAGGCCTTTGTCTATAACCCATCAAAGAACCGCACTGCCGGCGCACCCTTTGACCATTTCTTCGTCTCGGATCCCGCAGCTGATGGCTTCAGCGCAACAACTGTGCTCAACAAGCCGGCCAAGACGTGGAAGAGCAGCGTCACCGTCCCTCTGGGCATATTCAATGTAGACGACTGCAAGGCCAAGGGCACACAGTGGAGGATGAATTTCTTTCGAACCGTCGTGTCGAAGGACAGCTATCCTTCGCAAACCCTTGGTGCTTGGTCGCCTCCCAACGAGGCGAGCTTTCACATCACCAAGTATTTTGGCCATGTGAACTTTGTATAAGCTCCAGGATCGGGCACAGGTATATGAGCATGAATACGAATAGATATCGCGTACCTATAATGAATGTTGCTTGCCATCCGTGAATTCTCTCTCTTTTAGTGACTTGTTTCTGTTTATATATACGCCATCAGCTTCTGGGAAACCCTCAATGTAGCTGGGCTTTGTATTGCGATCAATTGCGCAGCATTTTGGTTGGCACTACTATATGTCAGCATCTCCTGATTAATTTGTTTGCCGTACAGTACGCATCAAGGGGAGAACAGAAACATTGAGACCTTTGAGTGAAGACACACAAACGGACGAACAATGACACAAAATGCCAAAGCGTCCATCGCAGTCGAGGCAGTAGAGGCAGTAGAGGTAGTAGAGGTAGTAGCAGAGCCGGGCAATAAGTGTCCCTAAATTTTTGCTCCCCACTTGACACTTTCTGAGGCTTGCATTGTAATCGGCGTATCAAAACTTACGTTTTCTTCTTGAGCCTTTATCTTTTCAAATTCAGAATCGCAATAGCGTTACATCCTCAAGTCCGCTTTACAGTCTTCTCGCGTGAAAAGGTACGCCATCAGGCAGACATTTGACCCACCCGTAGCTAATGGAGGCGAGAATTAAGAATTGCAGAAAGAGGAGACAAAAGAATAAGATAAAATGAAAACAATGCTCGTGGCAGATATTAATGAAGATTTGAATGTGCTTACGAAAGGAATATCTGGTGAAACTAGAAAACCGTCACCTTTTGAACTGAAACGAGGCTCTTCTTATTGTAATTATAAGCCGCGAATGCGAAACATCCGGCAATATATTCGGCACCAGACGGCTTGTAATTTCTAATTAGTCTTCAATTTGTCGCAGCGTATCGTTGCATGTCCGTAATTCGGTACAGCGTAATAAATGGAGGTGTAACCGTCCAGTAATGGCAATCTTTTCTTAGTATGGGAGCTTGTATGCCAAATGATGGCTTAGTGATGTTGTCTCCTCTTAGGAGCATATGCCTTTTTTTTCTCGATACGTTCGGCCCTACTACGAGTGATCAGCAGTGACGCAGGAACGCCATTCTAATGCAGCTGGGCACTCGGAGATGTCGTTGGCAAGAAGGTGCTCGAACTCATCAATAGTGGAGAGGACTGCTCAATTTCTCCGGCAAGGCCATGGATTGTAAGCAGTGAGATCTATTATTAACCACTAGTGTTTACTACACGAGCGAGGCGAGCTATATGAGATGCGAACAGGCTCGATGCTTACACTCAAGACAGCCTGGGGCGGGGCGTTTACGCAAATCCTCACCAAAAGAAGTTTAAAAAAATCCGCGAGACTACGGTGCCACCAGGTCCCTGGATCTAGCTCGAGCATCGTGCGACTTGCCTATTTAGATGGATGCGAGTGGGCAATTGTCCCAGCCGATTACATTTACATGATGTGCGCTCATCAGCATGATCTCCATCGATTGTTAGTGACGTTGAACGTGGCCAATGTTTCTTATAGCCCAGATGTACGTGACTACTCACATGCAGCCAGCTTCACATGTGGATATACGGCAATCTCACATGGCTTGGTTATGCCCATTTCTCCCGCTTTACAGTTTATACAGCCTGGGTATTTGTTACATGTACGCATAAGTTACTGCAACGGCATTCATCCTGTCAAAGTGCGGGCGGCTGCATCCGGGAATGCTGGTTACATGTCCGCAGTCAATGCTCCATAGCCTGTACATCGCAATATTCCCGCCTTACAACCTCCCTAATTCAGCAGTTTCCTTTGCCTATAGTTGGTTCTGGTTGAAACAAAACTGCTGGGTTTCCAGAATCCTTGCACGTAGCGCTGTTTCATCCTGGTGCTGGCCATGTGGGGTCGGAATGACAAAAATCACGGGCGCATAGGCTAGATGGGATCGCAGATCTTAACCCTCCGTAACAGGTGCCAGTTTCTTAGCCGTGCAGCTCAGTACTAGAATAGGCAGCCGCTTCAAGATGCGTGGATCGAACGGGTGACAGCCTCACAGAGTGACACTAGGAACACATGCAAAGAAGAAAACCTGCAATGGTGTCATCAGGATGAAGACATTAGACATGTAAGTCAGCCTACTAAAAGTACTTTTGCCTTAATAAATGGCTCACTGTCTCCAAACAGTTGCAATAGTCAGTAGTAGAGTGAATTGGATCTGTGTAAGAGACAGATGTCAGTACACTTAGTATAGCCTTTAAGAATCAACAGCAATCAATGTCAGACTGCAAGCGCCTACTCTAAAAATTAGCCTCCGACGTAGCCTCACACATGTCCGCGGTTACTGTTGATCATTTCTTCACTGCAAGTAGCGCCCTGAAAACCCCTTCCATAATAAGCAGCGTCAGATGGAAGCGATGATCACGGCTCGAAAAGGACTCTGTATTATCGGACAAAGTCTTTCAGGAACGTAGCATCTATCCACGTGGGGACTCTGCCCACTTCCACCTCGCCGTTGGTAGTAATGAAGCTATCAGGTCACCACAATGTTCTACGCGGGGGTGTTGGCTGTATGTGTCCAAGTGGCCGGTCTCTTTCGAACATTGTAACCAGGACCAATCTTACACGCCCTTTCCAAACAAACATGGAGCATACACAGCGTACCCTTCTGCCGGTTGTTACATTACAGCCATGGCAGTAGGATATGCGGTTTCGGTACTTGGAATTACTTGTCAAATATTACATCAGGCACAGCTTTTACTATAGATAGTAGAGCGTCTGAAACATAAATATGGGTTCATCTTCCTCTTCTCTCGTGCCTTCTGGCTTCATTCCTCACTCACCACGAGACCTTCAAGTCTACAGTCATTTCTCGCAACACAAGGTCCTTGACGGATCCCTTTCATTCCCTTTTTGCTTTTACAGTATATATAGTCCCTTTTGACACCTTCATTCAAGTTTATACTTTACGACAAAGTCGATTGTACATACCAAAAACACTCAAGATGCTTTACACTGCTGCTCTAACCGGCCTCATGGCCACTGCTGCCCTGGCTGCTCCTTACCGCCGTCAAACCTCAACCGGCCTAAACGTTGTCTACTGGGGCCAGAACGGTGGTGGTACTATCGAGAACAACGATCTTTCTGCTTACTGTACTGCTGAAGCCGGTATCGACGTCGTCGTACTTAGTTTTCTTTATCAATATGGTAATGGCGTCGAAATTGCAGCGGGAACAATTGGCCAGAGCTGCTCCATTGATACCTCTGGCAACCCTTCAAACTGTGATGAGCTCAGCGCAGCCATCGCTACCTGCAAGTCCAATGGAGTCAAGGTGATCTTATCCCTAGGTGGCGCGGCCGGTGCCTATTCTCTCTCTTCTCAGCAGGAAGCCGAGACAATTGGCCAAAATCTCTGGGATGCTTATGGCGCAGGAAATGGTACTGTTCCGAGACCCTTCGGAAGCAATAGTTTGGACGGATGGGATTTCGATGTAGAGGCGAGTAGCGGCAACCAGTACTACCAGTACTTGATCGCTAAGCTTCGCTCAAACTTCAACGGCGGCAACTACGTGATTACCGGTGCTCCTCAGTGCCCAATTCCGTCAGTTCTTCTTAGATTTTACAGTTATATGGCTGATGTATAGCCTGCTAATAAGGAAAAATAGGGAACCAAATATGCAGCAAATCATTACCACTTCCCAGTTTGACTATCTTTGGGTTCAGTTCTACAACAACCCATGTAAGTAAGCCTCTGTACTGTTGTACTATAGATACTAACAGTGAATGCCTTAAGCTTGCTCCGTTGGAACATCAACCCCTAACTTTGATGATTGGGTTTCCAACATTGCCAACACTCCTTCTGCTAATGCCAAGATCTTCCTTGGAGTTCCGGTTGGTTTCATCCTCATTTTTTCTTTTTGTATTACTCTTACTAAACCATTTCAGGCGAGCCCACTCGGCGCAACTGGCACTGAATCCGGTGCTAAATACTACCTTGAACCCTCTGCTCTCAACACTCTCGTTGGCCAACATAAGGACAATGCCGCTTTCGGTGGTGTCATGATGTGGTCTGCCGGATTCTCTGACTCCAACGTCAACAACGGATGCACTTACGCTCAAGAGGCTAAGAAGATCCTCAGATCTGGTCAGATCTGCTAAATGTCGAGACAATAAGCCTCGAATTCGCTCTCACGAGACATGAAGAACAGTCCACCCTTTTGGAATGATCACCTTTCCTTTTCTGCACATTTCTTCTTTCATCATCTCTTCTCTTCTCTTGATTACTGTTTATATTTTTCCTTTTGGGACCGATGTATTTACTTTTGCACTCGCTGGTAGAGAGAATATACATAGATGCGCACATACATATATATATAGGTAGCTAATGAGCTAGATGGCATTGCCATTCGGCACATTGGACACAAATGACTATATCATACAACATTAAGTTAATCTTTGAAGTGAAAAATAAATTTAGTGACTATTTAAATTGAATCGCAGTTCAGGGGAGTTGTGGGAGTTGTGAGAGTTAGTTGCGGAGCCAAGTTACATGTAGTTATCATGCGACTTCACCACAGCGCAGACTAAGCTATCAGCGGATGCATGTACCATCGTACAAAAAGGCAACTATCATATACATGGCAGCATTAAACATTAAATTTCTATTTTGTTACTCCCGTTATTGTAGAATTGCAAAATACCACCCAGGTTTCGGCAGATGCGTCTTCCCCAAGTCTCCCTTTAGCCAACATCTATGCTCGCTCCCCGCATCTCCCGGAATTATGCCCCATCCACAGGCTGTACAACCTGGAAAGGTTGCACAGTTGGCCATACAGTCCTCCATGTCTATTGTATATAAATTTCCCAACTCGACTGCCTGGCCTGCACCGCTGTAGTCTATTCCGCAAATAAGCAAAAAGGTCTTTTCTGAGCCGGGGACGGCGTATCGTGTGTTGTTGGCTTGAGGACAGCCAAGCAGGTTAGATGGAAGAGATTCAGTAGCAGAAGCAGTCTTTGAACTCGACGTGGAAGTCGATGTGTGAGCAGAACTTGTCGTGGGGCTGTTACAGCAGCAATGTCAGTACACGGCATGAATCGGAAACTGGTAGTTGTGAAAAGGCCTTTGGAAATCCCATCTCAGCCATCCTAGCATACCTTGGTTGAACAGCTGCCTTATGCCTCGTACCCAGACCAACGCCGACACCAACGCCAACGCCAATCGCCACGAATAGCCCTACAGCTGCCATTATAAGCCAAAACAACCGGGTAGTCACTCCACATATGGTGGCCTGCGGTATAGGTGCTGGCGGAGCAACGCGGTCATACTGGTAATCGTAGAATTCTCCCGCTTTATGGAGAATGTTGGTAGTGCTCGACACATCGACATTTGTATCTCTGGTCGTTGGAGGAGGTGGGGGCGTCCCCTCGCGATAGAATGTCCGGGCGTTTTGGTCAATCGATCTGCCCCGGTCTGGAGACATCGGGGCCCCGTCTGGAGTTGCACGGATCAGATTTCGTCTGCCGCTGTCGCTATTGTGGTAAAGGACGCTTTGGCTGCTTGTACTGATGGTAGCTGAACGTCCGCGCTGTGCACCGCTGAAATCGCCTCCATTTCTCTCGGCCTCGCTGCGATGAAGCTGAATCCCCATTTAACGCCTCTGGTAAATTGTTTCGCGCAGGGCGCGCCGGCGTCGTCTTAAGCAATTTCTCAGGACTTTTTTTTCCCACTCCTTGCTCTCTCCTTCTAGCGCCAAACCCCTGGTACGCGTTGTCGACGTCAAAAGTGTCACCCAGATAAATCTCGAGACAGAGCCTCAGCCCAGCAAGCCGAGTTTGCAACCGGCAGCGAGCTCCTTAATTTAAACAGCAATGCGCTATGTCATCATCTCTCGCATCTTTACATCGATTGTCCTTCTTCAGCGCCATCACGTGGCGACACCCCTGCCAGGTTCATGCAGACATTCGATAGTGCGACGATGAATCCGCTTTGGGAGCCGGTATTCATACTAGCGCTCTAAGCAGCTCATCTCGCCGCAGTTGACGGCGGGCCGCTAGACGCAGTCCATCATAATTCACTTGCCAATATCCTACAAGTAGTTTTGCCAGGTCATCATAGTGCTTTGGCCACGATGTTAACAGTGGTTTTTTTATATCTTAACAAAGTAGCGGTAGGCCCTTGTAGACACCGATGCCATATCCATTGCTACAACAGATTTGGTTGACCGCAGCCGAAAGTAGCGCTTGATCCTGGGCGGCGATCTCAAGATTATCTCTTCATTGGACGCAAAAGCAAAACAAAGAACTAGCCCAAAAAAGAGGAGCATCTGCGGCTGGATTGATAGTGTTAAAGCTTCAAGTTCAATCATCAACTCGTGATTGCGGCGACAAGAGAAAGACTGTTCTTCAGCGCTGGAATTGTGCTCATCAGATATCTCTCGACGTTGCCTCTTTGGGACAGACTGATCGTCGCCAGAACCGCGTCCAAGATACCCAGACGCGCCGAACGCAGTAGCTTATCCACGCTCTTTGCACTCACGATGTCTTGTGGGGTCTGTCTCGCAAGCAGCATTGGCTATACGGCCGAGGTTATGAACTACAGTATAAAGACAAATTGGCGAATGAGTGTTGTGTCTTAGGGTACTCCGTAATTAGGATGAAAATGGAACACTAAACTGATGATCAGCTATCCGCCAAGGTTGTCACTGGCTTTACACATAATAACTAAGGTCTTTGCGAGATACAGAAATGCTGCGAAATTGCTTTCTCACGTTTTTTTTAGTTCTCCGCCTTACCGCAAGATCGACCTGAGCTCCCCGCCACCTATGTATGTACTTGTGTAGATTGCAAAAGTCTAGCTGTCACCGGAGGCTACACACCGCGCCCTTTTCTTAGGTTATAGCGAGCAGGCATATCACGCATTACCCTTGAACAAGTCGTGTTTGCGGCATGCATCGCGGCGGCGATATTCCCTAGGCTAGGTACTTTAGACTGGAGTTTCATAAAGGTCACGGCGATCAAGTTGCCAAACTCTGCGCGCGAAACTGTTTCCAAGAAAACAACATAACGAATAAATGCCACACAATGGTGAATGAGCAGAAACAAAGACCAAGTTAATTGAACATAAAAAAGTGCAAAAAAGGTCAAAAAAAAAGACAACGACAGAGGCAGGGTTCGAACCTGCGCACCCGAAGGTATTAGATAGCGAGAATCGGTGTTGATTCAAGTCTAACGCTTTAGACCACTCAGCCACTCTGCCCGTTGATGTCTTTGATGCGGGATAATATTAGCTAAGTAGCGCTTGCTTCAGTACCCACCAAGCAATTGCTGCTCACCAGCCAATTCAACGCGCCGTCCAAAGGAGCTTTCCTTTTCATTTCCAATATTGCTTGCGGTCTGTATCTCTTGGGAAATCTATAGATGGCTCTTATTAGAACTATCTATGACTAGTTCTATAGTTACCGGATATGGCTACTAGCAAACAGCATATTTTACAATTAGTGTATATTACTGCATACGTTACCCATCAAGGTACATGTAGATATTTACGTTCTGGATTACCTATGAGGTGCTGAGGATAATATCATATACCGCTTGGACTGAGCTTCCAAATTCGCCAGTGCAGCCAAATGCACTTGGATTTTTGAGGATACAAGAAGACACGCTTTTCCTATTTGAAAGATACTACTGTAGTTTTCCTCGCCATATCAATGCGAATCCCAGAGCCAAGTGCAGTGAGTGCTGTCTGGTCCCGGGTAAGTCCGGCGCCGGCGAGCAACCAATCTCGAGCTCGTCGGCCCAACCACATGCGCGACACCAACAGGCATTAGTCTTACATACTCCATCTTGCTCGGCAGGCTTCCCCGCCATCGTCTCGCAACGCCAAACCTGGCCGGCGCCAACATGCCGGATATAAGAAGCCCAGCCCAGGGCAGCCAGAGCAAATCGCCGCCCCTCATCTGCAACCAACCAGGTACGTCTACAGCGCTCTCTCGTCTTCTTCCTCGCGTGATCCCCTTGCGATTGTTCATGATGCGCGTGAGTATCATCGGCTAACCGCCCAAATCTCCCTCCAGAGTCCACCGCGTCGCGCTGAGAGCTTCCGACCCGGCAGCACGGCCAACCATGGTCTCGTTGAATTGCCTCGCCAAGTATGGCCTCGCCAGCCTGGTGGCCGCCAGCCGGGCTTCTGCCTTGGTGCCCATCAATCTGATGATGCACGCCGTCGACCTCCACGCGAAGCCCGATCCAGAGCAGCGCGTATCGATCAAGGAGTACGAGGACAAATATCCCAACATCAAGGCGTACAACTTTTCGGTTCCGATCGACCATTTCCACAACGAGTCGAGATACAATCCTCACTCGGACGATTCGTTTCCACTGCGATATTGGCTTGACATCTCGAATTATCGTCCAGGAGGACCAGTCATCATCCTGCACTCTGGCGAATTTGACAGTGATGGCCGCCTTCCATATCTTCAACACGGCATTGTACCCATATTAACAAAGGCTACGGGTGGCGTTGGACTTGTCATGGAGCATCGATACTATGGCACCAGCTTCCCCGTTCCAGACCTCACGACTGAAAACTTGCGCTTCCTCTCCACAGAGCAAGCGCTCGCCGACACTGCGTATTTTGCAAAGAATATTGTGTTTCCCGGCTTGGAGCACCTGGACTTGACCGCTCCTGGGACCCCTTGGATCATCTATGGAGGCTCTTATGCCGGCGCGTTTGCTGCCTTTGCCCGCAAGCTGTATCCTGACGTGTTCTGGGGTGGTATATCCTCAAGTGGCGTCACTGCCGCCGTCGAGGATCTTTGGCAGTATTTCGAGGCAGCGCGCCAGTACGCGCCCGGCGACTGCGGGCCCACCACCCAGAAGCTTACTCACGTTGTCGACTCGGTCCTCTTCAGCGGTGACAGAGCCAAGGTGCGCAAGTTCAAGGAAATGTTTGGTCTGGGAGATCTCGAAGATGACGAATTTGCTTCCACCATCACTCGGGGTCTCAACGGGCTACAATCCACCAACTGGGATCCGGAAGAGGATGTAACTTCTCTCGGAATCTACTGCGCAGTCGTATCCTCAGATGTCCAGCTTTTCTCGAGTACCCTTCATCTTATTCCAACAGTGCAGAAACTCGTCCAGGAAGCCGGCTTTGCTACTCAATCCGACGCCCTTTCCAATCGCATGCTCAATTACATTGGCTATATCAAAGATTACGTCAAGAAGACGCTCAAGTCGGCCTGCAAACATAAATCCGCCATGGAATGCTTCTCTGCCCGCCATACTCCAAATGACGTGAGACTTGAAGCCGGATGGCTGCGCAGCTGGGCCTACCAGGTGTGCACGCAGTAAGTATCTCTGCATTCTATTAATTGTGTCTGGTATCTTGCGACACTAACTTGCCTTTTTTCCTTCTTTAGATGGGGATATTTTGTTACTGGCTCTGGTACGCCCAAGGATCAGCTTCCAATGATTTCTCGAGCCATTACTCTTGAATACGCCTCGATCCATTGCGAGAAACTATTCAACATCACTACCCCTCCCGACGTGCAGTCTATTAATAAATTAGGAGGATTCAACTTTAGCTATCCTCGTCTGGCAATTATAGATGGAGAGCAAGACCCATGGCGTTCCGCGACTCCCCACGCCAGCGGCCTGCCTGACCGAAAGTCAACCACCAGCGAGCCCTTCCTGCTTATTGACTGGGGTGTCCACCACTGGGATGAGTATGGTCTGCCCGACGATGTTCACGTGCCAGGTCTGCCGCCGCCACAAGTCACTCAGGCACACAAGGCGGAGGTTGAGTTTGTCAAGGCATGGCTGAAGGAATGGGAGGAGGAAAAAGGAACCTCATTACCAGAGCTGGGTCGGGAAGAGGAGATTATAGATGAGCTATAAGTCCGTGCATGACTCTTAGCATGCTATTCCTTTCCATTTTAATGAACCAAGCCTATCTCTTATTAAAACCCCAGTAATGTAAAGACATTACCCCTGCTATTCATCAAATTGAAAAGCCTTCGAATCGTCGGCCAACCATATCCGAATTTCTTCCAATGCATCAAAGTCATTCTTAGGAAGAGATGATTGAACCGCCTCATCGAACCGTTCATAAGTGCGACCAATGCCTTCCAAACTTCCCCCCTCTTTCTGACACGATCCAAAGTCAATAATGATTGGTACATTGTCTTTGAGCATAATGTTGCTCGGATTGATGTCGTTGTGGACAATTCCTAGTTTATGAAGATGTCGAATTCCATCACCGACTCCTTCTAAGATATGGAGATAGCTTTCCAAGCCCTGTCGGTTTGCTCGAAACATCCTTTTCCCATAGTTTTGAGGGTTGACCGCCTGCATTAGAGTTTGGTCGTACTTTGCAAAGCATACACTCATAATTTTGCCATCGGCAACTTGGCAACCAATGTATTCGGCGATATTAGGATGTGGATTTTGTCGAAGAAGCTCGCAAATTTCTGCCTCCCTGAGCACATTATCTGCAATGCAGTTTGGTCGAAGGCTCTGATGATATCGATCGTAGGAGATTAACTGAGGCCGCTTGGCAAATATATTGCACGGTAGACGATCAGGAGCCCTCACAAAATTGGTGGGAAAGGGAGGCATATAGGCAGAGACAGGGATTAGTATCTTGCGAGAAAGATGCTCTCTCCTAAACTCTAATGGTGATGAATAACGAGCTTTTGACAGGCCATGGTATGTATCTTCACCATCTCGATAGACTACGAGAGTGCCTGTGAATTCATACTGTCCGCCGACGTCTTCAAAGGCTTCGTTGGTCTCAAGCACGTCCATTTTGGTCGTCTGTGGGGCTCGTATCGGTGTCATAAAAATATAATTTAGGATCGAGTAGAAACATGGGCTGATGAGAAAATGAGGCCGGACTATTAGTTTGTTGTTTATCACTCTGTAAAGTGCAGTAGCCTTTTAGTAGCGGATGATGGAACATGGTCCGTGTGCAGGGCGATATTGGCGCCTGGACATACCAGAAGTGTCGGAGTATCGTAGGACGTGCTTCATGGTGCTGATAAGCAATTTATACATACATGTACCTATAGCTAGAAGCTGCACAAGGACAACTTCTAGTATATTAGAAAAGTAAGACGCCAAATTTAAACAGATAGCGTAGTAAAATAAGAGTCATTGAGCCCCCGGTATATTACTGCCCGGCTGATGAAGTCATGTATCAAGTACTTCATGAATACGTATACTTACTCAATACACCCAGCCACTCATCCGACAGGTCTAATGGAGTGTAGCCAATATAAGATAGCTTCTGTGCAGCCGTCGCTCCGGATATGGCGTTGGTGGCTGGCTTGAGCAATTGGATTATAACATCTGCCAATATACTTCTGATATAGTGTAACATAGTACAATCTTGCTGGTTGAAACAAAGGAGTTGGCCATCGGTCTTGGCCATTGGTCGAGTAATTAAGAGTGCCATATATTATAGGCTAACGACAGCGCAATAATTTATTGGGTGTAACGGCTTAGCTGGGATACGGTTCAAATACCCATATCGGTGTAAAGGTTGACCAAAGTAATGGTGGTTGTAATATATAAGCAATCGCTTTGCTGACCATTTCCTACCTAATTAATTCAGCATTACGCCTCATTAACGCAATATACTCCTGCAGCCGAATATCCCATTTATTCCCCCAGCCGGCTACGACACCCAGCGCAATGCAGATCAAGGAATCTTCTTAAGGGCTTATTGACTGCTGTTTTTTTTTTTTAAACATAAATCCCAAGTGGGCGGAGAGTGAAGGTTCATGATTGCAGAAATGCTAACTGCTATTACTCAGTGTCATACATTCCGTCAAGAAGGAGGTGGTCATAAATCAGTAAGACTTTAACCGTTGAAATCGTAGAGTGTGTAAAAAACTAATATAAATGCTAGCGCAGGTATGTTGGATACCTACCTAAGCACCTGTAAACACGGCCGCTGGTTGTCGCGCAGCGGAAGCCTCGGATATGAATGCGACACCTCGAAGCTATGCCCTATATCCAGTGACCGATAGAATTCGCAACGTTCATTCATTGTTTCATCATTCGGGGCTAAACAAGCGGATTCGCCCTTGCTGTTCTGCTTCGAAATTTGGAGTGCCGAGAAATCAGCCGCGTTTCTGTACAGTGGATACACAGAGCATGGTTTATTTCTAAAGGGCTGATGTGGAGAGTGTTGACTCTTGCAAAACTACGTAATGCCTGACAAGAGACTGGACCTAGTTTGTTATCGGAACTCTAGCGGAATTGCTCACCAACGTCACTTGCATATTCTGTATGCAATATGATCGTGTCTGCTCTGTATGCAATGCAGAGCAAAATCTCCGCCGTTTCTCGGGATTCGTGAAGCCGTTTACTAGCACGCACAATTGGGGAAGGCATCTATACTGCCAAAATCGGTGGTTTTCCACCGAGAACCACAATGCCAATATCCCTAGTCTCGGTACTTACACTTAACTGCGGCAGTTCAGAGATAGCGCGGTCTTAAGACCAGAAATCGGCCGATATGCGCATGACACAGCACCCAAAAGCTTCTAGTCCTTCAGCAAACGCCACATTCAAGGGGTCAATCTGGTGGCGCCGAACGGCTCCTCGGAATCGGATCTAGCCGTGTAAGCAGAAAGTTCTCCTTTGCATGCAGCAGCAAGCAACCCACAATGCTCTGTAGATCTGCGTTGGATTCTCGCTAGAAACGCCGTTTAAGTGGTTCGGCTTCCACGCATCCGTTTCGGACCCTGAATCCGCGGACAGAACGCAGAGCGCCGTGGAGGCCGCTGCAACACCGAAAGCTGATTAGTATTGCTTTTACCCAGACAGCCAATAGAATGGCAGTTTTCATGATCTGCGTGGTGATTATAACACACGTTTGCTGCATAAACCCTGCCTGTTTGCGTGGTCCGACCTTGAAGAGGCGATCCCTGTTGGCGGCGTCCACGGACAAGTGCGCCGAAGCTAGACTCTCAACGGAGTAATGGCACTCCGAAGAGCTCCATTATCATCCAACGGCCATGGTGATGGAATCACTGATTCTCGACTGCGTTGTGCAAACGTCAAGGAGAGGGAGGTGGTATTTTGTCGGCGTTAAGTGGAAGAGGGAGGCGGTGTTTTGTCGGCGTTAGGTGGCTTTGGCTCTGTCGTGGATTGTGGATGATACATCATATGGGAATAGGGCAGGGGAAGCTTTCTCGGTATATTCGTCATACGTTGAGACACGCTGACACTCGTATATATATTGCAAATAACCTCTCGAGATACAAGATAAAGAATCACAAGAGCAATCCTTTAATTGAATAACCATCTATCTTACACAGAGCAAGCAACCACACAACTACAAGGCGTAATCCTGTCGCATTTGAAAAAAAGCATCTATTTTATAAACAACAAACAACTATAACTAATATGGGTTCCATTGCAACACCAGAAGAGACTCGCTCCATCATAAACATTATTGAAGATGATGCTGCGAGTGACCCTAACCGCCCCTTCATCTTTGTACCCCGATCAACACAACCTCAAGATGGGTGGGAGCCAGTCACATATAAGCAGTTAACAAACGCTGTCAATCATGTTGCTCATATTATTACAAAAATGGTCTCCAACGACATCCAAAAAGACCACTTCCCGACAATTGGCTACATCGGACCCAATGATGTGAGATATATCATCCTCATGCTGGCCTGTATGAAGGCAAAATGTCAAGTCTTTTTCCCATCTCCTCGAAACACCATTGAGGGCCAGCTCTCTCTCTTGCAGGCGACCAACTGCCACTACTTCTGGTATGGAGAAGGATACTTGCCAGTTCTTCAAAAAGTTCTTGCACAGCGACCGTTGCAAGTATCTCTAGTTCCTAGTGCCAAGGAATGGCTCGAGGCTAGGCCCAATCCTTTCCCATATAATTATTCGGCCCATGAGACTAGGTCACATCCATGGATTGCTCTACATACAAGCGGCAGCACTGGGACGCCAAAAAAAATGTTGATGAGCCAAGCGAATCTCCAGCTCATGATCAAGCTTCGCAATATCCGCGATCAGCACAATAACTCATCTATATACAGTGTTTGGGCTTCTAGATCAACAAGGGTATTTAATCCTATGCCGTTATTCCACGGAGCGGGGTTGGGAACGATCATGATGCTCGCTCTCAATGACCGGGTGCCTTGTTCCTTGGGCGTCCCAGAGAAGCCATTAAACGCAGAGCTTGTGAAGCAGTGCTTGTCTCATGCTGGGGTTGATGGAGCTATTCTGCCTCCTTCGGTTATTGAAGATGTCTCATCCACTGAAGACGGCCTAAAAGCGTTAGCAAATCTCAACTTCCTCTCATTTGGAGGTGGTAATCTATCAGGGCCGGTAGGCGACAAGCTCGTGGACAATGGAGCATACATAGTCAACTTTTATGGATCTAGCGAGTGAGTTTATAAATCAGCCAAACCAACCAGCCAAACTAGTGCTAACGAAGAGTATCTTAGAACTTTCCCTCTGGCACTACAAGAGCAGACGAATCCCCGCCTTTGGAAGTATATTGTCTTCAATCCTGAGCTCATGGGAGCTGAGATGATCCCAACAGCGTGGGATGGAGTTTATGGGTTCAAAATACGCCGCAGCAAGCCAGATACTGGCCTCCAAGCTGTCTTTAACAACTTCCCAGACAAGCAAGAGTTCCTTACCGGAGACCTGTTCCAGGCTCACGAATCCTTGCCCAACCACTTCAAGTACTATGGGCGAGGAGATGATGTCATCGTCTTCTCAAACGGAGAGAAGCTGAATCCAGTGACCATAGAGGACATGGTCGTTGCTCATCCAGCTCTTAGGCATGTCCTGGTTGTTGGACAGCAAAAGTTCCAGCCAGCCATCATCTTGGACCCGAAGAGCCCCTTGAAGAGCGATGCAGAGGCGGAAGCACTGATTAACGATGTCTGGCCTCTCATTGAGCAAGCCAATAAGCAAACAGTTGCGCACGGTCGTATTGTTCGACAGCTGGTAGCCATTTCAGACCCCAATATGCCGTTTTTGATTGCTGGCAAAGGCACCGTGCAAAGGACCCAAACCGTCCGTTTGTACGAAGATTACATTGAGGGTATCTACCTGAAAGCAGACGCTACTGTGACCGATGTAAACCTGGATCTCAGCAGCCAGCAAGCTTTGGCGTCATCTATCAAGCAGCTGCTTCAAGACAAGCTTGACGTTGAACAGCTTGAACAAGATACGGACTTTTTTAGTCACGGAGTCGACTCATTACAGGTCATTACCATGGCGAAAATGCTGCGAGCGGGAATTGAAAAGTCAGGGATTGACTTCGATCCTAACATTGTCGCGACTCGGTCTATCTATGCGAACCCTTCAATCGAGCTCCTTTCCAGATACATCTTCCGATTCATATCCAAATCTGGTGGAGAGAGTGGCGACTCAGCAGAGGCAGAGTTTAGTGCCCAGCAGATTAAAGTCATGGAAGATATCGTCGAAAAATATACCAGCAATCTCCCGGAGCGCAATGACGCCCGAAGAGACCCAAATGAAAATGATCAAACAGTCATTTTGACGGGCTCGACAGGCTCTTTGGGAAGCTACATGCTAGACCAGCTCATCAACTCACCCCGTGTAAGCAAGGTGTATGCGCTTAACCGCGGTACTGATGGCGGCCGGTCTCGGCAAGAGGATATCAGTGCGAACCGTACCCTATCCAAAGACTTTTCCAAGGTCGAATTTTTGGGCTCGGATCTATCAAAGCCAGAATTCGGACTTGAGCCTACCAAGTATGCTGAGATGCTGTCTTCAGTGGATAGAATAGTACATAACGCTTGGCCGGTTAACTTCAATATGCCAATTGCTTCATTTGAGCCATTCATCCGCGGGGTCCGCCACTTTGTTGACTTTGCTGGCGCATCGCCCAAGAAAGTTGCTGTGGTGTTTGTATCAAGTATAGGTACTGCAAATAACTGGTCCTCTAGTGAGCCTGTGCCTGAGCGGCGGCTTGATGATCCATCATTGGCAGAAATGGGATATGGATTGTCGAAACTCGCAGGCAGCTTCATCCTGGATGCCGCGGCGGCAAAGTCAGGACTGGCCACTGTGTCTGTGCGTGTAGGACAGATAGCAGGACCAGCTGCCGGAGAGGGTGTATGGAATCCGCAAGAGTTTGTACCAAGCTTGATTGCTAGTTCAGTACACCTTGGAGTCCTTCCAAGTACTCTTGGTCCATTCCAAAACGCCGATTGGGTCCCGGCAGAAGATGTATCTGGAATCATCCTCGATGTGGCTGGAATATCAAATTCAGCTCCCATTGCCGAAATTAATGGCTACTTCCACGTGCAGAACCCGGCAAAGGTGCAGTGGTCAGAAATAGCCAACTCCCTCAAAGAGTTTTATGGTGGACGCATCAGAGAACTTTCAAGCTTTGGAGATTGGGTGTCGATCTTGGAAGCTAGCGCTGTTGCCGAACAAAATTTGGATAAAAACCCTGCCGTCAAACTTCTCGACACCTATCGCGCATTTAGAGAAAAGGAGAAAGCCGGAGAGAAACCTGTTGTTTTTGACATGACGAGAACTATCTCCAAAAGCACAACTGCCGCGGCATTGAAGCCTATAGGTGCAGATATATTGAGAAGGTGGTGCACTTCTTGGAACTTTTAAAAGCGAGTGCAACGCTTATTGTAACATGTTGCTTATCTTTAAGTTGATTTGTCAATGTATAGAACGCTAATTTGAATGCAAATCGTAAAACTACTAATGAATTCTGTATTGAATATAATAAAGTGATCGGCGAGGAGACAGAGCCATCGCGATCTGTCAACCCTCCCCATAGCCACTAGATACGTCCTACTAGTTCAAATCTCCATCAGCCACATCCTCTAAAATTGTCTCATTTCTGGCTGCAGCAGCCTTGCGCGCTAGCTTGAGTGTCCTGGTGTCTCTTTCAGTGGTTTGTGTAACCCACCACGTAAGAAGAGTAACCAGCATACACAGAGCGACCACGGCCATGGCAACATCAAAAGATACTGTGTAATGAGGAGCGTATTTACTTCTGAAGATTTGAGGTTCCACTGCTCCTCCGATTTGGCCATACGAATTTACAAACCCGATCGAAAATGCCGAGCCTGTTGCTCTACTTGTCGTCTGGACTCTCCAAGGCCACATAAGGGGGTACCACGCTGCTGCACAGCTGTTTCCGATTAGTGTAGCTGTATAGACACCGGCATTATTTGGATAAGCGACGAGAACTGCGTAGCAGGCGATAATTGTGAGAAAGCACCCCAGAGGATATAGCGGCCAAGGATAGCAGCCATTATCAGCAAATACCCCGGAGACGCCAATCAAAATTAGCGACGCAGCCGTAATGGACATGTTGAGAATTTGAGCCGTCGCATTATTTCTAAATAGTCATGTTAAAAGGCTTATCAAAGTAGTGCCAAAATGACTCTTTTGTGGATAGTCTCACGTAAATCCTAAATTTGCAATGACGGTTGACTGATAGAAGCGCACACCGTTTGATCCCAAGGTCAATGCTGCCATGTCACGGTGAATAGCCAGAGTCGTATATCTTTAAGCGAGGCTACGATTTCGCCAAGTTTAAAATCTTGTTCATTGGCTTGAGGAGCGTTTGCAGGTAGCCGAGCTTGAATGAATGCCTTTTCTTTGTCGGTCAACCAGCTTGCATTCTCCGGAACTGGCAGTCACAGCGCGTTAGCCTAATTCACCTCCCGACTCGAAGTATACGAACAATCTGGAAGTAAAAACCACACAGATATTCCAAACACAATCGTTACGGCTCCTTCGGTGAGAAATAACCTGCACAATACTTGTAAGTTGTACTGCCCAGTGGCCCCTCGGTGAGGTACAGGGGCTTACCATTGCCAGCCCGAAAGCCGCAAAGACCCAGATGCATTGTCAAATGCAAAAGCCAAAGGGCCGCCAAAAATTCCCGAAGCATTACCACAAATATCTTGAAAAGAATAAGTATAGATGCAAAGAAAAAAGTACTGCGATAAACTCACAAAAGTATAAAAGTCTTAACGACATCTCATCTGGTCGATACCAGTAGCACATTTGGAGGAGGATTCCCGCAAACTGGCCTGATTCTGCCTGTACCCTAGTAAGATTCCTAGCTCAGGCCATGGAAGAAGAAACGTACAAGTCCCAGGAGAAATCTTGTAGCATAAAGGCGACCTTTATTGTGTACAGCAGCATGCAGCATCAAACAAACACCCCACGTAACTATGATTCGTGACTGCCATTTTGACGGCGTGAAATATTTTCACAGCAAGTTCGATGGGGCTTCGCCTAGAATGTACGGTATCTTGTCTCTAGTTAGATGATGATACGAATTTTATAAAGGCAGATAGTATTTGGGACCTGGCATACATAGTATACTGCCGTTACTAGATTGTACTCATCTGATGTCATGCCAAGTTGATTCATGATATTTTGATGAGTCCCTTGGTTCATAATTCGAGCATTTGATACCTGACATTGGCTATAAATTTAAGCCACAGAATAGTACAAGCTGAGAGATTGGATTACATTGTCTGAGTCTAAGTTCTTGAACATGAAAATAAGCGAGCACAAAGGCATTAGGTGCCAATCAATACGCCTTAATAGTGTCTTCTCCTCTTCGGCAGTGAGAAGCGTGCGTGCGCCTTGGCTATCTGCTTGAAATCCATCAATGGCTCCATCTATGGGTAAATGAGATATTACTTCTCCCCGCTTTGCATAGTAAATTTTGGTTTCTTGAGATTCAATCGGTGTATTGATATCAACATTCTCGTGTGAGTCTTTACTAGGATTCATTGTGCGTACTTGTCAAAATATGTGCACTTTTGTCCATTTACTTTCGGCGCACCACCTAAAGCTTGCTTATGACTGAAAATTAACTATGAAAGCAGGGAAAAAGAAAGACCTTCCATTGACCATGCCATGTACACCCTGCAAGCAAGTATTACAAGGCTATCCCGCGATTTATATGCACTCTATGTTTCATGCGTCCATATAGTAGTAGATCTAAGCTTACGGTTGGAGGCTAGGAGGGGCAAGCTCGCAATCAATGTGCACGATCACGCAAGGTGACCATAATCTCAAACACACCAAATAAGAAGCAAAATGGGTTGTGGAGTGCATTTAGCCAAGAAATGCGATTGGCATTTAGAGTCAAAAGTCATATGTTCAACCACGGATAATATAACTATTTAAACTTAGCCAAGTTATCACGGCGCGTGGTTAAAGTGCCAGAACTTGATCATATTATGAGAAAACAATATCATATTTGAGTTGATTAAACGAGTTACACATATTAGTTATGGAAACGGTGATCAATCTTGCACAGGGGCCTGTTGAGATCCCCACATATCATCAGGTGCCAGAGACAGCTCACGAATGTATGATATTGAGATATTCGTTATTAAACACCAATTACTTACACGTGATATTTGCAAGTGGATTGGGCCGACCTGGTCACTCTAGATCTCTCTCAGTTTGAGGAACTAGGCGGTAAAGCTCGACTGGCAAAGCAGCTTCAAGAAGCTATCCAAAAGATTGGTACGTAATATTCTTCCCGTATCCGATTCTGCCTGTTTTAATTTTTTTTGTAAAGGCTTCTTCTACATTACGAACTTTAGTTTAAGCCAAGAGCAAGTAGATCGCCAATTCGCCATCGGCAAAGAAGTTTTGCAGCTGTCTACAGAAGAGAAACTTAAATATCGAGCTAGAATAGAGAAGGGAGGCTATAGCGGCTATAAGCCACTGGGCCTAAGAGTAAGCATGGCTCGTTGTGCCGTATCAGTCACTATTCACTAATATGCCATGCAGGAGATTGCTCCGGGCATATGGGACAATACTGAAAATCTTCAACATACCCAAGTTCATACCTGCCTACGAGCGCCCACAGCCGGAAATCATCAACCAGAATCGCCATGAAATCGAGACCTTTGCGCGACATATCCACGACCATATTGTTGGAAAACTCTTGATCCTCTGCGCCATTATTTTAGAGCTACCAGAAAATTATTTTCTTAATCATCACCGCTACAATGTAAAATTGGATTGTCATTTGCGATATATGAAATACCATCCACGTTTAGAAGAGGAAAACCAAGCCCTCGACAATCTTTGGGTGAAAGGACATACAGATTTTGGGAGCTTCACGCTATTGTTTCGGCAGCCTGTATGTGCGCTTCAAGTACGGACTCCAGAAGGTAATTGGCGCTGGGTTCGCCCGTATCCAGAAAGTATAACTGTAAATCTAGCCGACTCGCTCGAGTTTTGGACGAATGGGTTCTTGAAAAGCTCAATTCATAGGGTGGTCGCCCCTCCACCCGATCAACGAGACCTAGAACGCCTAGGAGTCTTATATTTTGCAAGGCGGAAGATAGTACAGAATTGAAGCCTATCACTAGCAATGTTCTTCAGCGGCTCGATTATACCAACGTGACAGACTCGAGTGCAGCTGGGATCACAGCCGGTGAATGGGTAAAGACTAGAGTCGCCAAGGGAGTCGCCAAAGATAATAGGCCAAGAAGCCATATCAAAGAACAGGTAATAATTGGTGGATTGACTGCAAAATACTATGATTAGATTCATAGCAGTGGCCAGAAGAATCCCACTTCGAGCTAAGCATCATCTTCGATGTATCGCTTATATACTGTAGGATAAAACTTCTGTCCGTTGATTCTATGAGCTCGAACCTTTATTCGCAGTTGACATTCGCCCCAAGTGTCATATTTGCCGCGTAGAAACGGAGAATCAATGGCCATGCTTTCCTCTGATTCGAGACCAGCATCATGCCGAAACGTGGAGAAATGATCCCCCAAAGACCCAAGAGCCTCACTTTTGGTCAAGTCTCGTCGTACGCCTTGAAAGAAGGGAATGCTGAATCTCTCATAATCACTTGAGAGTACTCGGTGTATTGTTGCCTTGCAAACGCCATGTGTTACTACTTCGAATGCTTGGCCAATGTTTACCACGAGCGTGCCTGGAATTACAGGGACATCGATCCAGTCGCCGGCTTTGTTGAGAACTTGTAATCCCTTGACATTTGGTGGCGAAGCTTGAAGCAAAAATGTCCACCAGCCAGATGAATCCTTATGAGGGCCGACGCCTTGACCAACTGACCCAGGAGAGACGGCTGGGTAATGGAGTATTTTAAGGCGGTGTTGGTCTGAGAGAAAGGACTCAAATGTGTGATTGGGCAAGTCTAGCGCTTGAGCTACCAGAACAAGGAAACGCTCCGCAAGAAGAGTCAACTCTAAAATATAATTTTCAACGATTGGTTGCAACTCTGGAAGTCCAGTAGGCCACTACGTCATGAATGCCGAATTAGACAATGACAATAGATGGTATGATCAATCTAGTTGCTCCTCACCTGGTTAGGGCCTCTTAACCCTTCATATAGAGGGGCATCGGGATTTGAGATGGCCGCTAATTCTGTTGCAAACTCAATTTGCTCTCTTATATCGGCCTGGCCATTTGTGATTTCCGTGCCTGCCCCCGAATATCCAAGGAAATGCTTCGAGTTCTCCAAAGCTGCTGCCTTTTTTGCACTGTCTGGGAGTGCAAATAACCTCGGAAGTATGTCAACGAGACTGTGAATTACTTGCTGAGGTACCTCGTGATTTGAGACGTATAGGAATCCCACCTCTGTAAGAGCGATGCGAAGAGCGCCGAGAAGCGTTGGGAGTGATGCTGGATCATCTGCCAGAGCCAGGTCGATTACAGGGATCTCTTGAAAGCTGCTTTTAGGACCCGACATTGTTCCGTAGAAAATGCTTTGTGATGGTAGCGACAATACTTAATTTAGCGACTAGGAGTTCGAAGAGAGAAATTAAGCTTGAGAGATTGAGGCTTTAGCGAACCCATTAGCCGAAATCGCTGTTGATACTGCTGCCGTACGTAATATTCAAGCTTGCTTATGTAAATATCTCTTGCAAAATACGCTACGTTGATCATTGTAGTCTAGATGATATCATTCGCTCTAAGTGGCTCAGTTAAAAATGATGCAATTTTAAAGTATAACTAATTATATGTTCCGAATTCTCACTATCATCGCTTAGTAGAATGCAAAATATGCCGATGTGACTATATTTATGATAATCTCTATAGTTGGGTTTGTTCTCCTCTACAGGACGTAGTTGTATCAAGCTATTTCCTAGTCAAAATGAAACGTAAAAGTCTGTGCAAAAATTCGTTAATTTGTCAATAAGGGCTTTCAAGTCTTTAATTGGCTTATTCGACCTGTTGAAGCGCGGCTTCAAAATTGGTAATCGGCCTCGAATTCTAATAAGACAAGTTGCTTCACTTTATTGTTACAGGCGGACTTCTCTGAAGTAACACATATCTGTTTATGGTAAGGCGTGTCCCACGAAGTTTCCTGCCTATATGGAAGTTAATTTATTCCGGACCTTTGGATTTTTGTCTCGCAAGGTAAGTGCTGAAACAGCTTCCTGCTCAACGCTTAGCTTACTGGGTAAGACAACTCTGGGTAATTGTTGGCCACTCTACCATATGCATGCATCATTTCTCTCGCTCATGACCAATGAACTTTAAAGTACATCTGCTTTTCGAGATTGCCTTGGAGTCTGCTTCTTTATGCCTATTGATACATGCACTGATCTAGATCTCGACGTAGCGTTCAGCTCGCTAATCGATATCCCTAGCAACTGCGTCTCACCGTATGAGACCATAAGCTATTTTAAAAATATCCAGTAATAATTTCTGCGCCACTTCGAAAGGAAAATGAGTTTTCTCACGTTTGCAACTGTGCCCTTCTAACTCAGAGGCAAGGAAATGGTTTTCAACCTCTTGCAGCGGATGCCGAATACCGAAATGTGTTCATCAAGGACATCGTTCTATATACTCCGCATAACCCGGATAATGGACACTACTACTATAGAGTACCACATGGGCAGCATCTGGTGCTCGTCACTAGGGTTATGGTAGCTGACCCCCCACATAAGAGTTTGATACTCTGCATGGATGGTATCCTTAATTCCGATGCACTTAGTGAGTATTTGCTCCAGAGCGCATGCCACCATCCCAAAATGCTGGGACAGCTGACGATGGTTGCGGGATGCTGTAATCTATGTGGAGGGTACATGAGTTGCGTCACATAAGACACTGATAATATCGATATTGTTTCCTAACTCGTGGTCAATATCACTGCTCAATACGCTGACTGCATCTTGGGTTGACGATGCCATGTAACATCACACAAGGCAAAATCCTCGACCCTGGCGCGCGGTTAATATCGCTGTCGGGGAAGAGCCCCAGCACCAAGAATTTAGCCCGACAGTGCAGATAAACGGCTGCTATCTCTAATCATCCTGCCAATGAGAGCCCAAACCGTCCGTATCTTCGTGGGGTTTTCTTGCAAGGGCCCCTTGAGCGGCAGCTTGGCTCACTAGCCGCCGCTAACATCACATCCAACTTTTGTCGTTACATCACCATCAATGTCATTGAAGAGTTGCCATTATATTTCCTGGAAACATGAGTTGTGTTTAAAACACCAGGCAAGTAGCACGATGAATGTGTTCCTGTCTCTGCATTGTATGTAATCAGGTGTGCCGTGTTAACCGTGTTGCAGAGCTCAGTCTTATTACAATGCTATGCTAACTACAATTCGGGCCTTTCTAGTGGACGTCTAGGCGCGCCCGTCAGCGCTGTATTGGATAGGTCCAAGTAGGTAAAAGAGCACCTAGACAATATTAGAGATTAAAGCACATGGTAAATAACCAATCTCCGTGTCAAATTTGTTATGGCCATCAGACGAGGTTCACTCAATATGCCTTGTAGATGGCTTGGAGTTGTGTCAGCTGTTTTATTAGCAGCCGACATGATAGTATTGCTAGATTTGTCCTGTAGCCAGACTGATTATGGGGTGGGGCCAGGAAAGAAGCCTTCAAATGTTGCCTAGCGAATCGCTCCGCGCAGGAAGTCCATGTAACTCGAGGCGATTCTATACCTAGCACAAAGTACCCCAGATTTCGTTCTCAACCCACTCTGCGCAGTAACCGCATCGTCAGCCCAGCGCAACATCAGACGTGTGTGGTAGCACGAGCGCCCACGGGAAGACGAAAGCATGGTGTAGCAGTTTGCTTCTTTAGGGCTGCTTGTGACAACCGGGGTGTAACCCCAGACCAAGTGACTGCCACCGATTGTCGTGTGCACGCACGTGGGGCGAGAGAATTTAATAGTAGAAAAAAACGTAGGGATGCAGACAGCTGCTGATAACAGCTTAAGCACTGACACTACGCGCCCACGGGAACAGCTCTAGGCGTGAGACCAAAGACGGGTCGTTGCGCGTTTGCAGCTTCTACCTTACAAAAGGAGCGTGGGCTCAAACACCTCACGATCTTAGAGCTACCTGATTGAGTCTAGACATGGTTCTCACGGCAGCCGAATTACCGAGCTGTGTAGCAGTAATCCAGGAACGCGAGATCCAGTTGCCAGGCGGCAGCCAATCGCCTCTCTCGTCAGTTCTTCATTGAGAACCTGTGTCGGCTCTTCATTCTGCACGGTTAACTGGCGGTCCGTCGCTTGACCCTTCATCTAGCTCTAGCGGGCAGCTATCCACGCGATTGATGCCGTCATGTAACGTCCCCTTCCCGGATTGGATGTTCCTCTCAGATTAGGCATCAGAAAACGCAGGCGGGAATGCGGAGTGAGGCCATATTGAGACGGGCTGCAGGAGTCAGTGTTTGGCTGGGTTTCTTAATGGCGTTTGACTTGATGTTTAAATACACCTCGAGGTTCCTTCTCGATCCTGTTCTGTCGCAGCAGCCAAGAGTTTCTTCACCACTTTCACAGTCCCACCGGGTTTCTCCAGATCCTAGACGGACATAGTTCATTTTCCACGTATATACTATATCTTTTGCGTACATAGCATTATACAAATATGCTCTTCCAAAAGACTCTCTCTGGCCTAGGCCTCTTGGCTGGCCTTGCCTCGGCCGCTCCCTCTCTTAGACGTCGACAGGCGCCAGGTGCCCTAAACGTCGTCTACTGGGGCCAGAACGGTGGCGGTACTATTGAGAACAACGACCTTTCTGCGTACTGCACAGCTACCAGTGACATTGATGTTATTGTCCTTTCCTCCCTCTGGCAGTGGGGGAATGGCGCCACAGCCATGGGAGGCTCATTTGGTCAATCTGTTGGTTCTCTCTATCCTTTACTAGTTCTACAGAGTACGTACATATTTTAACAAGTTTGTAGTGTGTAGTCAGCAGCTCAGGTGAACCCCAGAATTGCGCTGCCCTGACAGCTGCGATTACGATTTGTAAAGACGCTGGCGTGAAGATTATACTCAGTATTGGAGGCGCAGCGGCCTACTCTAGTTTCACAACGGCCGACGCGGCCTCAGCAGCCGGCCAGTATATCTGGAACGCGTATGGTGGAGGAAGCGGAGTCACTAGGTATACCAATCTCATCTCCAATTATCCAGAATAATCACTCACATAGTATAGGCCATTTGGTAACAATATTTTGGATGGTTGTACCAGTCTCGTCTCCAGTTTTGTCCAGGGCAGTCACTCACATAAAATATAGGCTTCGACCTCGATCTAGAGATCAACGCTGGATACAACCAGAACTTTGTAAACTTTTTCAATACACTTCGATCAAACTTTGCCAGCGATCCCAACCACGAATATGTCATCACTGGAGCTCCCCAATGCCCCATACCGTTGAGTTTCCCTTGAATTTGTTTCTAGAGAGATGCCACATGGCTTGCTAACAAGACCGGTGGAACACGTAGAGAACCGAACATGGGCGTTATCATCCAGGGCGTTCAGTTTGACTACCTCTGGATTCAGTTCTACAACAACAACAACTATACCGGTATGAAGTTCGTACTTTTCTGATTCAACACCACGCTAACTCTACAAAGTTCCATGCAGTTTAGGTATTAACGGTGGAGCTCCTTTCAACTACAACAACTGGACATCCTTCGTTGCAACTACTCCATCCAAAAACGCAAAGCTCTTCGTTGGTGAGTGAACCTGACTATACTGGATATTAATTAGTCTATTCTAACAGCTCCTAGGCGTACCTGGTTAGTTTAACCTTTATGTCTTTCTGATTTAATGCAAATTAATAGTCAACTTTTACTAACTACGCCCCCCCCCAAAAATAGCTGCTCCTGATGGTGCTAATGGCGGACCTTCCGGTGCGGTCTATTATGCTACTCCTTCGCAATTGGCTCAGATTGTCAGCGAAGTTCGATCTCAACCAGATTTTGGCGGAGTTATGATGTGGTCAGCGGGATTCTCTGACTCCAACGTTAACAACGGCTGTAACTATGCCCAAGAAGCCAAGACCATCCTGTTGACAGGCTCTCCTTGCTCTTCTGGGCCTGTTTCCGTCTCGATTCCCCCGGTTACAACTCCAACTTCGACCTCCTCTTCACCAGGAAGCAGCCAAACTCCTCCCTCTGGTTCTGGCACCGTTCCTCAATGGGGACAAGTAAGTTTTATCCCAAAATATGCCAAAAGTTGTCTTTTCTAATATGGAATAGTGCGGCGGTAATGGCTACACCGGGCCAACTCAGTGTGTATCACCGTACAAGTGCGTGGCCACGAGTGAATGGTGGTCACAGTGTGAGTAAATCATTTGCTATTCATGACTTGAGAATCACAAATGACAGACTCGGGAAAGAGATGGCCAAAAAAAAATCTTGCATTGTATATAAAGCCTTTGATGCATCTTTGCGTCTATTCAAGTACATATTTTAGGACCTTACCCATATTGGATACTATTTGAGTCCAGTCTCTATACTAAATTACCCATCTGTGACTGACATCTGCTTGTTTGTTCCTACCTTTTTATTAGAAAGTGTTATTTCTGAAAGTGGTAGCAGTACCGCGTACGGCTAATTGGCGAATAGATAGTACCACATGAGTTAAGCATTAGTGTCCAATAGTTGCGAGATCATTAAGAAGATGCTAATATACAGACTCCTACGGTAACATCTCTCTTCTTCCATATGTTCTGTCTTATGTACTGGCTGCTTATGACTCTATGCAAGACTAGCTGTCACTCTTCCGATGCGGTAAATCATCATGGTTGTTTACCAACTAGGCGTCCTAGCTTTTTTTCAGTCCAAGCTTCTCTCTCAACATCTTCAACAGTCATCGCTTAGAAATCCTATATATGTACTTAACAGCTCTAGACACACTCTATTAGTACTTATTTTAATGGTGAGGTTTGCCAATCAAGTAAAAATGTATGGGTTAGAAGCCTAGAGGTTCTCAGTGGTAATGAAAGCCAGAGTTCTTCTGTGAAGATGCACGAACCAAAGACTCTGTGAAAGCTATGGGCTAGCTCAGCATTCAACACGAATTTTCTTCTTCATTAGTCGATAGTTTTCATGTATACTACTTAATTGTTTTCGCAACTTATCTTTGAAACATAGCCATAAATAAAGTTTAGCACTTCAGGTAACTATTCCCAGTCGACCTCGAAGGCATCAGACTTACGTGGGGGTACCAAATCTGCAGTGGCCTGGCTACGGCTGCCCTGTTGCCCAGATGTGGATCTATACATCTAATGTATTTGTTGCCAATGGCAAATAAGAAAATATCAAAGTAAGAACTACGCTGGTCAATTGATGCGATAGTATACGCAATGGAACCATAAGTTTCGAATGATGACGCTCACATCACAAGGATACAATTATTATGAAACACGGCTCGGGAAGATAATCCTCACTCGCTCTGCGCCTACTTTTGCCTGTAAATGAATTAGGAATAAGGGTTTATTGTTTCCTTTGTGACTTTGATATATGTATTTACCCAGTATGCCTATTGCTCTGATTCATCTGGGTGGCAGATCATTAGACTGTTACACGGCGAGAGAAGAAAGTTTATATGTAGACTCTAACATCTCGAGTTTGTAGTATTACTTGACGGAATTTTAAGAAATTTGTAGAATGCAAATTTAACTTCCATTATATTGCCCAGCCGGTTAACCCGGAAACCAGAAAATATGTGGGCGATCAGCATTCTTTTAGATTGAATATTCAAACAAGATACATACATGCATGCGCCCAGCCGTTCACTCCTGTCATCCACATTCAGTTCCGCCCCCAGTAGTCTTATTTATTAGTGTACCGCTAAACTATATTTATTCAGTCACTAACCCAATTCCGTGCTGTTGGACCGTGTAGGTAGCCCGGCTCGGCTGGAGGTGCCAGGATTTTGTTCTAAAGTTTATCCCATATTATAAGAGCTAACATTCTTCAGCTTCCATTGAAGCTTGTCTTCGGCAATTGCATTTGCATATAAAATCTTAGATGCTCATACTTCATCTCCCAGTTACTAAAGTCCAAATAAAAAATCTTTCAGAATATTGCGATTATGGATTACGACTACTGCGCCCTTTCGCCCATGTCTTTTATACCATTTTTCGAAAATGACGATTCTCGCTGGCAAGCAGTGCAGGATCGAGACATAAACTCTGACGGGTTGTTTGTCTACGCAGTCAGAAGCACAAAAGTATTTTGCCGACCGGTTTGCAAATCTAGGCATCCTCGCCGGTCCAATGTTTCGTTCTATGCGACAGGAAAGCAAGCACAGCTATCAGGCTTCCGCCCATGCAAGCGTTGTAAGCCGGAATTGGAAGGTCTCATGCCAGAGGAAACGGCGGTGCAGAAAATTCGCGAATTCTTACAGGAGTTGGAAAGAACAGCAGCCAATAACGAGGACTCTTGTCAACTCAGCTTGAGTCAGATGGCGAGGCAAGCCAAAGTATCCAAATGGTACTTTCACAGAGTATTTAAAAAATCCGTTGGCGTGACTCCAGTGCAGTACTTAAAGATATGGCGAGACACGATGCATTCACAGAATCGGATTGACAACAACTGCTTGAATTGGCTTGATCAACCAACCCCCAGCACCGTTGAGTGGCCTAAGCTTACGGAGACATTCTCGAATAGTGAGGATTTCTCTACTTTCAATGTAGCCAATGTCCCAAGCGAGATGGATGAAATAGTGACGGCCGACTTTCCTTCTATAAGCTGGCTTACATGAGAGTTTTTGGTGATGGAAGGAAAGGCACGGGTGTGAGTGATACACAAAGTATAGACTGGCTAGCTTATTATTCTTTCTCTATCTTAGGGAGACAAATATTAATGCAACAAAAAAGAACGTCTCTAGATCCTAGTGATAAAGTAGAAATGCGCTGGAGGCCATCGGGTATTTGGATCCTGAAAAGCACGAGCTCATCTGCGTACCCAGACATGTATGGGTTCAACGATGAACGCTTTTTTACTTTGCTACGCGTATTCGACCTCCGATTATCTGTCTTGTCTGACATCATAACTCACTTGTTTTGACTAAGCTTACCAAGGAAGATTTTAACCCATTATCGCATTTTACGGAACCTAAGCAGCTGGGCGACAATTCTTGTCTAACCTGATTTACAAGTCCAGCGTCTGAGTGTGGAAATGTATTAAGAAGGGTTGTCACAACTAAAATAATCTGTCGGTTCAATCCATGTTAGGCAGCCGTTTTTTTTTTCCCCTCCTTCTCTTTTCTGTACATGGGTTGGGGGTGAGCAGTTCGTGAAGACGGTCTTGTTCTCTCTACATCGCGCGCCAGAGGTTGCTTATGGTTACGTACTCCGCAAATCATTTCACTAATGCTGTCTATGGTCTGTCCGATCCAACGCTAATGTCAACGCCACCAATAGGCGACTCCACATAGCCGTTGTATAAATGAATACACCCCGATATTGCGTTGTCAAGCCCATGTCTGAGGCTGCAGCGCGATACTATTTGCTGAGAGCGAAAAAGAGGAGCAAGGCTTACAATATAAGCAAGTTTTTGCGACGTAGCTAACAGAAACTCGTGCCTGCTATTGCTTCGGGAAGCGGCATTAGATACATTTTTATTTCATAGTGGTGAGACATACTAGCTATTTAAAATAGCGGAAAGAGTTATACATTGAATTTTTTCCGGAAACATGTGTTGATAGTTTGTGTGGCCTTGGAAGCTTATTGAGGCGAAGTAGAATATATATTTAAAAGATGCTGGTCTTTGTAGAATGCGGTATGTATAACTACTTCTAGGGAAGTTATTAACGAAGGCTTTCAAAAAATAAATTCGAATATCACCATGATAGTATAGTCTCTCGTGCGTCGCCCTAGAGCCGCGTGAGAAATAGATGATTTATGGGGTAAAAAGTGTATAAATGGTATAATGGCATTCTGATGCGAAACTTCCGCATCAACTTAAGTTTGTTTATCATGACTGTAATCTAGTAGCAGTAAATTTTTGAAAGTTAGGCTTTTCCCCAATCAATTTCATTATTTTGCGCTTTGTGTTGTTCATCCTTAATTTATTAGAAATACTCGAACTCCTTCTAATCATATAAAAACACGCACTAGCTGTCGTTGTCTTTACTTCAGTATGCCAGGCCACCTATTTTTTTTTTTCAATATACCAACTAATTTGATTATTAATGCGGACTTCGATAATCCCCGGCTGTTTATTAGTGACTCCGCATCTTGAAGTAGGTGAATTAGATAAACATAGGTGGTACACGCTGATGATTTATGACTGATTGGTATAATAATAAAGCGTCCAAGTTGTTGGCTTTTGCTAGATCAATTTGTGACCAGGCTTGTTGTATCATAGTCCGTAGCGTCATCCACTTTCGAAGCGGCCTACGTTCCAGTAACGTCTCTATAGTGACTAGCACCAGTCGACGCTCATCTTCTGTCGATGCTTCAAGTGCTATGACAAAAAGGGGCCAAGGACGATCACACCTCGCCATTACCTCTAGCGCCCTGTATGCATCAGCTGCCAGTTTGATAACATGCGGTGCATCTCTGGGGCTATTACGAGCGACTCGCTGAAGATAGAGAAGCGCAGCAAGACGATAGAATTCCGCGATTTGAGTGTTGTATGAAGATACTTGGCCTACATTCGAGATATCAGAGTGTTCGCATTGAATGAGATGATGTAATCGCTGTTCAAGGGCTTTTAGGCGTATATTGTGCTCTGGAGACTTGTGCTGTTCAGAGTCGCGATCAAAGACGTTATCAAAAATCTCGTATAGAATGTCTAGCAGTTCTAGTGAACATCCCCATGATGTCAGGATCTGTATTGGAGAATTAGCTTGAGGGATTTTTCGACTGATTTTTCTATTTGTAATAAAAAGGGGGAAAGGAGAGGGGACAATGCCGCTACTTGCAGTATGCTGTGAAACTGAGTGGGGAGGCTTCGATATGATTTTTCTCTGTCTCGCTATCCATGTCTGCTGTTCGTCTGTCCGAAGCCAGTGAAGAACGCTAAATTTGCACATGGTATAATAGTAAAAAATCCAGTCCATCATAACAGCCGAGTCTCCTTCGTAAGTTTCGCCTGGAGTATAAATTGTGTCAACGATTCTTTTCGTGCCGCTGAAAAATATAGCCCAGCGAAGAGGCGATTCGCCATTTTCCATCTAGATTTACGTGTAGGGGATGAGCTTGTGTATCCGGCCAATATTTGGATAAAGAAAGAGTAACAAATGAAAATTAGGAATGAGAGGAACGGGAAGGGTGGTAAGAGTGAACATACTTCGTAGACACTCAGCAGCATGCTAGCAGCAATCGCTTGTAAAGCTTCATCTTTATCCCACGGTAGAGTTCTATCAATACTCGTCTGCAAATGTTGTATTGCCTGATTCTGGTGCTGTATAGCCTTTGAAGGAACGAAAAAGAATTGAAAAGATAATGCTAATAATGTTTGACGAAGAGCCATAGCAGACGATCTCGTGCTATTTGAAGTCATCTTGACAAGTAGCTGCTGAATATCAACTGCATTATCCCCAAATGCTACCTGGACAATTGCAACTTCGTCGCGGCCTACCGCAATTTATATTAATTTGCTGTTAGTATTTGGAGACATGTGGATATAGCATACCTTCTGATGTCAAATAGACGGATTGGCTCGAAACAAGGGATGACACTGTTTCTGGTACATGTGGCAAGGCGACCTCGTGAGCGAAATGATTTTGACAAGTTTCTGTACAATATTGTCAACTTTCTAGGCTTGCAGCTTTATATCTCAACCTTTCAAGCTTACTGCTCCAATCAGGGTCTCGCAGCCGCACTGCCAATTCTATGTCTCGGTTTCCCAAGTCGATAAAGTAGAGTGGTCGACCGTGTATTGGCAGTTGGACTTTGGGAACACAAAAAAAAGCTCTTCGACTGCCAGGTTCTTTTGGCCAAGACAAAAGAATCCCGTATCCGACACAAACTTCACCACGGGCTTTGCAGCTCCCGCAGGATGGAACTTGCCTATCACACGACTTCTTTCGAGCTGCCCCTTCGTGTTATCATCCTATGATGGAAATCTCATATAGCGGAGCTAGTGACATACCTCGACAGTTCCAACATCTTTTTGGGCGATTCATTATTTTTTTTTAATACAATTAACCCCTAATATGGTAGGGAGAGAGGTATATAAATCCGAATCCATTGGGAAAGTTCTTGCGCTAGTGTTCTGCCGCCTGAGTTTCGCCACAGAAAGAATATGTTGTTATCATGCATGCCGCAGCTAAGTGGGTTTTACATTCACGGGGTGGAACTTTATGATATTTTTTTTTAAAGACCGCCATGCGATGCTACCCCTCTCATTGTGTTGCTTTGGAACATGTTGTTAAGTAGTGTTGCTGCAGATGTTGACAGTGCGTGATGGGGTGGCTACATCAGCGAATCATGGTTAGGCCATCCCATGACTGCTGGCGGTTAGACTTCAAGGATTGGTCTCTTGAAAAATATTTAAGGGCATGCCATGGACAGTAATGCAAGATTTACGTATATTTATCTTGCAGATACATATCTATCCATTCGGCTATTGTCTACGCATTGAGTTTCGCCACTGTCCACCTACGCTATCTTCATCTCGGATCTTGAAACAAGAGACAGAGACAGGGACAAAGAGTGACCATAAACATTAAAAGATATATCACAGATTAGGAAATATGAGTCAACCAATCGAATTTTGGTCGCATAGTATGTTTAAAGGGTACTTGAAGCTTGCGTTAGACGATGCGCTGACATACGCCAAGAGGTCGGCCCCAACCCTTGGAAGAATGTGATTATCTTCGAGGAATTGGGTATTCCGTATACAGTAAAATATTTAAATTTTGGCAATAACGAAGAAGGAGTGGAACACCCTGATTTCCTTAAGAAAAACGCTGCAGGGCGAGTCCCACTCATTCACGACCCCATAACCGGTAAGTGGTTAGAGCCACGCGTGCTGGTGCTAAAGAACGAAAGCTAACATGAGTGCTCCTAGGTATTATTCTGACGGAATCTAATGTGATTAATCATTATTTGGTCGACCATTATGACAAGGGCCACATATTCGCGACTACCTCAGAGCAAGACAAGTACCTCGTTGATAAATATCTCGGTTTTCAGAGTAGCACGCAAGCTCCATTTTATGCCCAAGTTAGTGCTTCTTCTTTTCCATTCTATTTGTTATACTAAAATGGGACTAACCTGTGTTTCAGTCTCTTCAGATGAAAAACAAGGGCAATATGGATGGAGTTGCTCATTTTCAAAATCTCGTAAAGAGAACCCTTCGGACAGTTGATGACGAGCTGAGAGGTAAGGAATACCTCGTAGGCGATAAATGCACTTTAGCGGATCTGGCTTTCATCCCATGGGATCTCATGTTGGATTTTGTGCTTCAAGGAGATACAGAGGCCGAGACTGCCCAAGGCAGGCAAAAGTTATTCCCTAATTGGTACAGGTGGCACACAAAGATAGCACAGAGGCCAAGTGTCCAGAGAATGATTAGATTGAAGCAGGAAGCCAATTCCAACTGAAAAGATTGAATACATTAGGCTAGAAGTCTTCGTTATATGACCAAATGGCTATACCAATGTTCACAATTGTCGTTTAATTTCCAGCCCTTTGCTTCCTCCTCTCTTCAGCATCTGATATGTACTGTATATGCGTTGTCAATGTTGTTATTAACCTGCTATATTTGGGAGAGGTGGATGGAATGTGCTGTTTGCATTCAAAATGACAAGTGATTGCGATGTTATGGCAGCTTCACGTATCTTGAATAGCAGTTGTATTGGCTATATAAGGCTCAGGCGTAAGTAAACTAGTGGTCCATTTGGATCAGGCCTCTTCTATGGGTGTATACGCTAATATTTAAGAAAATATGCGTAAAGCTTAAGTGAGTGGTTTGCTGCTTAGGGACAGCAAGTCACAGCATCATTTTCTTTCCATTTTGTCTTTCTGTTCGAAATTTTGTCTTATTAAATCGCCTTTGCCCATATAAATGCTTTTATCCGCTAAAGCATTCAAATTTGACTTGCTGAATATTGAGGACTATTTCATGGGAGGCACTGTTTTAGATCAAATAATTATCCTCATTAAATACTCTTTTATATCTGGAAGTCGTAGGCAAATGTGTTTCGTAAGAGAAGTGATAGCCCTGATTTTCTGAAACAAGGCGCATTCCCCTTTAGCTTCCTAATGCCTTGATTCATCAGAGTCTAGCAGACTGTAAGATTTCTGATTAGTACACGATAGTTTCGTAGCACAGCGATAGCAGCGCTGGTGTACAATTCACTAGTGTCTCAAGGGTTGATGTCTACGCCGAGCATTTAAAGTCCCTTATGCATCTTAATTTAATAGTAACTTTTGAGACTTAAGAGCCGCGTCAAGCATTGAAGTGATGAAACTATATTAGTTTGTAGGCACGCGACTCCATGCTGCCACTATTTCTTAGAGTTGATCTCTGGGCATGTACTAGCGCTTACTCGGAACGTTCAGGACATTTGGCTTGTCGGATCCGTTACACACTTACTTCCATGCAGCACCAATTGTGTTCCAAACGCCTGGGGGAGTACGGAGGTAGTTGCGGAGAACTTGGGTAGAAATAGTGGGTTTGGATTGCCAGAAGACACTTAAATATACCGTGGCCTTCTAGAGGTACGGTTTCTACTACAGCATGGATTAGGTATAGGACCTCCATGCTGAACGACCAGCGCCAATTCTATTTGAAAGACCCTTTAAAGTTTGCAACCACCCCAAGAGCATAGAAGACATACCCACTCATTCATGCAGGCATACGGAGTAGTTTACCTTAACTACTCTATCTTAAGGGTTTTCCCTTGCCTAAACTATTACTAGAGGCTAAGACAAAATCATAATGAGGTGCCCTAGTAAGCAGTATAATACTCAGTGTTCCAGAATGGCAATATTGGTGGCGATGTGGAACAAATCACAATGATAAGGTGAAAAGTAATGGCAAATTACCATGAAATGTTGGTATTACTTATTGCATTCAGCCTAGGTGGTTAATTCAGGTGAATAATGAGTACCTTTGATTCATATAGATTTTGATCTCTGATCCACGTCAAAGATGGATAGGTGGAATTCATTCACGTAGACGAGCTATTATCCTAGCGTTGGCAAGGTCTGAATACATATAGTGTCATAAAAGAAATGGCTAAGGAGTCAAGCAAGTTATAGATTTTACGCTTCAGCTGGTTGATGTGCAAATATTCGAAAGAAGCTTTAATCGCATTTCGCGGAGAGAAATGCTGATGCAATGGAAATAGCCGCTTCACACACGTGAATATAATACAATAATAGAGACTGGGTACATAAAATCAACGGTGTCTAGCTTCAATTCCCGTCCTATACTTGAAGAATAACTGCTCAACGTGTCAGCTGGTGTTAATATCTGAGCATCGACGAGTTAGTTCGTAAGGAGTAGTGTTGCTTCTCGCTACCAACCACATGTTCCTAACGTCGGCACTCGCCTTGCGTCACATGTAAAAATCAGCCCATCAGACTCATAGTAACTTTGGCAATATGACTGCGGAGCACAGAGTGGAAGAAAATAGAATCTCTCCAGCGGGAACCAGCGGCATAGAGTATGTAGGTACATGCAGAAATAATAGTACATACAGTAGGGTGGCGCAAAATAAGGGTATCATTTTTAGCGGACCTTGAAAATTAGAAGCCTAGCTCTGCAAATTCCAGCATTAGCGCAATTAATATCACGGGCAGCTCAATTACAGAGCAACAGATATTACGGGCGTTAGCTGGGCGATCAGAGCCCACTGCTCGCTTAATTTGGCATCATTATGTACGGCGCTGACTACATGTAACCGCTCTATGCGGGCAGGCCGGACAAGAGAACAGCAGAGGCCGGGCAAAATCCGGGCACACAGCGGCCGAATTATACACACCTATAAGCACCGCAGATAGTGCTCATATTGTCATGAAATATGCTTCTCCGTTTTTACGTGTACGATTTTCAACACACAGGTTGCGGATTTCTCATGACATGGAATCTGGTGAGCTATTTTCACACTTCCTATTCCCATTAAGGATATCGCAGATGACATTGTTTACCCAGGTTCCCTCTATTCAGCTATACAATGCAATACCACGACGTTAAGGGAGCGCCGTTGATACTGTAGCTCACTCAGAGCATATTGCTGGTATTTTGCCATGTTTAACGATATGCTTGAGAAAATGGGAGTTGAAAAAGAAATTAAGATCGTGGCTAGAAAACGGTTAAGAAGAGCCACAGTGTCATAGCGCGGGTGATGTATAACGGTCAGGCAACCAGTTCGCAATGATACGCGCACAGTAGCACCTTTGTCGGGCGGAGTACAGCGGGCTATGAACTAATCTGTGCTTGTTTCTCCAGCTTTAGATTCCAAAGGGCAGGCTAGCCTAGCCACACAGAGTATGGCTTCATCATGGTTTTCTAAGCAGCAATGTAATTCGTTACAAATAATGAGGCCATCTCAATTAAGCTATCCCTAGCCTAGTGGGACACAAAATTGCCCCAGAAGATCTCATTGTCCTATGCTCAACAGTAAGCTTTTCTATGACAATCATGGTGATATCACACTTATAAAGCCTGATTCCAATCATTCCCACTTTCTTTTGCTTTTGATTCCATCTCTCAATAACACGATTGGCAAGGCAGACTACCATAAATAAGAAGCTTTATTCTCAATTCCTTGTAACCACTTAATTTATTAGCATCTGACTTCATCAAGCATCTTACCAGGTTCTCAATCTACTTCGAATCTACCAAACAATTAAATTACCTCTTCAAAATGGCAGACAAGGTAAAATTGAAATAGTTTAAGTGCATATGGCATCATGCTTACACATACCTTTGTACAGTTTACTATTTACTCCTCCGGTGAATCGCAGTGGGTAGGCGTCATGCATTTGGCGCTGGTTGAGAAAGGTCTCAAGAAGGACATAGATTACAATGTGAAGGAGATTAGTCTTTGTGAGTCTCAGCACCTGTTCTCCCCATGTATAAAATCCACTCTAACATTTCACCCTATCTAGCAAATGGCGACAACTTCGCCCCCGAATATATCGCAATTAATCCCAATGGAACAGTGCCTTCTCTCACTGCCCCTTCTCTCTCTAAACCCATCACCGAAAGTGCTGATATCCTACGATGGATTGATGCTCGAGGAACAAAGACCCTTGCGCCTGAAGATGCGGCTCGGTCAAAAGAGATACTTGATCTCATGCACTCACCATCCATGAGCACCAACCTAATTCTATTCCAGGCGCGAGATGCGGATGAGATGGCGTACAAGAAAGGTAGCGCCTGGAATGCCTTCCTTGAAGGACGCCAGACACGGTTAGACAAGGAGCTCGCCGCACAGCCCACCCACCCATTTTATGTTTCGAAGACAGCTGAAAATCTGTCTGTGACATCATTATATCGGGCAGATGTTGGACCCACCCATGAAGATTTCTACAAGATGACGGATGGCATGTATCGCACCCTGGCTGCAGGCCTTGACAAGCTCGACAGCTTGATTGCTCTACCGTATGCGGCTGGGTCGCGGGTTAGTGAGGCAGACTACAATACCGTTCCATGGCTCGCACACGCCATGATGGGAGCGGATACGCCAGTTGCAGACGTGCAGGACTTTGGGCCATTGGAACGCTTGATCCAAAAAACGGTACCTGATTTCAAAATTGGTTCAAAGATTAAAGAGTGGTGGTCAAATATCGCAAAGACGGAGGCGTTCAAGGAGGTGTATCCCGTTTTGCACTAAGTTGCTATACTCGCAGCTTAAGGAGGCAATCATTATCACGCTGAACTTCAAGGAACTATAAAAGTGAACAATAATGTATATAAATAGATTGTTCTTATAAAATATATCGTGTTTTGTCAACGGATTGAACTTTTCTAAAAGATTTCAGAGTAAACGTGAGGTGTCTTTTTTCTGGGAATTCACACTCAAAGACATTAGCTTTCCTGGTACCAATCATGTAGACTTGTTGATGTTGACATAGGTATGTTTAGAAACAATAGAACGATGTACTATTAATGATAGGTAGTTTAAAATAGACATAATGCTCCAGGTTCTCCACTGATGACTCTTCGCATTTAGAGCACCCCCGACACAATTGTCAAATGAGTCGAAAAACCTTCAGCTTTTTTCTGTAACCTCGGCCACGTGTGTCTCATATGCATCAACATTCTCTGACGCAAATTTGCGAGCCGAAATCTTCCTTGCGAATAAAATGTCAAGTTCTTCATACGTACGTCCCTTTGTCTCCGGCAGTCGGAAATAAGCCCATATGAAAGTGAGAAGAGCAGTGCCACCCCAAAAGAATCCAGTCTTTCCAGACGCATTCCAAGCAGTAGGATTCATGAAATAGGGCTCAAGAACCTATAAACGGTAAGCAATTCGTGCCTATATAGACATAACATACACACAAAGAGGCGATAATGAAAGCAGCATACCTGGGAAACAATGTTTACGATCTGATACGCCGTTCTAGCCAGTGAAACCGTAAGTGGACGCAATCTGATTGATGATGTTTCGGAGACAATTGCATAAGCTAACGGGCCTACTGTCAAAGCATATACGAGGAGCCACAAAATGCAAAGTGCGGCTTCTGCCCATATCGCGTTCTTAGCTGAGGTCGCGGCATTAATGATGCCGATAATAAAAAGAATAGTGCAAAGAATGCCTTGGCCAGTCACATAGAGTGTTCTCCGACCGAAGTGAGTTATCAAAAACCAAGAAAATACTGTTCCAAGAAACGCGATGGCTGTGCCCCCTAGGTTCAGCTGATACGCGTGATCGGCGCTCATACCAGCCGTGGTAAAAAAGTAACTGGGCGAATAGGCAAATGAGCTTCCAGAAAGGATCTGACCAAAGAAGGCCACGCAGCAAATCTCTGTTCGGCGGAGATCGGTACCCTTGAAACACTCGACGTAGGATTTACTTTCCTTTGCTTGCGCTGCTTCAATATTGACAGTGTGTACCATCATGGCGAGTTGGCCGTTGATCTGATCCTCGGTCTTGGTTCCTCCCAAGCGTCGTAGACTTTGTCTCGCGTCATCCACACGGTCCTTACGTACAAGATACCATGGGCTCTCTGGCGCAAAGAAACAGACAATCATGAGAGGAAGGGGCCAGATCCACTGAATCGCAAACGGGATACGATATGCCCACTGATCTTGGCGGTGAATTAGACCCTCAAGGACACCTGCTGCGATGAACTGGCCAATTGCCCAGCACAAGTTTACATAAGTCGTAAGGTAACCTCGCAAGTTTGTAGGGCAAACCTCTGACGCGTATGATGGGCTGGCGACAGCGAAGACGCCCCATGCTAGGCCACAAAGAATCTGGCCTACCAACAACACAGCTGCGGAGCTGGCGAAAAACACTATGAAAATGAAAGCGTTCATGAAAAATAGGGCTCCGATCATAACGTATCGGTAGCCTAATACAGACACAAGATAGCCGTTCAAGATACCGCCTGAGATTTGACTCGCCTATTAGCGGCATAAAATTCCATGGAAGATATAAATTGTCTTACCGAAAATAGCACCCACGGTACTTCCCATGTTCAAGCCAGACTGCCACGGCGCTGAGACCTGATACCCAATTGAGCCTCCATAATCTTGGCCATACTTCTTCGCAAACTGAGGATATCCGAAGAAATTGCCCATCAAGATTGTATCGTAGCCCTCCATAATAATACTCATTGAGATAAGCATAGACCAAAAGACAGCCTTTCGGTTGCTTTTGAGGGCCTGGAGTAGAGTTTGGGAATGCTCTTCGTCAGACGCATGCTTCGCGTCGACGATGGCGCCTTCGCCAAGCGTATCCTCGAGGTGGGTAGCTGCCACCTTTGTGATATTAGGTTCCGCCATTGTTATAATAGAGTGATTGAACTGTCATCACCAACCAAAGATTACTCCCTGGGAAGATCAGAGACAGTTTGGATGCGAAGTCTCCATGTTCCAAGTTTGGAGAACTCGCCAAATCCTTATACAAATCAGCGTGACATAACGCAGGATCAGTCGCCAGTCAGCAGGCATGACTAGCTCATACAGAGCTCCTGCATCAACGATCATTGGAGCGCCAAAATTGTAAATCCAGGGACTTTGAGCAGTCTAAGCTGCAAGGGAATGGCCAGCGCCGCCAGATGTCGAACGAGGCGTTGTTTGGAATATTTATCCAGACGGTTAGCCGGTATTAGGCTATATTCAAAATGCTATACTAGGCGTTGAACTGTTAGGCCATCTACCCCATACGCGGTTTTGATAGGCTTTTGTGTTGTGTAAACTCATCGACTCATGCTTCTAATAGTGACTCCAAATCCCTTCTCCGTCCAAGCAGCCGAACCCCACGCTCGCCCCTCTTTTACCCGAGAGCAGCTCGTGCTGCCTGTTCGCAACTTGGTGTAGCGGAAGAACAACCTCCGCAGCTGAATTAGCATTAGACCAGCTACATTCTATGCGAGCTAATGATTTTCTCCTGTTTACTCCGCAAATCCAAGGATCTCGAGGCTAGTGCGGAGTGGCTTTGCTGTTACTGCTGGGAGACAACTCTTCATCAATGTGGCGAGGCCTGGCTCGGAACAAAGCCGACCAAACACAATTGCACAACATATGGCGTACATACATAGCCTGAGTTGTATACGCCGCGCAAGAAAACGTATTTCAGGCAACACTCGTGAGCAGCAGTGAACAGTCCTCCCCCGGTTTCTTCCATGGAGCAGTGGCATGGCCAATAACATGATTCCGCCCTTCTCTATCTCATCTGGGTGAGAAAGGAGCGTAACATTCACAAGATTGCATGCATGTAATCTTCCGTAGGATTACCACCTTGCAATACGCATAACTATGTCGTACTGCTTACAAGTACTACTCCACAGTGTGCTACTTTTGGTGATCTTATAGCAATTATGCGTAGGAATGATTCGAAAGATTGTTGAGAAACTATATTTGATATCATATGCCACTAGTCATTGAGATGGTATGAAATGAAAGGCCACTAGTATGTAGCGCCTTGACTTGCTGCAAAGCTTACATGTGAAAGCATTTAGCCTTTTACATGCATAGAAAGAGTATGATGGCGATAAAGCGTCGTGCGTGATGCCGCTAACCTGGAGACATAGGGTCAAGAGTAGCGCTTTTCACTGTTGGATTCTCGCTATTATGCCGTTTAGTATAGTCTCTGCTCGCTCATAGTTCCCTTTTATGCATAATGGCTCCAAACACTTGGTTTAGGTACTTTGGAGACCTAAATAACAATGGTGCCACAGGTAACTCGGCCGATTGAAAGACATAGCCTGGTGATATCGGTCTTATTGTTCGGGAATCAAGGCGCGCATCAAAGTTTGCGTCAACATGGTTATAATTTCCAATTGTTGAACCAGCCTCTCTAGTATCGCAATATGCTGAAGGCCTGAGTCTGGAGGTTTAATGTCCGCTTCCCATTCATCCAAGACCGCGAACTAGTTTGTTAGATTCGATAAAACACTGGCTCATTGAATCAGCCTACCGAATAATCATATTACCCACTGTAGCTCTCCAGTTGGCCACTACCGTCCACAAGTGAATAACGCGTTATTTTAACATACTCACAACTGTAAAGCATTACGAAAGAAGAAGCGAACCCGCCCCCGCCCCCATTTTTAATCGCATTTCGAGATGAGCATCATCTCATGAATTTTGGAAAACATTTTTAAGTGGTGTGTTATGTCGGGGTCTGGGGATTCATTCGACGCATCTTGTAGGTAAGCTGAGCATCGTCTTCGCTTCGCTTTTGCAGCTAGGAATATACTTCGTTGGCAGTGCCACGGCTTGGGCGCAATAAAAATCATTCGACTTGTATCCTGGGGAAGCCCCAGCTTTATTAAGTTGTGGGGTTTACCAAGTGTTGCCACGATTGGTGGACAAGATGCTGATACTACTAACTATGTAGTACTAGGTTTTTCTTTTGGCGCTCCAATCCCATCTCTCATGGCAGACTCAAGGAATGCTGCAGTAGTATAAAGAACTTATTATCATTGGTGGCGCTGCTGCAAAGGGCCCGTAAATTTAGCCTAAACGGAGGCATCTCACCAAACCCCCACGACTGCCACTAACTCTGTATGTCATTATGTTATAGAGCTCTTTTTAGTATTAGATAGAGGAGGGGGGTTATCATTACCTCTCCCATAGCCTCTTCCGTCGGTATTAATACCGCTAACTATGCAGGTCAACCAACGGTAGTAATAGCTTTCAATTACAGAGAAAGCGTTTTCGTAGAAGGCTATCATGAAATTCAGTGATGGCATGTGGCTGCCCATCGAGGGCAAGAGGACAGAATATGCAGAGGATGTCTACACTATCACGCAGAGGCCAGACGGCCGGGCGTTGTCTTTACTATGCCCTACGAAACATATCCGGTCGAGAGGGGATACCCTGAACCTGCCCACTGTGACACTGGTAAGCACAGCTCAAACCTCAAATAAGTTGGCCAAGGCACTCATAATTCCATTCAGGATATCGAAGCTGTTTTCGACGGCGTCATTTCTGTTCGGACGACCCACTGGTCTGGAGCTGCTAATAGAGGGCCTCACTTTGACCTTTTTCCCGCCGGAAAGTCTGTAGTTGATGCCAAGATTTCTGTATCAGATAAAGGCACAACAATTTCGTCAGGTTCTCTTAGTGCCACCATTCACCCTGACCAACACACATTCGATATCCGTTTTCATGCAACGGATGGATCCAAGCAGCTCACTTCACTGTTGAATCGTAGCGTTGGGTTTGCTTATGGTCCAGCCCCCAGCAGCCCGCTCCAACTTGATGATATGAGAAATTTCGATCATTACATATTTACACAGACGACGCTGAGTGTGGGGGAAACTGTACACGGACTTGGTGAACGTTTCGGCGCCTTCAATAAGGTGGGCCAGAGCGTCAATCTATGGAATGCAGACGGCGGTACATCGTCGGACCAGGCTTACAAGAACATATCTTTTTGGCTGAGTAGCCGCGGCTATGGAGTATTTATCGATACACCAGATCAAGTCGAGCTTGAAATTGGCAGCGAACGGTCATGCCGTGTACAGACAAGCGTGAAAGGGCAACGTCTCAAATGGTACTTGATTTATGGACCCTCGCCAAAAGAAGTTCTTTATAAATATACGACTTTGACGGGCAGGGCTGGCCGAGTTCCAAGCTGGAGTTTTGGCCTGTGGCTTTCAACGTCATTTACAACGAACTATGACGAGAAGACTGTCAGCTCGTTTCTAGAGGGCATGAAGAGCCGTGATATTCCGGTTGAAGTCTTCCATTATGACTGCTTCTGGTTAAAAGCATTTCATTGGTGTGATTTCGTATTTGACAAGGAGGTGTTTCCAGACCCCGAAGGCATGATAAGTCGAATTAAAGCCAGTGGACTTGTTAAAAAGGTCTGCGTTTGGACTAATCCTTATCTTGGTCAAGCTTCGCCTGCTTTTAAGATGGCGGCAGAGAAAGGCTATCTACTGAAACGAAGAAATGGCGACATCTGGCAGACTGATCTTTGGCAAGCTGGAATGGGCCTTGTTGACTTTACAAACCCTGAAGCTACCAAATGGTTTGCCGGCTGCATGGAGCAACTCTTTAACACCGGTGTTGATTCCATCAAAACAGATTTTGGAGAGAGAATTCCGACAGGCGATGTCGAATGGTATGATAAAAACGTGGACCCGTCAAAAATGCACAATTACTATTCGTTCATATACAACAAAGTTGTATATGAGGCTTTACAAAAAAGATATGGCGAGAACGAAGCGGTTCTCTTTGCACGATCTTCAACCGCCGGCTCACAACGATTCCCGTTGCAGTGGGGTGGTGACTGCGAGTCAACTCCCGAGGCAATGGCAGAATCGCTTCGCGGAGGCCTATCGCTTGGCCTATGTGGCTTTTCTTTTTGGAGCGTGGATATCGGTGGTTTTGAAGGCTACCCACCTCCCTGGATATACAAACGATGGGTCGCTTTTGGGTTGTTAACATCTCACAGCCGTCTTCATGGCAGTAATAGTTACCGTGTCCCATGGACAATTGATAACGACGATCAAGGAGAACAGAGCTGTTCAAAAACACTAGCAAGGTGGACCGCTCTAAAGGCCCGCCTCATGCCCTACTTCTACACACAGGCCGTAGAAGCCATTGCCGGGGGCCTTCCGCTCAGTGTTCGCGCCATGTGCCTGGAATTTCCAGAAGACCCAACCTCTTGGTATTTGGATCGCCAATTTATGATTGGATCCAAACTGCTGGTAGCTCCAATATTTGAAGAATCGGGAGAGGCAGAATTCTATTTACCTGAGGGACGGTGGACGAACTTCTTTACAGGCGAAGTAAAATTGGGGCCTAGGTGGGTGAAGGAAACTCATGACTTTGACACGCTACCTTTCTACGTGCGCGAAAATACTGTCTTAGTCTTGGGTAAGGAAGGCGAAAGACGGACAGTATATGACTACATCAAGGAAGTTGAGGTTCGTTTATATCATGTTAGTGCCGGAGCCATGGCGAATCTCGTAGACAGTGACGGTAACTCAAAGGGTATTTTGGAAGTGGATTCGAGTAATAACCTTATTGGCCAGGATCTTCTTCACAGTGGAACAAATGTTGTGGTAATATCGAAATAAAAAGAAGAATTAGAGTAATATAGATAGCAGTATAGCCTATGGTTATAGAGAAGCTTTTATAATTTTATGTACAACTCTGAGAGTAAAATACAGCAATCACAAGGCACGTAGTGGGTAGCATGATATTACAAAACGATATATAGAGTTAGAGTCGGAAACGCTTTGAAGTAATTCGATGAAGGCACATAAGATTTCAAAGGCGGTTTAAAATTGTTTCTATAAGACTTTTTCAGTCCATCGATAATCTCAAAATGAAAGAGGTTCACAGCTTGCGGCATTGGACTTTTATTACTAGACACGAATTATAGATTCGGGAACTGCTACATTGAGCACGACACTTTCCGACTCTTTCTCTTATCGTAATATCTCGCATATGCGTTCTATAGCGACGAGAAATTCCAAGTAACCTTTCCTAGAATCCGGGAAGCAGTGTTTTTCCATGCTGACTGGCAGATAGAAGTGAAAGATGGTTACGCTATGAGATATTTTTGATGAACAGTGAAGATTCGTGATATACATAATTTTTTTTAAATGAGTCTTTGGATGTATACTACGAAGAATTCACCACATATTATGATATCTATGACTCTTTGTTGTATTTTTGTCAGTTTCACCTCCGTAGGTAGCTCACAATTCACTATTCCGAAGCAAAATTAAGGGTTGATTAGCCCACGGGTAGAAATTGAAGAGGTATTCCTTCACTTAGGCGATAAGCACTGAGTATTATTTTATGCTCAAGTTCGTTGAATTCTCTACCATTTACGAAATTGGAAGCCGTATTAATACTAAAGTCCAGTTCGCGTGATAGTTCAAATACTATATGTGATGGCAACGCCAAGGCATCAGGCTTAACCAATCGTAAATTATATAAATATGTCAGGCTCAGCGATGTATACAAAGATCTACTAAGCTAGACTGTAGAAAATAAGATTATTAGTTGCAAGCATGCATAGAAGAGTTGCAAAGTTGTCAATTGGCGTGGTATTATTTGTATTGCCATTTCTATACGTATAAATCGTAATCTAGACTACAGTGCTATCAACCCTCTGTTGAACCATAGAAGCGTGAAATAACAATTGCTAAGCATGACCATTTTAATGCATTTAAATCGACGAGTAAAATATACAATTCTGAGAAGGATAATAAATTGGAGAAAGGTTTCAAAATGCAAACAAGAATGAAGCTCTACCGACTCTCTTTGTTCAACGTCTCCAGCTGAGCGTCCTGAGAAACTGGCAGATAAGTTGCCTGGTCTTTTTTGCCCTGTGCATAACGATCCTTAGCCCAGCCATATAGGGCACTTCCACTCAAGATCAGAGCCATGCTACCAGCACGGTTAGCGGTCAACGGCTCTCCGAGAGTTACAACAGCGATGGAGCTCTGGGCTACTCCTCGCGCAGCTGTCACAATCATGTGCGTAGTCGGGCTGGTAACCTCAATCTGCATGAAGGTGGCAATTGTAAGTAGAAATCCGGCAACGCCCGTCAACACCGCGGTGCCTAGGAACTGGTGGGCACTAGCAGATGCATCAGACGCCTCTGTTGAGCTCAGAAGTGCTACCGTGGTTCCCATTTCTCCGGATAGAAAGAGCAACGGAAGATAAAACGCAATAGCCATGACATTTGACATCCAGACCATCTGCCACATTCCTTCGCTGCTTTTTCCAAGAAAGCGCTTGACAACTACAGACTCAACAGCTGTAGTGAAACTCGAAATAACTCCAAGCAATACACCCTTTCCGCTGGTTAGCATCTGGCTATAGTCAGATGCCATTCCAGCGCCAAAGCCAGCCATCACCAAAGTGCAGCCGCAAAGTGATAATGGCGGGTAGTATGGACGTGGTCGAAGTACGAGAAGCGATAAAAATAGTGTAAAAGGCAGAAGGAGACCGCGAGCGATCTGGTAGACGGAAGCGTTAACCGAAGCCAAGCAGTACGTCTTGGCGAGGATGCCGACCAGTCGAGCAGCAGTAAGTGGAAGCAGTGCAACCCATGCCTGCAGATGATAGAAGTTGACATTAGTAGCGGTTCTTCAAGCGATAAATACGATCAAAGTGGCAGTTTCAGCGGCAACGGAACAAAATCATACAGCCGTCATAGGGCTAGAATACCACTTTATCAGAACATACCGAAACAGGCCTTGACAGCGTAATCCACTTTGTAAAGTAGCCGATAGTTGTGAGTAGTACAACTTGTACCGTTGTTTGAAAGGCTAGTAACGTCACAGGGGCATCAATGCCATTTAACGCTGACTTGGAGAGAATTGTGCTCAAGATCGCACAGGTGGAATGGAAGAGTACAGTCAGAGCAACTCGACGTCTGGATGGAGGCTGTGGTTCTGAGACCTCACTCATGGTGAAAAGTAGTTTGCTTAAAAAAAAAAGAACGAGTGACTAGGAAAATAATAAAATGAATGGCAGGAAAGAATTCCCCAAAACACAGCGTCGAAGAGAATATACTACAACGCGTCTACTTCAAACTATTTGATACGGAATAAAAAACCTAAGTAGTAGTGATTGCTGTAGTAGATTTTTTGCTGTCCCTACTACGAAGAGAAGAGTACTACTGCTTCTAGGATTTCTAACAGTAAAGGGGTAAGCTACGCTAATGCCGCTCTGACTACTCCATATCAAGGAAAGATGTCTGCCTTGCGGCTCTCAAACTATGAATGCCAAGGTATGTATTAGAAGACGTCGCTAGCCTGACGCCTGCAAATCCATAAATAGCGGAGATTTTCTTATCAACCCTGGGTCTGATGCTACTTAGTACCTAGTACTAGCAGTGCTAGGCCTTAGAGGGCTGGAGGGGCACGAAAAGCCTATATTGCATCTGGAGCACTATAGACCATTTAGTTATTCTAGCGTACCTACTAGAGCTCTTGGTCGTGTGCTGTGATATTCGTACGAGCGCCGCTATGCTCTGTCGCTAGTATTAGCTAGAACATCTATGGGTCTGCAAATAAAAGCTTCTGTGGCATGGAGTTGTGCCATACTCCATACTTGCAACACGGCTCTGCAGCGATCGGCTGTTACGTTGTCTTATCTGCCCACCCCTTTTCTGACAGTGGTAAATCTACTCCGTAAATAGCAGCTGTGCTAACAAGACACGAAATACTACCGAGTAAGAAACCCGGGTTTATCAATCGCGGCTGATGGCACAGGCTGGTGAGCATGCCTCACAACCCCCTCCAATGAGCACAGCTGTCCCGTTGACTCGCACCACTATTTGGCGCGCAATGGCGCTCAGGTGCTGTCCCTGATTACGTCGCCTCCTCCGCACTAAAGCCTTGGCAGGCTCCGCTAATAAAAATGCGCTGAGAATCATCCAGCCACTCATAGCTGCGCATATTGCGAAACCGTCCAGATGGTATAGTTGCCAAGACTTAACAACTCGCAAGAGAGATGCCGCACATGCCGAGTGACCTCCAAGTACCCAGTACCGTCTGATGCTTGCTGGCTTGATCCTTGTACCAAGTGACGAAGCTCCAATATTAAGAAATAGCATGCAGAGGGAAGGGGGGGAAAGCAAAAAACATATTGCTGTGCATCCACGGCTTAAGAGAGCCGAGAGGACAGTTTGGCGCAGGTGAGAGAATGGGATGAGGGAGAATACTTCCCACGAGTCTAAAAATGCAATATATGCTACATAATCCATAGATAATAAACCTACCCAAGAAGCAAAAAAAGAGAGTACCTCCAAAATTATTCAAAATAAAATGCTGTAGAACATCGCTGTAGGGCATCATCATGATGAGCCAGTGTCTGCCGGAACAATACCGCTCTTTCTAAAATCCTCGTCCATCCATTTCCTCACATTCAGTCGATTCTGTTTCATTAGTTTCTTGGCTGCAGCCTTGACCTTGTCCTTCTTATCCAGATATGCTTTCCTGTCCCCAACTACTCTTTCAACTGTCTCCATTTCTCTTTCATCTGGCTCTGATAGCCAGACCGCATCGTGCGGTAGATATGAGTAAGCTGCGATGATCTTTTCACTCGCTACCAAAGGGACTCCTGCAATGAGCGAAGCAGGGACCGTAGAAGAAGCTTTGCGATCCAAGTATGTCTCGGATGCAAATGCAGGAATCACTGCATATGACTTTGAGAGCAGTCTGTAAAAGTCGGGATATGAAAGATCTTCGTCAAACGCAACGTTATTGCGAATATTCTCAGGGACTTGAACGTGCGGGCCATGTCCAATCAAGTGTAATTTGACCGTCTCTGCAGCTTGGTCGCTCGTCGTAGCGGCCGTTCCATTTATCTTTTTGACGACATTGTCTAGGCTGCCGAAGATTCGTTTGTAATCTCGACGTTCGGGAGCGTAGTCTCCCTGCATAGCTAGCGAAACTTCGCTTGAAGATTCGACGTCTGTCTGATTAACCGGGAAAACTGGAGGAAACGTTCGTGCGGTGACGCTTGCCTGCAAGTCTTGCCACTGGGTCACAGATTTTTGTAGAAGGTAGTCAACAGTATGTTGACTGAGGCCGATAAAATCAACTCTCTCTTGGTCAACCCATTCTCGGACGACGTCGACATGCTTGCCTTTGTTCCAGTAATCGGCATGATGGACTAAGCAGAAGAGGTGTGTTGTTTCGTTGTGAAGAAGGTGCCGGAGAGGATCAACTATTGACTCTCGCTTTTCCATGTCTAATTCACAGGTTGTAGAAATAACAAAATGAGGAGGAGGAAGATTCTTGACATCATCCTTGAAAGTGTTGGAGTTGTTAACTGATAGAATTGGCGTTTCTAGCTCAAGGTCGTTGATAATAACATCAGACTTGTAGCGCTGGCGAGCAAAATAGAGCCTCAGTTCTGCGTTTGGGTGTCCGCCAAAAGCATATACCAGCGCCGCCGTCACTTCGTCGTGGACACCAGCGGACTCGACAATGGCAATGCGTATGGGTTCGTGCTTCTCACAGGGGAAACGATCATTCCACCACAATAGGTCGTCGTCGTCGGTAAAAAGATTCTGCCATATGGGTTCCTTTCCAAGAAGGATCGCCCTGGTGCTTTCACGACTGCTTAAGAAAAGTAATGCAATAGCAAGAAGAATGAAGAATAAATATAAGGAACGTAGTCGCCTGTAGTAGGCAGTAAAAGCCATCTTGAGCATGTTGATAAACAATACAATCATAAAGATACAAGAAAAACAGACATCATGCCCTTTCACAGCAGCATTTGAAAAGAGAGTTGGAGAAAAAAAAAATTACTAAAAGATCAAGGTTAGTTTGAGAAGACTGCCCCGGATGGTAGTTTAAAGCCCTTCTCTATTGATGCTACGGAGTAGTAGGCAGTAGGCAATACTAGGTATGACTACTACTAATTTGTACTACAATCGAGAACCCCAGTCTGCCCCAGGCCGCTACTTTCCATATGTGTACGTAGCCAAGGATTATCAATATTTTACTTGTACCACTGCCAAGACAGCTCGCGCTCTCCTTTATGTAGTTTGCCATGGCTACGGAGTACATTAGCACGACTATCTTGTAGCAGACTACTCCATAGCTAGCTAGTGGGGACGATCCTAGGTGACCCTACACCAGCGCTGGGCCCAAATTAGGGGCAGCCTCATGAGTATTGACATGGGTAGACAGAGAAATTGCAATTCTGAAGTACCGTATACCTCTTCCTCTTCTTAATCAGCTGTGCTGGGCTGGTCTTACGTCCGTGTATTACCACTGCCGCTAGACACGCTCTCAACACGTCCCACTGTAGTGTGATCTCTGGCGAATTTGTCCCATGACAACTACAGCCCAGAATAGGTGTCGTTGCCGGCATTGGGAAAAAAAAAAAATCGCTGTAGTGTACGCCTCTTGCTATGCTGCTTGCGAATAGGTTTGGCAGGGTCACGATCATCGCTGGGGTAACCCTTCTGATATCGTTTCTCCTGGTGATTCTAGCACAGAGCGCCGATATTAGGTCACATCTTCCGAGTTCTACATCAATATGGCCAGCGTCGGATTGTACTGCGCAATCCACCATAGAGAGTCGGAAGAATATTTCCTACGATCTCACCACGCCACCTTCAATTGGATGCGAAGACATTGTCAATGATCTCCAACAAAAACTTATTCAGGCGTATTCCAAGAGTCTAAAGGGTGTTCGATATGCGAACATTTGGGGTTACTTGGAAACAGAGAACAAGGGCGATGCCGCCATTTGGTCCGCGCAGCAGATACTCATGAGCATGCTCGGCATTGAGATGATGGAGGCATGCCGGTAGGAAACTTGGCCCTTTTCTCCCTTCAGAAAGATTTCATATCAACCATTACTCATCCTAACTAATGCCATGGTGATATAGATTTGTTGACAGAGACTGCGACATCATGCGCTTTCGCAAGGTGCTCGAGGAGCATCGCCCCCACTCAGCCATCATTATGGCAGGCGGTGGCAACTTCAACGATTACTACTGGGAAGACCAACCTTCCCGTATGAAGATGATTGAGACTTTTACCAATGTCTCCATTCGTGCTTTTCCACAAAGCGTATACATGACGAACCCCGAGCGCATCAAGGCGACCGAAGAAGCCTTTGGCAAACACAAAGATCTGCAGCTTGCCGCGCGTGATCAACCTAGCTACGATTGGCTTGACAAAACCTTTTCCCAAAAGGAGGGAATCGAGAGCCATCTTGTGCCAGACATTGCATTCATGTGGGGAAATCGATCTGATTTCAGGGTCAATGGACAGAAGACGTACGTGTTTTCCCGTCGTTAATGGTTTTTCCCGCTCTAACATCTATTTCCCTGTGCCCGTAGTCATGATATTCTCATACTTGCCCGAAAGGATATGGAAATCTCTGATGGCGACTCATCCGACATTGAATTTGGCGAGGGTGAACTGGACCTAGGCGGCAGCGTGGGCAAAGTTACCTACCAGAAAGTTGACTGGAAATTTACCCAAACGCCGGATATCGACCCACCAAAGGCCGCTCGCGATGAACCAGCCGGCTCAAGCGCACCCAAGCGAGAGAATGGCAAAAACCAGCGCGCCTGGGCCAAGGCCATTGCCGGTTTTGAGCTCCTGGGCTCTGCGCGGTTCGTCATTACTGATCGCCTTCATGGCCATATCTTGTCTACACTTATCGGCGTTCCCCATGTTCTCATGGACAGCAAACTGGGCAAGAATCTTAATTTCCACAACACTTGGACTCGCGACTGCGAATGCACTAGAGTTGCGTTCAGCATTGAACAGGCGCTCGATGTGGCTCGTCTATATTTTGAAAAAGAGGGAAAACCCTCGAAATCGCAAGTTTAGCAACACAAATTTCATGCATTTGCTTAGCATCTTCATAGATTAAGCCGCCCAAAACATTTTAGTAGTGGCGGCATTTTATTTCATTTTTTTTTTTTACCTTGTCATATCAGGATGTTAGGACCAATAGACTAAGAATAATGATTATTCAACGCATCTGCGCAGGGTACGATGCTTCACGATCTGATATTAGTAACGTTTAAGCTTGACATTGCATCCGACCAAAAGCACCGCTGTATATACTTCTTGCATTTCCCTACATTTCATTAGGGTAGTTATACCCAGGGCCCATGAAGTCGGGGTTTAGTGTTTTGGCGCTACAGAATTGAAAAAATACGACCGGCGTTGGCAGTGTCAAGTTATACACCTCAATCTTGGCGGGAGTAGAGGATTAACCAGAAAGTGCCTTTGTAGCTTAAAGAGTAGTTGGATAGTTCAGCCTTTCAATAGTGATAAAAAATGGTGTTTACGAGCTGCAAGTGTAAGGCTACAACTTGCTAAAAGTTATAATATCATAAAGTGCATTAGACGCAGAGTAGGAATAATGGTGCTACAAAACAAACTACATGTACTAAGTTCATACGATTGTTGGCTTGCATGTCGCATTTACAAAATCTATGAGCCAATAATATCAATCGACTTAGGCACACTCTGGAAATAAACGGGGGCAATGGAGATTTCTGAATAACAGTGTGTAACCATGACTAAAAGCATATTTTTATACGTGTTCTACCAGTATCTCGATTCACATCTCGAATCATTCTCCTCAGTAGAGGGCTCAATTCCGATTTTAACTAGCCTAAACCATACCCATTCTCAACAACTTGTTCCCAAATTCCAGGAAGTAATAATCAGCATACACCAAACCATGGTCACTGTATCTCACGAGAGCGTATTCATTATTATTCGCTGTTGCGTGTTTTAAGATGCAGTCAAATGCCACCCCTTCGGCCTTGATTTTGGAGTCGGCATCTGCGACAAGTCGTGCCGGATCCGTGGCTTGACACATATCTATAGTCTCCCTTGCAATGCGTAAAGCATCGTTTAAGTAGCTTGATCCCTCTCCCAGGATTTGATGTAAAAGGAGAAGGCCATTGGCGGCAATCATTCCGGCGGAGGAGTCGCGCAGCAGCCTATCACCCACGGGCGCATCAAAGTCCCAGAGGGGAACAAAAGGGTATGCGTGTTTTACGCTGCGCAAACGCTCAAGGAAGTGCTCTGCTAGTCGAATAGCCGTATCTAAGAATAGTTGGTCCTTTGTCCAGATGTAAGTTTGCGTGAAGCCTAATATGGTCCATGCTTGACCTCTATGATCGGACTCATTAACACTATACTAGAAATTGAAGGGGTAAAACTCACCTCGACCACGTCGAATCGTCGCTGTATCCTTGATGAGTATGTTTCGTCTTTAGAGATCCATCACGGGGATCAAAGTTGGCGACATGCCACGTAGAGTTGTCATTTCGAATTAGATTCCGCCTGACAAAATGGGCATGATTTGTGGCAATATCTGATAGAAGCTGGTTTGATGAGTGGTGCCCAGCATAGAATAGAAGATCCATATCTGCATTTAATTAGTTCATGCAGTCTCTCTTAGCCTCAATTTCTATACATACTGCACATGCTGTCCACAATGACTAGAAAATTAGTGTCCTTATCTGTAATGTTATATCTTGTGCTAACAGATTTATCCCAGCTCCTGACTGCCTTCATTCTATCATCATATCGAGATGCCAAGTTACTCGCAGCGGTCATTATAGAAGCACGGCTGTCGTAGTTACCCGTTAGCTCCCAATCTTGCCGTAAAGCAGGCTGGACTATGAATCCAAGATCGTGCGTGTTAGTTCTCTTGGCCATCTGGTGAAGAGGAGCGGCCCAAGTGCGACAGAGAGTGAGCAACTCTGTATGGAACATTAGGCGGTCAATGTTTGGTAGAGGTAGATACAGTGGATATCTAATGTATCTTTCTAGAAGGCAGTACAAACTCCCGGGGAAAAAGCCGCACGTCCAGAAATTGACCTCCTTGGTATTGTAGTGTCCTGGAGTCTCTCCATCTTCTGGAGTCCACTCAGGGTAATGAGATGGAGCGTTCTAATTATCCTGTTAGAATAATTCACCAGGTGAGATAACCGAAGCAAAACGTCCGGAGGTAGACTTACTCCGTTATTCAGGTATTCTTGAGCTACCTTCCACAACTTCGCAGCGACAATCTCGGAATATAACCCAGAAAGTTCAGCTGTAAGCTGATGGCGAGGAACTGTCTTGCTGGCCGTGGGCGTTAAATCGGTAGCGGACAATACGGAAGATGGTGTAGGCAAGCTATCTTGGCTGGGGTTCCGTGATAGCCCATCCTGCGAGCTTTCCCGCGATAAATCAGTAGAGGAAGCCATCTTTGAAAATAAATGAGAGTATTTTCAATCAATCTGGTTGATAATCTCAGCGAGGCAAATTAGCTATGTTGGAAACGTATGCATGACTAACAAGTTCAAGCGAGCAAATGTATGGCTCTCCTCAAAAAGGATATTGTCTCAATATAGTTCGTGGTGGAGCTAGACTGACCACCCTTTGCCAGATTTGTTATGCTCAGGTATAGCGGCTTAGATCAGATTCCATCATTATAATCATCCTCTAAGCACCGTCGCTCTCAATACTTCCGGTTTCCTCTAGCGGACACGACCCTCCGATACTTAGCCCGACGCGCCGACGCAAGCTCCACCCCCGCCGACTGGAGGCAACAACGCGCACAATCAACAATAACGGCAACGGTGCTTTCGTGTATGGGGCCTGTTCTAGAGGCTCGCCCACATTCTACCTAAATTTTGGGTGGACACCACTATCGGTGAAGCCATAGATCAAACAATATATGAGGCATCCGTAGTGAAGCAATTTTTTCTTCTAGAGCAACCGCGCTGTAGACGCTCTCGTTGTTCAGAAACAAAGGCAACATTTCACAAATCATGACAGCTCCTGTAAACGGAGATTCAAGGTTCAATCCCCTTCACGGCAATCCATTCGAAACAAGAGACGATGTGGCCAAGGCTGTGACATCTTTATTCGAACCTTTACTGCCTGTGTTCTCAAAAGGTTGTGCCCGTGTTCAAGTCGACGCGTCCACGTCAACTTGGGATCGTGCAGCTTGTGACTTGGAAGGCTATGCTAGGCCATTATTTGGCATTGCGCCGTTGGTTGCCGGCGGAGGGAAATTCAACTATTGGGAAATGTATAGGGAGGGGTTGAAGAACGGCACAGATCCACAGCATTCAGAATATTGGGGACCAGTACCGTCAATGGACCAACGCCATGTGGAAGCAGCTGCTCTTGCATATGCGATCTTGCTTGTCCCGAGTTATTACTGGGAGCCGCTTGAAGACCCGGTAAAGAGCAATGTCATTAAATGGCTGCTGCAGAGTCGCAATGGAGAACATGGATCAAATAACCATAAATACTTTCGCATCATGGTGGACCTTGCGCTTGAAAGTGTTGGCGTTGAAGTTGAAACCACAGGCACAAACGACTATTTGGATGATATGGAGAGGCTATATATATCAGATGGCTGGTATCGTGACGGAGAAGATGAAGGCGACACACGACGCATAGACTATTATAATCCGTTTGCAATGCATTACTACGGCTTATTCTATGCCGTCCATCGACCGTCAGACAAGGCACGCGGCGACCGATTCAAAGAGAGGGCGCGGGAGTTCGCGCCCGCCTTCTTACACTGGTTCGCAGATTCTGGTTCGAACGTTCCCTACGGTCGCAGTCTATCGTACAGACAATGTGTTGCTGCATACTGGGGCTACCTAGCAGTGGCTGGGGTTGAGGCATTGCCATGGGGAGTCATCAAGGGTATATATCTCCGCAACTTGCGATGGTGGAGCGCACAACCTATCTCAAGACGTGATGGTATTCTGACGATTGGATACGCTTACCCAAACCCTTTCATGGCCGAACGGTATTTATCAACCGGCTCTCCTTACTGGGCTATGAAAGTTTTTGGTCCACTGAGCTTGCCCGCAGATCATCCATTCTGGGCAGCAAAAGAACTTCCCATGCCCGAGCGGCCGCCAATCACTTCCTTCTCAGTACCAGGCCTTGCCTTCATGCATATGCCTGGCCATACAATTATGCTTAACTCTGGGCCAGATTCTAATAAAACCATGCGCTTTGTACCGGAGAAATATCTCAAATTTGCTTATTCAAGTCGATATGGTTTTTCAGTGGAGAGCGATAGCCGAGGATTTGATGTGGCAGTTTTCGATAGCATGTTGGCGTTCAGCGAGGACGACATACATTACAGGGTGCGCGAGCACTGCGAGGTCGCTAAAATGGCTGGGAATAAAATCTATTCGCTATGGCGTCCATGGTCTGATGTTATTGTTGAAACATGGCTCATCCCATCCGCTAATTGGCATGTTCGCATTCATCGAATCCAGTCACCTCGAAGGCTTGCCGCTATCGAGGGAGGGTTTGCAGCTCCAAGGGCTGATTTTAACGTCGATAAAGTTCATATAGACGATAACTCCACATGTATATTGTGTAATGAGGGCGATTTTAGCGGCATACTGGATGTTTCTTCGCCACCAAAGCGATTTGGGAGGGCTACGAAACCTCATGGCAATACCAGCCTTATGTTCCCACGCACGATAGTGCCCCAGCTCAAGGGAACCGTTGAAGCAAATGAGACCCAAATATTTGCTTGCGCTGTCCTCGCAGGGCCAGATGGCAAGTCGATCAAGGAACAATGGCAGTTGCCTCCCATCATTCCGACGATTGACGAGCTTGAACTAGAATTCCAAGACAAGGGAGAAGAGATTTCTATCACGAAGCCATATTCATCACGAAGATAGATATATATTTTGTTAATATAATTAACCATGCCATACTACAATCTTTTCATCCATAATAAAAAGCTCTAACATCTTCATCATCATTTTAGGGTACCACATTTTTTATAAAAACCGTTCTTCTCTTTTCCATTTCCTTCTTTCCTTCTTCTTCCTCCCCTAGAAAATAAGAATACTTGTTCTTAAGATAGATAAAGAGCCCTTTGGCGCCAATTTACAGCCGTGTCTCTCGTCTAAGTATATGGAATTTGGCAAATGGTAAATTATTGAGCTACAGAAAACATCTTGAATGTATATGACAGACACAATCTGGAGATGCATGTTTATACAGTTTTGTGCACATTTGAACATAAAAAAAATATTATGAGATTACATATAGTTGTCATTTAGAGGAGAAATTATTAATAAAGCAGGTTGTTTGTGGCGATAGTATTTACCTTCAAGTGCGCAAATCTGCGTTAGTGAGTATTTTTATTTCGTGCCATTCCTTTCCGCTCTCCCTGTCTATAATTTTGATAATGATCATAGGACGAATGTTAGTTTCTTACTTGTATCACCCCAGTATGAAATTCATTGGACACCGTATTACGGATAGATGGCATTTACCTCCTGCCATATGGCGTGAGGCGAGCCTTCGCTTCGGGTCATCGGCACTGTACCCCTGTCTTCGGGCAGCGTGTCCGACACATCGGCACGCCATTACTCCGTATGCCGGAATACTGATCCAACTGCTGCTGTCCAAGCTACCCGCGTATTCCAAGCCTCCATCTTGAAGAGCACATCGTCCAAAGTCTTCATACGGAGTTAGTATTGACTTTAGCCAATTACCCCACTTCAGCCACAATTTCCTGAATTAAGATTGTACCCCATGGGGAAGATCGAAGCCATTCTCAATGGTCATATGGCATGCCCCAGGAGGCACTTAGGACTAGCACTTCTTACCAGCAAGGCGGCAAGCGGAGTGAGAATTTACCGGCTATCAGCACAATAAGGGCTAGAGGATGAGTTGGCTTAGTTCGGCCCGTCCGTGAGTCTCGCCTAAGCTCCCTGTTATGCTGTTTGGTATTCAAGTAGCCATTAATAAATGGCAGTCTCCGCCGTGAATCTGAAGGTTTCATCTTCGTTTCTTGCTTTGTCTAAGCTGGGTGTCGGGGTATCTATAATATTATTGAACAAATTCTTGGTATCAACTTACCGGTACAATGTTCCACGTCGATAAAGCTGCTGTCCGCGGCGTCGAAGGCCACACCCTTCGAGAAGCTGACAAGCGGGACCGCTTTTGGTGGCACTACCCAGGTCTTCGCAGCCTCAACTTTCTCTTACTCGGTTGCATCGTCTGTGATATGACCAATGGATATGATGGCTCTATGTTAAACGGCCTTCAATCACTCCCCTCTTGGCAAGATGCCTTGGGCCACCCGACAGGCACTCGGCTCGGTACGATTTCCAACGGCACTCGATACGGTCAACTTGCTGCTCTGCTTGTTGCCGCACCTCTCATTCAGTGGCTAGGACCACGGCGCCCCATAACAATCGGTTCTTTCCTTCTACTCATTGGGGTTGCCCTTCAAGCTGGGGCTCAGAACTACGCCATGTTCGTTTTTGCTCGATGCTTGATTGGTTTCGGTAATACAATTCAAAACACAGCATGCCCGATTCTGGCCTCAGAGCTGGCCCATCCTTTCCAAAGGACCCAGATAATTGGCATTCAGAACACAACTGGTTCTTTGGGCCAGATCATGGCTGCATGGATTACCTATGGCACTTCCTTCATTGTGGGCTCTTGGTCGTGGCGTCTTCCATCACTTCTTCAGGCATGCTCATCTTGCTTCCAATTAATCATGTCTTTCTTCATGCCCGAGTCGCCTAGATGGCTGGTATATCAGAATCGCAGCAAAGAGGCGTACGAGATTCTAGCCAAATATCACGCAGAAGGCGACGAATCTTCGCAATTATTGCAATACGAGATGGCAGAGATCGAAGCGGCTATTGAGGCGGAAAAACTTCAAGCGCTGTCTTCATGGATGGGCTGGTTCCGCTCCTCCGCCAACCGATACCGGCTTTTTATCATTGTTACCTCTGGTTTCATCATTCAATGGTGCGGCAATGCCTTACTTTCATACTATATTCATCTTGTCTTCAACTCTATTGGTATTACCAACAACAAGCAGCAACTTCTTCTCAACGGCGGCATCACCATCAACGGCTGGGTCTGGGGCAACTTATTCTCACTGTTCATTGACAAGATAGGCCGCCGTCCTATGTGGCTGATTGGCATGAGTGGCATGTTTGTAGCATTTTTGTTACTAACTGTCTTCACGGGCGTCAACACGGGAATCCATTACGAGAACCATGCTCTAGGTCGTGCGACTATCTTCACCATTTTCCTCTTTGGCATATTTTATAAGATGCCTGGTTGTATGCTCAACTCGTACGTTGCCGAAGTCGCGCCGTTTGACCTACGAGCCAAAGCCTTTGTTATTTCTAGTTTTGGTGACGCAGCGGCCAACATATTCAGTGGATACACGAACCCCATCGGTCTTGGCGCTATAGGCTGGAAATACTACATTGTATGGTGCTGTGTCCTTGTTAGCAACTTTCTCATCATTTATTTCTTTTATCCTGAAACGAAAAATCTATCGCTGGAAGAAGTGGCGCAGCTCTTCGACGGACCCAACTCCGTTGAGACAAAGCTCCAGGAAGGCACAGTGGAAGTTGAAGACGAGAAGAGTGGTGGGGTTAATGAGGCTACCGCTGCTATTCACATCGGATAAGTGCTCTGGACTGATGTAATTAACGTAACGTAATATAATGATATGATGGGCTTAGCAGGGAAAAAATCCTTAATAGCTTGTAATTTATCCATGGAATTAAGATTCTGGCAGCATGAAATACTGCTGTATAAGTAAAGCTTGTCCCTACAGTGACTAGAAATATTCATCCTAGTGGTGGAAATTTTCTCCCAGGGCTCAACCCACGAGAAGCAACAAAAGTCAGCTAGGCTTACGGTAGCAACGCCGTAGCTCGGACAATAGCGCCAGTATTAGGGTCCCCTGCAAAACAGCTACCCATGTAGACACAGACCCTGCATCGCCTTGCTCCTTAACGCAGAAACACGCGACGCATGTCGGGGTCTGCATCGTCGCATACATTGTGTACACCAATCTCGGCTTCAAAGCCGCTGGGGATGCAGCGAAACTGGGCCCAGCATCGGCCTCTTCTATTGCTCCCAGCAGTCATACATAAGCAAAGACTCTCTAATAATGGATCAAATCTCACACAATAGGAGGAGTCCAGCTAGGTCAGTAGCTGGGGAAGATGAGGGTTCGCCACATGAGGATAGTTTACCCGCGTGCCTATCTTGCAGGAGAAGGAAATCTAGATGCTCTAGAGAGAGGCCGAGCTGCGCGCAATGCTTCAAGATAGGTACCTATTTTGTGTCGCGCTTTTCACTGTCATCTGTAAGATACCTGCTAATGAATGCAACCATAGGTGCTGAATGCCAGTATGTCGTCAAGCAGAAACCAGGTATCAAGGCAGGGGCAGTCGATAATCTCAATCGACGGCTAGGTAGGGCAATCTTTTAGCCGTCATCTTGTTGATTCTATCTCATCGCTAACCGGATCAGAGGTATTGGAACAAATACTCTTGGATAGTTCTGGCAATACAAGAGCCAGGTTGGCTGCTTTGCTAGACGGAGATATCGGGGAGTTTAATGGCAATAAATTTCTCCAAACGTCGTCCGTGATTAGACAAGAGGGACATCTTACACAAGGAGACGCAATAGAGTATGGAACCCGAGATTCTTCCCTTGCTTCCACCTCTCAGGCAGAACACCATCGTCCGAAACGACAACGGATTGATGATGATGATGATAACGATACTGGAAACCTTCAGTACTGGGATGCAGATAATGACTCCTGGATCCCTCCACTACCACCTATTTCATTTTTGGAAGCGGTCGTCGAAGCTCACTTCCAAACGGTGCATCACTGGATTCCGATTCTCCATGAAACAAGATTCCGGGCCAAGTTCAAAGACCAAGTTGAAAGGCAAAAGCTTTACATACTTCTTCATGCTTTATTATCTGCCTCGATCAAGTATGTCGACTTTGAACATTTTGGAATGAATGTACAGGATGTTACAAGGCAGATTCACGTCTCTCGGAAGACAGTCATGTCGCATGTAATGGGAGCACTCTCCGTCGAAAATACTCAAGCATTGGTTATTATTGCTTTTGACTATGTGCGCATCATGCCTACTCCATTCTTAAGCTATACATACACTAAAAACCTGATAGATGGGAAGCGGCCACGTCTCAAAAACGTGGCCTATCATTGGATCTCTGACTAGAGTCGTCGACTATCTGCAGCTAACTATAGAGCCAGACGAAGAGTCGCCAAAGAGACCTCTCTTGAAATCCTTAGCCATTCTAAACACCACACATGATTGGACGGAATCTGAAGAACGACGGAGGCTTTTCTGGAGCGTTTTTCTTTTGGATAGGTAAAGCTGCCGTACTACAAATGCCTCTAACCCAGCCGCTAATATCACGCTTTAGAATATGTTCGGTCACTACCGGGTGAGAACTTAGAGCCATCTATTTGGCGAATTTTAGCTGACTGTTTAGATGGCATACAAGTCTAACATCAGACGACGTTCATCGGCGCTTACCTTGTGGTGGAGCAATGTGGGCACGCTCTGAGCCAGTTTCGACCCCGTACTTTGGAATATGGGACAAAGCTACGGCCAAGATAGGCAACTCAATATCGAATGCGCCAACCATCTATCTGTCTCCAAAAACGGCAATTGATGACCCAACTCCTGGGTCCAATGCTGATGTAGATGTATCTAAGCTCGGGGCATTTGCGTATTGCATCGAAGCGACGGAGAATCTTAGCCAAGTCACGTCCTTTTTCTTACAACAAAGTGTCGATTTTGATGACCGAGATGCTGTCAAAAACTGGCTCACAAGATTCAAGGAACTCGACTTGCGTTTGGTTCAGTAAGGCACACTCTACATCCAATTCTGCATGTCTCTCATTTGTTAATTAGCTGGTTTACACAGTTGGAAGATGTTTTTGCCGAAACAATGGCAAGATTCGAATGTTTCTCGTGACGTTCTAGTCATAAAGATGGACCCAAATCTCACCCTCGCGCATATCTCGCACAATACTTCTACAATCCTCCTTCATCAACACGTTGCCTATCCTCCTACTCGATGGAAAGATGTTGTCAAGCTCCCTAGTTCATGTAGTGCCGAGACGTGCCATCTTGCTGCAGTTGAAACATCATCCATCGTGCAAAAGTATTTGCGATATATGGGCGGAATTGTCAACAGCCAGTTTGCCTTTTGCGCTTTCGTGGCTGCGAGAGTTTTACTCATTCATTGGATTTCTTGCGAAACACGCGTATTGGACACTGAATTTTTCAACCTTTTACAGAGTCTGAAAGACATGTCCGATAAGTGGCGTGGATACTATAAAAGTGGTTCTACAGTCAACGACATATCGGGCCAGAAAAGGGAAGAACGAACTATGGACTTGCCCAGCAGATATGTAGAGCAGCTTGAGCATCTACACACACGCTTCCTTAACGACATGACGTTCTCAACGGCTGGCCTTACAGATATCCTCTGCGATGCGAGCTTGCACGACTATGCCGAGAAATCGGCGCATCATACGCCAATATCCACCAGTCACGTTAATCATGGGAATTCAACAAGAGTATATCGACGATATTCATCTGGATTTGAAGCATATCAAAATGCGGGTGTACCTTCTCCTGCGAGAAGGTCTGATCACCACACAAACCATCCGTCTGACGGATCCCCTAACCGTATGCGGCATTCTGCAGCATATGAAACTCGGGGCTTTAGAGGATCTTTGGAAGGCATGGCTTTTCCATCACGGTCCGAAGCTGCGCAATCACCAATACCGACATCACCGCCAAATGAGAATAGGAGAGGCTTGGATAGTTCTGTCCATTTGTTGACCGAAATAAACGCGGCGAGTGGCTATTCTCACAGCCAGCCAATTATAACTGAAGAAGATGAGCTAACAACTATGTCAAATATGCTACTTGGAAACCAGTTCTTGGAAATGGATCGTGTCATTACACTCCAAAGCACAGATTTCTTCAACTTTGATTCGACTGGAAGGGTAGGCTTATCCGGATAAGTTAATGGCGAAGGCGTAGCCATATCCTGCGCGCAGATAGTATCTTATACTTTAATAGTTTCATTCTTACACCGATGAAGTATGGTAAGCATGCGATATTGTCGTGCTAGCTTGACAAGTACCAATTATGACCATCGGTGTGACTTATCACTATAATAGCTTTAGGCTGGTATGATGCTCCATAATACTATGAGTGGGTTTATGTGGCATATTCCCATATGAGAAGGCTAGTTCCGCAAATTTAGACAATTACTCTCTATACAGCTTCTTAACTGACGCATAGCATTAGCAATATCGTTGCACAATTTAGCTGTATCCTGACTTCATCCGTTGTTAGCGCTGGGGCCAGCGGGGTTCGGGATATTGAGTTACGCCAGTGGAAGGCAATACGCCGATGGCCGCTACGAATGATCAACAAAGGCCCGACTCAGCGTCTACCATTGTGGATCCTGAAGAAGAAAGGCAGCCAATGGATTCTTCAAACAATAGCACAGCGAGACGTAACAAGCCAGAATAAGGGAAGTAGACAAGCAATCTGCCAGCTGAATGGACTCTGGTAATAAAGGGGTGATAACAATATATGATACATTCTTGCGCTATTCAAGATTCTCTAGCGAGCTTACATTTACGCGGCGCGCTGACAACTCAAGATGTCGACGCCTCACCTGGATTCACAGTCAAACCTCAAGACTATTATTCTTGATGGCGGGCGTTTGATGGAGATACGAAGACGCCTTCAAAATGACAATGACGATGTGTTAAACAAAGCTTTTGCCATTTTGAAGAAGAAGGCTGATGACTGGCTCACCCAAGGACCGTGGTCAGTGATGGAGAAGACAAAAGCTCCCCCAAGCGGGGATATGCACGATTACACCAGCCAAGCTCCATACTGGTGGCCATCACCAGGACCAGATGGGAATCCTTACGTACAACGAGATGGCGAGAGGAATCCTGAAGTGCTTAATTATACCGATCGCGTGAATGTTGAAAAAGTCTTCGCCTCGTCATCGGCTCTTGGCCTTGCATGGTTTTACTCTGGTAACGAGGCATACGCCGAGCATGCTGCTGATATTATCAGAACATGGTTCATTAGCCCGCAAACGAGGATGAATCCAAACCTCAACCACGCCCAGCTTATCCCGTTTGCCAATACGGGTCGTCATATCGGCATTATCGATTTCTCACAGTGGTATACTACGCTCCTGGATATTGCCGTCATTTTAAATAGTGGCAGTCTCTCTGGCACGTCAGCAGCCAGCTGGACGGCCGAAGATATGGATGAATTCCGTGAGTGGAATAGAGAGTTCTTGAGTTGGTTGACAGAGAGCGATTTTGGCAGAGCGGAAAGAGCGGAAAAAAACAACCATGGCAGTTTTGCCAGCATGCTAGTGTCCGCTATTGCACTGTTTGTTGACAACAAACAGCTTGTACAACAAGAAGCGGCTAACATCCAACACGATATTAATGAGACTATCAACGCGGATGGAGCTCTTCCTGAAGAACTTCGGCGCACTCGAAGCTGGCATTATTCCAATTTTACCTTGCTAGCATTGACTCGGCTCGCCATGGTAGCTGAGAAAGCAGGAGTGGACCTATGGCACTATAGGGGGCCCCAGGGTCAAGGAATCTTCAAGGCAATTGAGTACCTTTTACCTGCTGCAACTGGCGCCGCAGCATGGGCATCCAAAGACATACATTTTGAACGATATGCTGCGGCTGATATCATCCGTACCGCTGCCGATGCGGGCCACAAAGCATCACAACTAGCTATAAGCACAATCGAACTACCTCCCGAGGGAGACCTATGGCCACTGAGGCCTGCGCCTGAACAGCTGGAGCCTGTCAAAGTAAAATTAGAGCAACTTGAGAAATGAGAATAGTTAACCTCAAGTATGAATAGAATAGCGAATAGAATAGCGAATAGAGTGGACAATGGGAAGCAAAGCAATCGAAGCGATGTTGCCTTGAAGATGTTGAACCTATGGTGGAGGGTTTCATGGTAAATCTAAGTATACAAGGGCTCACAAAATTTTAAGTTTTAACTACTACATATATTAAGTATAAATCTTTGGCTATCATATGTTCTGTATGAGGAACTGATGATTCTATCGTTCTTATTTAGTCAGTAGCGGTCAGATAGTAGAGGACGCTCTCGCCGGGGCCTAGGTTCGATGCAATTACCGACGTGGCGACTCCAATATCACTGTGATCAGGGCCGCCAGAGCCACCGCCTCCGAGAACTCTGCGCACGCTCCATCCTGGTGCACCGTTTGGCTGACCCTCAGCTATCCCCAATAGGGACAGTGAGATATTCACGAGCTGGACGCCTTGCAAGCTGGTTCCAAAACTTCCCTGTCCCAAATCTGGTCCATAGTTTGCAAGAACAACAACTGCATTCTTATTACCTGTGTTAGGTCCAGCAATCCACGCTTGGAGCTGTTCAGATGCTTGCGAACCTGGGTTCGCTGTGCCGAACGGATTTTTTGGCTGCATCGGATATTGATTCGTGAACTCAGCAACCGAAAGGAATTCAGGGTCATAGAGTAGTTCTTTCCCAAGAGTATCAAGTTGCGACAAGTCAGAGCCAGTGATCTGATTTGCTCCTGCTCCAACCCAGTGAATTGCAACTGTATATCGCTGGACATCTGAAAGGCCAGTCAACGCTTGAGCGTTTCCGGTGTACATGTTATCCATATCTGGGCGGATCATTATGGGAGTGCTTTGGCGTGTTGGATCTTCTTCTTGTTGATTTATGAAACTTCGATACTGCTCAATGGTCCGCTGTACCGTATTGAATCCCAAAAAGGCGCTTTGGCCCGCGTTGTTGATATCTTGGTCCAACCGCATTCCGTCGGCATTACCACGCCAAAGGAAGAAGTCTGCCGCTGAATTGCGGTCAAGCTTCCATGAAAGATCTAATCTCATTGGGCGACTAGCTTGTTGAATCGCCTTATGATATGCCACAGCAGCTAAAGAGTTATTCGCAGGTAAGTTTTCGCCGGCGTCAGGACTTCCTGGAGTCATAAAGTCAAGTTTGATATAATCAACTCCACTGCCCTATTACGTTAGTTAGTAACAAAAATGTTCAGCAGGAGATCTTACATCGCTGCCCAGTTGTTAACTACAGAATTGTGCCATTGCTGCACGCCATCTTTGCTGAAATCAAATGTCTGCCTCAAATTGTAGCTTGGTTGACTAGTATCAAATAGTGTTCCGAGCTTTATATTAGTCCCCTCCACCGTAATGTCTGCATCTCCCGAGAATGCTCCCGGAAGTGCATATATTCCAAGGAGCTTTCCCTGGGAGTGTAGATGGTCGGCCAACGCTGTTAAGTTCGGGAAGAGTGATGTGTCCGGGACAAGTCGACCAAATTCATCGCCGCCATTTCCTGACCAGCCTGAATCCAAGCTGCACAATGTATATCCAACAGTGACATTAAGAAGGTCACACTGGCTCTGAACATCATTTTGATTCAGAACGAACGAGGTGCCCGCGCGAGCTTGCATGCCAAAAGAGTTCCATCCGCGAGGAGGTCCATTAAATCCATTGGCACTAGTGCCATAGAATGGCACAAAGAGTGGGCTTGCGGCTGCCCTAACTGTCGTCGTTACTAGCGGAACAATGAAAATAGAAACAGGACATTTGCTTCGCATTTTGGCGTTGAGAATGATAAGTTGGGGTGATAATAAAGAGCTGTCAATGTTGAAATGCTCATTGGGATCTAGGATTTGCCCGCTTCTATGTACTCGGCGTTCTTCTTTCCTCTTATAGCATTAGACTCACCCAATAACCGATCACAAAAGGGGTTAAAATCGGCTGAGAGTAAGCAAGAGAACTAATCGCTACGGTAAGCCGGTTGAGACGGAATAAGCTACGGGCAGCTTCCTTTTTAGAGGCTAGAATCTGCAGATGGCTGTTTCACTTATGTGACCCAGACTTATTCATCACGCGCAAAAATATATTCAGACAGATTTCTAGAGGGCAGTTATCTAGCTCAAATTTATATAAATCTACAGGTTTAATAGTTGCGTGCCCAGTTTTTAATGTCAAAGCTATATCGTACTTCGAATTAATTAGTGGAAAATAAATTCTGTTCGTATTGGCAGCATATTATCTATTGTATAATATGCCCCTAGCTCAAGCTTGTTCTGTATAAATCCCATCATCTACTTATTAAACATTGCCAATTGAAAAGCTTTGCATTCATGGAGAGAGGTATCTACTCCGTCCTATTTTAAAATTATAATTATTCCGATCACTGCCGAGGCCCCTGCTAATGATATGTCATTACACTCGAATTTTCTACAGATTAGATCTTTGCTGAGACTTTTCTATCGTAGGCAAATTCTATTTAAAAGTACTTGGCGAGCTGATCGTTCCCAAATGAGGTAATCAGGATATAAGCATACTAATCCTTTATACATACTTTAGCTAGGTAGTTGGTAAAGTAAACATGCTAAAAACAAACATTCTACCTGCGCTAATGACATATGACAGCATTGTATACCACTAATTACTTGTCGTATTATTCCATAGCCCTGCCAAATGCTCCATATATGTGGAAAGAAAAAAGAGTCGGAAAAGGCAGCTAGATTTACAGAGTTGCATCAGTCGCATAATACGATTAGCCATCTATGTAGTTTTTACTGCAGATGCATGGCGCACTAAAATAGATAGTGCTGAAGCAACACATGCCAGCCAAAGTGGCTGCGATGTTTTTCTTTTTTTCCAGGCACTCAGTTAAAAGCAATAGCATTCATACACTACATGTACTGTACTTTTACTTTCACATAAGAAGTTTCTAATTAGGATACCGACATGCCAATCTACTTGCTACTTCAATTAACCAGCGAACACCCATTAGCCACACCCTCCTCTATTTCGCTAGATGCGTACTTGGCCACCGGATGTGCGCAACCTCGGAGACAAAGATCATCAAATGTATTGGTCAACGCTCATGCGCAGAGAAATTACAAAAGGTTGATTTTAAGATTTATTTCCAAGGGTTCAATAATCTATGGATCCTGTGACAAGCAATGATTGCCATCTACAGGAATAGTTGAATAATGACTCGTATGTCCTGTGCACAATACTTGGAATCTGTTATCACATTAGGCGTCGTTTTACGTATACATGGCTCCGCAGTTTAAGAAAACGTTTCCACAATCTTTGGCAAATGTGGCCAGCCAAATAAGAGAAAATAAGTTAGAGTACGAAGTTGTGAGAGACAATTTGGATGGAATTGGCCCAACACGGGCATTCTTGGTAGTAACGAATCCGTACGTTTCGGCTAATGCGTCCTTCCCGATTTGTTATCACAACAGTCCTCATCGTGTCAGCTACCGGACTCTATTTTGATAGATAGATGCTCTACGCGGACTAATTTATAGTGGGTTATGCGCTGTATCTTAGCAAATAATACAGTCTCCTAAGGGAGACCTTATGGGGCACTAATTATACCGTAGCTCCGTAAATATGGTCGTTTTTCGCTTTACTCCCTACATAGTTGCGTATTGCATTTTATTTTACTGCCCGTATGTATTTCCCTGCTACTATGGCTATAGAAAATGAGCTTACCGGTAATGTAATACTGATTATGGATGGAACGTTACAAAGATATTCTGCTTAGGTCGTGAACGTTACCTATTTGACGGAAAACTGGTGACTTGTTGTAGATAATGATCTTTAGGTAATATCCTTGAGAAGGAGATGCTTGCCATTTCCATGGTCGCTATTGATATACCTAGAGTACCTACTAAATAATGAATTAGAGTAATGAAAATCTCTCTGCCCCATTGCCCCACTCTCTCCTACTATATTGAGCTATGCCACATATTAAACTTACTGTCGCAGCCGGGCATGCAGTCGATTATTGCGCTGTTCGCTAAGCCTTTGGTCGTTTTGGTCAGTGGATCAGCATGGTATATAACTATTGACCTAAATGCACTTTAATAGTTCGCGAGTAATCACTTCAACAGTCTTGAAAAGCTAACTAGCACCCCGTTATATGTTTAGACATAGATCGAACACAAGTGAATGCTTGGAAAAGCAATGTGTTACGTTTTTAAACTTGTTATTGTAGCAAATTGGCCTCCATGAATTCTCAAAGAATTATCTCGTGTTCTTATAAGCCTTCGAGTTGGTATAGCTATCGCTCCTATATTCTATCCGTACAAGATAATTAGTTGGTGTGAGGATGGAGACATTTTATTCTAATTGGTAGATCCGCATGGTAGCTCTAATTCGTTTCCTCTTTATTCGGCTCAGTAATATCAGATTTTGTCTCTGAAGGTGTGGACTCAGATACCTTTGCTGACTCGTCCGGATTGTGGCTGCGAACAACAAGATAAGTCGGGACTATCGCTAGCCCTAATTGAAACATTAGACGCACAATTCTTCTGATGTGGGAAGTATCCAGAGGAAACTTAAACTTACCGAGAAGTATTGTGTTAACGGCCAGTGGCACTCGCCCTCCATACCAGTTCCTTGTGTTGAGACCATATGACACGGCTTGAGCAAAGCTTTCTTGGCCACGCAGAATACCCGTCAAGCGAGTGAGCTCTGCTACATCATTCGTCATTGTAGCAACAAGATAGTATAACCAATTTTGAGCTGCTTGTTGCGAAAAGTTCCATAAAAATAGCACAAAAAAGCCTTTGACGTAGCCGGGCGTGCTCCAATCCAAGAGTGGGGGATTGGAAGCAAATTGTTCTTGAACAACCCAACCGTATACCCAAGAGAGAACATGTACCGCAACGACATAATAGTATCCATATTCTAAACGTTTCTTGACGGCAAAACGAGTCCAATCGAGCCACTGGCTGAGAATCTGCGATGATAGTAGTGTGGCAAAGTTGCTTACAAAACCGATCAAAGCACGGCCGCGTACACTGAAGTAGTAGGCTTCAAAGTTCCCGCTGTACTGATTGAAATATGCAGCCCAGAAAATAGGGAGAAGAAGTAGAACGTTTCGTTTCCTCGATAGTTGGTACAAGGCCTTGAACTCAGCGAGGAACGAGTCTTCTCGTTTGACCATGACCCGCGATCCATCACTCCTTTGGACTTTGTGGGGTGGCGATAGACATAATGCTAAGGGAGCCGCCAGGCATTGTAAAACAATGAAAATGATGTAGGTCACATAGCCAACGCTCCCTTTACCTGAAGTCTTTACATTCAAACCCAACACAATAGCACCGCCCACGATGGGTCCTAATGTCCGGAACCAGACCCATATATTCAAGTACTTGGCTCGCTTAGAGGGTTCTGGGTACCCAAGCGCGATGGCTCCCTCGCTTGCCCAAAAAAGCCCAGCTGATATTCCGCAGGTCACGGCGCCGAGAAGGACGAACCAGTCGTTTCCAAAGCGATTATTTGTATAGAGACCAGCTGAATAAATCGGGTAGCCAAGGGCTCCAAGAAGAAGTGTGTAAGACAGCCCTATTCTGTTCGCAATTGGGCCGCCAAACAAACAAAAAAAGCCCATCAGTCCGAACACCAGGGCATTGGCGGCGTTGATTAAGTATGGCGATTCGGCTCCACCAGCGCCTATTACAAGTACGTATTAGATAGGCACTCCCAGTCCAAATTGAAATTTAGCAGATCGGATATGAGAGAGAGAAAAAAGGGTACCTAGAGAGTTCATGGCATTCCATAAACCAGGTGCTAAGAATCCAACGCCTCCAATAACACAAGCATTGAAGAGCGTAGTACGATACCACTGCCGCTCTTCATTTAACACAGGGGCGATGCGCTCTTCGGAGCCATCTTTGGACACATTAGCCTCGACGTCCGCCATAATGCTAATTGAAGTATCCCTTGTATTGTGAAGACTTCTGCAAGATGCTGATCGCTCATTCCAAGGACATGGCTTGCTCCTTATATAGCTATATTCTTTTATATGGGAGCTCCATTGTTATTGAAAGATCCACTTTGTGTTTCATACGCAAGATATATCATGCTTATTACCGGTATAAAGAGGCCGAGGCATTCCTGCTCAGTTGAAGGCTACGATATTCTTGTTTGGTGGTGCTCATTCTCTGCAAAAATGGCGTGAGAGATTTCATGTGGAGCGGTGGGCCAATAAGATGATGGCATGAGTCAGGTAACCAGTACCGGTACGATCTCGAAGGTAAGCTTAATAGAAGTAGTAATGTGTGGGCTAATTGATATATATGTTATAACATATATAAATGGTATTATATCATGGCCTACTACCCACAAAATCCGTTTCTCAATGTCATGGGAAATATCAGAGTTTCTATATTTATTTGTCTACGTTTGATGTTTGTGCTTGGCTCTTTTCTTTATGGCACATATAGCTTAGCCTTAAGCACACTCCCCTGTTTATTTTCATCATTGGCGCGTTTATTGTGTACCGCATATACAGCGATTTGAAAAGCAGTGCTTGCAATTCCCACTGAAACCATTACAATCATCGTGCGCAGACCAGTTAAATAACTAAAACATACAATTAGCTAATTACTAGACTAAAGAAGAAAAAAAGAAAAAAAAAGAAAAGAAAGAAAAAAAAGAAAAAAAAGAAGAGGAAGAGGAAGAGGAAGAAGTTTAGGAAAAATGAACTTACAGTGGCTTGTCATTTGCTTGGAAGTATTGCGTTCCTACCATAAGACCGCTAATAGCGGACATCACCCACATTCTACAAAGGAGATGTCAGATCTATCACAGGGGCTGAGAGTATATACGTGAGCAACTTACGCAATACTTATACTCTTCTCTCTGGGGTCTGCGCAATTAAGCTGAACCCATGAGTTGTGGATGGGATGATAGCCAACTGCGAAACTATTAACAGCCGTCCACAAACCCCACCGTGACCACCTTCCAACATGAGGCTGAAGTTGATGGGCCACTATCAGAGTGACCAAATAGCACGTCTGACCAGCAATAACAGAAGCACCTCGTTGATTGGTTCGATCGCTAAAAAACGCAAATAGAAAAACAACAGCAAGTGCGATAAATGCACCAACGGCAGCCAGAGCGTTTGCGTCGGTCCTAGCAAAGCCCAGCGACCTATTTATTATGCTTCAGAATGTTAATCAAACAGCATTAGGACACTGTTGAAGACTCACATAATGATAGAAGGGGTATACGTGGTTAAGGGGCTCCACGTGGAGAATACTACAAATGTTGAAACAAAATGTGGCCAGCGGCGATAGTGAGTAACCGTGCTCCAAACAACCCCTAGAGGAATCTTCTTGAGCCCTTGCCCATCTGAATCTTCTTCACCGTTTAATTTGAGACGCCTCTGCAAAATATTTGATTCGATTTCTGAAAATTTTATTATTCCTTCACCTAACAGAGGTTTTGGATGAGATGGCGATCCAGGGAGGAAAAATAGGAGAATAATGGAAACCGAGCTTGTAAAAAGGCCCTCAACTATCTCAAAGAGCATGAAAACGTTAGTTATCCATAGATATCGTATATGAGCTCGAACTTGGGAAGATTCAGCTCATCTTACGTAAAAAAAGCCATTGCCATCCACGAAGGCCACGATGCCCATCCAGTTGCAAAATTCCCAATGCAAGAAGAGGGCTAATCGCATTACCACCAAACATTCCGAAGAAGAAGATGGCTACTCTCTTGGCAAGCTCTCGCTTGGTATACCAAGTCGACAATGTATAACATGCCCCGGGAATATATCCAGCCTCTGCAAATCCAAGAAGGAGGCGAGTCGCGAGGAACCCCCCTCGATTCTTTATAAAAACCTGCATTATCGCAATGAACCCAAATACAAATACTTGAGCTGATATCCATTTTCGTGGACCAATACGCTGGAGAGCCATATTGCAGGGAATCTCAAAGATGACAATACCCATGAACATAAGCTGGTTGCCTAGGTTAATTGTTGACGGAGTGACGCGAATATCCGTTGCAAATCCACCAGTTAAGGCACTCGCAATGTTCATTCGATCCAGCTGGAAAACCAATAATCCGAGAAAGAGAAGCGGCAGCACAGTCGTGTCTACCCTTGCATTAAGTTAGAAATTAACAAAAAGGCCGACAGAATGTTGGATATACTTTGCGCGAGCCGCGAGTTCTTCTGCTGGATCCCATTCTGGCTGTTGCTCTGCTCTAATAGATAAACTAGAATCTTCGAGAGCCGGGTCGTTTGTGAATATGCTTAACTTTTTCTCCTCTCTTTCGATGGTTCTTGAAGTCATCGTATATCAATAGAGTAGAAATCGAATATAACATCAGGAAATGGTTAGCGCAAGTTATATCATCGAGGCGATAAGCGAACAATTTTGAAAAAGTATTGAGTATAGGTGAGTATGTGAAAATTGCTTAATTATTTGGGATGGTGCTGAGAAACATGCTTTAAAAAGAACTTCAAAAGGTAATTTCTCGTTTTCCGCCTCGTATTCAATGAAAGCAGAAGGCCGATTTGCAGTAGACCAGCATTATGGCGTGCTAGAAATTCCAGGTAATATTACACAGTAAGAATTCAGATCTCACTTCTATAATTACTAATTTAAAATGACAGTCAATTGCAAACCAGTATCAGTTTTTGGCTGCTTTGATATCTATGTTCATGATCAACTTGCTGGTTCTACTCCGTATTTGACACTAAATTATTAACATCGCGTCTGGCTGCCCGTTCTATAAATGTCAACTTATACACCATAGGCTAGCTCAGTATACATTAGCGAAGCTACTGAATTGCGTGATGCAGCCCGCCATTTGCGCAATAGCAAGATTAAAATTGGCTTCGAACACCAATAATATATTCCACAGAGCATTATTTCGTTCAAAATATTGATATGTTGAGACTTATGCCGATGCGGCTCGTGCGGCATGTGCGGCAGCTTGTAGCTGTGGCCTAGTCAAAACAGCCATTAGGCTGTGTTGTAGGTCAGCATCCTTTGAGAGTTCTGGCTCAGTTATCTCAAATCGCTCACCCTGATTTATGTAGCAATTCTAGCTGAATAATTCCTTGTTCTTCTTCAAGCTGAATCGCAACGGTATTTGGATTAAGCAATTGCAGCTGAAGCTATGGGCAGTGTTCCTGTAAGGCGAGTGGCCATCATTGGCGCCGGACCAGCGGGAGCTATTGCCATTGATGCCCTTGCTCAAGAAAGAGCCTTTGACATTATTCGCGTTTTTGAGCGTCGAGATAGGCCGGGGGGGTGCTGGTAGGTCAATTATATTGCGTTGATTCTTGCCCGCGACAGATCTTATGCTTGAAGCAAAGATAGCTATAAACTACATTGGCGCAGAGGCACAGAATTTTCGTTCAAATACTAACTATATGATAGGATAGATGATCCATCGCATCTTCCTACACTGTCCAATTTTGAATCGCTAGCAGCGCGTACAGCCGATGCGCCACTCCCCATACCGAAGACACTCCCGTCCCAGACAGAGCGGCATGACCAACCTCGCTTCTCAGAGTCGTCAGTCTATCCCTATCTAGAGACGAATATTGATTCTTTGGCTATGGAATTCAGCAAAGAGCCAATTCCAGTGAAACGGAGCGATCTTTCAATAGCCAACCACGGACCAGACACCCCATTTCGCAAGTGGGATGTTATACAAAAATATGTCCAAGGTCTTGTTGATAGGAAAGGCTATAGCGACTTTGTTTCTTACGAAACGACAGTGGAAAAAGTGGAAAAAGTCGGCACAGAGTGGAAAGTTATATTGCGGAAAAATGGGAAACACCGCGATTACTGGTGGGTTGAGTGGTTCGATGCCGTCGTGGTCGCCAGTGGACATTTCTGGGTACCTTACATTCCTGCAATAGATGGGTTGGAAGAATTTGAGAAAGCAAGGCCCGGCAGCATAATTCACAGCAAACATTTCCGTGGTCGTAAGCAGTTTGCAAGTAAAGTAAGTTATAAGTCGTCAATAGTGCATATGCTTTCAAGAAGGAATCTAATCTTTTCTCTACGCAGCGCGTCGTGGTGGTTGGAGCATCCGTCTCTGGAGCTGACATTGCCTTTGACCTTGCCAGTATCGCACAAGCCCCTGTCCACGCTGTCACTATTGGACACACAATTAATGGATATTTTGGAGGCGAAGCTTTTAAACATCCCAAAATAAAGAATCATCCTTCAATTGTTAGGGTTGAGGGAAGAACTGTGCATCTGATAGATGGAAATTCTATTACTGACGTTGACTATATAATATTTAGCACAGGCTACAGTTGGTCTCTGCCTTTTCTCCCTGATGTCCCTGTACGGAATAATCGGGTTCCAGATCTCTATCAGCACGTCGTCTGGCAAAAAGACCCGACATTGCTCTTTGTCGGTGCTGTGGCTGCGGGGTTGACATTCAAAGTTTTCGAATGGCAAGCAGTCCTGGCAGCACGCCTTCTTGCTGGTCAAGCTGTGCTCCCATCTGTCGAAGAGATGCGAAAGTGGGAGGCCGAGAGAATCAAAGCACGTGGAGACGGTATGAAATTTACGTTAATTTTTCCAGATTTTGAAGATTACTTTGAAACACTTAGACGGCTGGCTGGAGAAGGCGAGGAAGGAAAAGGACGCAAGCTTCCGCGGTTTCAAAGAGAATGGATAAGAGCTTTTCTTGATGGTCATGAACGTCGCAAAGCTATGTGGAGACGACTCAACGAGAAAGCTCAAATTGAGCTTAACGCGACTCAAGATAATAGACATGATAGAGCACGGCTATAATAACATTAAATATTCAAAGTATTGAACGAATTAGCACTACTTTTGTCTATAGTCTATGATCCGAATACGCGAAGTGCACAAATGTTCTGTCATAATGAAAGTCGAGCATATAGAATTAGGATGATGCTAAATACGTATTCGGATGGTTCAATTAGATCGTTGTAGGAACTGCTGCCTTTGGGCATATATCATTGAGTTACCTAAATGGATGGCGTCGAAATGTATTTTCATTTTGCTGATGAATCATTCGCCGACTCCATAGCTATCTTACGAAAAAAAAAAAAAATACCCTTCTGAATAATGAATCCTTTTTTCTTAATGCCCCACCAATCCCATACAAATGTGTGTCTTGCGAGCGTGGCTTATAATCTATGGGAGTAACTCTAGGGAGTAGCAATTCTTTATTTTAGCCAATATGAATGCATCAGGCCCCAATTGTGTGCTCTTATCGAGATAGATGCTCCTACCTCCACGGCAAAGTGTCCTCATTGCAATTACCGAGCTTACACAGTTTACTAATTGTGTGGTGGAGATAATATCGCATAACGTACGTACGTAAAAGGAAAAGATTATTTCCTACGACGTTTCGAAGCAGTAACTACTCTCTTTTTGCCTAATAGCATGTTCAGAAAGGTAGGATTTGTGCCACATACAGTACAACACAGTCCTCATAGTGTCAGTAAGTACGTCCTCCAAACAAATAAGACTACATCAAAGTGGAACTATTATGCATTAGCGCCGGATAAGTATTGGACGGATGTCGTCGTAGATTGCCGTTTTTGCTGTATCTTGAACCGCCTCCACCCGCTAAACTGCAGGAAGATACCCAAGTCGGATTAGTAACAATTAGACATATATATCTGGTAGACTAAGGTTCATCCCCGAAAGGGAATCAAGATATCTATAGAGCAATGGAATTGGAATGGTATCTAATTAGTATCAGAACTTCTTGGAGGGTGTTGCGTGCCTTCTCTCATTATAAATACCACATCCCCGTCGGTGTTTATTGCGAGTGGGAAGAACGGAGATAAATACACACACATATATTCTTCTTTCCAAGCACATTAAAATGGCCCCTTTCGATCTCACATCTTATAAAGCCCTATCCTTTGATATATATGCAACTCTCATAGATTGGGAGACGGGCATTTTTTCCCAGTTTTTACCATTGCTCAGCAAACTTCCCAAGGGACATTCGCTATGGAACAAAAATTTGGCCGATATCCGAAACTATCTACTTACTCAGTATGCAACTCATGAACATAGGCTGGAAATTCAGCACCCAAATGAAAAATACTCGAAGTTGCTGAGCATGGTGTACGAAAATGTCGCTGCGGATGTGGGAATAGCTGTAACCCCCAGCGAATCAGAGGCATTTGGTGGCGCCATAGGGAAATGGCCAGCATTTGCGGACACAGTAGACGCAATGCAAACATTAGGAAAATATTACAAACTCATTGCATTGAGTAATGTGGACAAGGTGTCGTTTGCAAGCACGCTACGTGGTCCACTTAATGGCGTCCAATTTGATGCTATTTACGTTGCAGAGGACATTGGCACGTACAAACCGAATCCAACCAACTTTAATTATCTTCTAGATCATGCACGCCAGGATTTCGGAATACAAAAAAACGACATATGCCACACAGCGCAGAGTCTAACCTTTGACCACATCCCCATTGCATCGATGGGCTTTCCGCCCGCCGTTTGGATATCTCGTGGAGGTGGGAGCATGGGCATGGGGGATTTAGAAGCGGTGAAGGATAAAGTAAATATTGGAGCTACGTATGCAACGCTAGGAGACATGGTCATAGCTGTAGAAGCAGCCTTTGATAAACTGCAAAATTAAACGGGGTCTATATGCAATAGCCAGATGATATAAAACAAAATTCCACGGCACGATGAATTTCTTTTTCCTCTTCTGAATACTCTCAGTTCACAAAAGCAAAAGGTCGACTCCCAATCGCTGTTGGACTGCTTTCCAGTCTAGTGCAACTTGATCTGGTTCAACGCCTCTCGCAATGGCTTCTTGTGCTCGATCATGCCATATTTGGCGAATAACAGTCCCAGCCACTAGGCGGTTTGGGATTCCTAGCTGGCTTGATACCGATAGCCATCGTTCAACCATTTGCTGGTCTGCTTCATCGGTAGCCTCTGTAGCAGCGATAAAGACGGGCCACATCGATATTGCACCTCCTCGAATGTGGATAAATGTCATGGCATCCGCCAAGACAGATCTGACATATCTGCTGACACCACGAGGAGGAACTTTGAGAATGGCTTGATATAAATAAATCAGCGCCGCCGTACGGAAGAGGCGAAGATGAAGGCAGTCCAAAAATCTAAACTGCTCTGTTCTGGGCAATAACTTCACAACGCTCTCCCGTTCTGGGATATCCAGATCAATTCCGCACTTTGTGTGATTTTCAGGTAATAATTCCGCTACATAGCCCTGAATTATTAGACAGAGATTGTCGGGTACATCGCCGCGCGCAATGCGTTCCATGAAGAGCCTGGTTGATGAAATTATTCGTAAAACGTCGCAGCTGGCACCGATTGTATACCCAAAGTTTCGGCGGGAAGCAACGCCTTCGAAAAGAATATCGGTGATCGGAGAGCTATTATGAGGCTTTGTGTTTCCTGTTTGCGAAATTTCGAATGAAAGGGCGATGCTTTGAGATATTACCCAAGAGTGTGTGGACTGAATCCAAGGCTTTTGCTGAACAAACTGAGTTACAAAACTTCCAGCTCCGTTAAAATGACTCCTCCAAGCGACCGAATCTCTTGCTTGACCCTGGTTTGGTAAGCGGGAAGCAAAGTATTTGGAAACCACACACCCAGATATGTATACTCACCTCAGAGATCATTAATGTATATAGAGTAGCAGCGCAGGCATTATATTCCGCTTCTTTCGTATAACTCAATGTTTGGCTTAGCTCTCTCAATGAAGCGCCATAATGCTGCAGTGCGATTGACTCGTTTTGACGGTATATCTCTTGACTTTCTTTGTATAAATTGGCCATGTTAAATGCAGACTGAGCAATAATCGCATGGTACAAAGCTCGTGAGGCAGCAGATGAATCTTGTAGTGCTGTCGACGGGTAAACAGACTTCCAAGGATTATTCGTGTTGTCCACTGGAATCATGATAGGAGCTATCCATGTTACGTAGTGATGAAATATCGTGGCTTCATCTCTTGACGTTGATAACCAATCATATATAGTTGGTGTTAGGGGTCGTAGTAGAGAGCAAGAGGCTTCAATGTATGACAGCGGGGGACTCTTTGGCTGAGATAAACCAGCTAGAGACTCAATATTTTGCAAATCTAATGCTGATTTGTTTGCAGGAGCATCATCCGAGACTGAGTGGTCAATCCGCTGTGTTGAATGGAATACTGTGAATGGATTTAAAGGCGGCGAGTGCTCCGCAACCGGAAAGTCCATGCTATCCATTCCGTCGATCAGTCGCTGAAGGTGATCCTCGCTAAAAGCTGGCCAGCCACGCCATGTTTGCTCAAAGTTCATGCTCCTTCGAAAAAATGGAGGATAAGTGCCAGTCTTTGGGTCTACCCAAACGAGCTGGATGCTATACCCTTCACACTCAAGCCTGCATTTCTTGCACTGGTTGCACGGTAGACCTACACCGTTGCACTTGACGCGCCGTCGGCGACAAGTCCAACAAGCGGAAAAAGACCTTGTGACTTGCTTGCGAGTACGAGGCATCGTGTGTACAAGCCGGTGACGCTTTCTCAAGATATATATTTCTCACAATCTCAACGAGGGCGAAGCTGTGGGAATACACGAGGATTGGCCCTTCAGAGAGGAAAAAATGGTTGAATGATAGCATCTAACAGAGTGTGGGTCCCGTGAACCCCGCGGGGAATTTTCATCGAATGCCTGAGCTTCCCTCGCGATTCTTTGGTGCCCAGTGCATGGGCGAAAGACATACAGTGCTTGAAGTTGTCACGTCAAGGAGTCATATCACCGGCATAGCGGGGACACCAAAGGTGACTAGCCTTGAAAGCAGCATACAGTGCGCCTTCTTACACGCAAGATGTTACGATATTAAAATATTATACGGTGCTCCTATATTAACTTCATAATTACAAATTAAGCTTATTGTACTTATCATGCATTAATTTGTCTTCTAATGCTGAACATATTAAAGCACTATCGCCCCTTGCATAGATGGCCATGGATAATACCTTATTTCATGCAGAATTTAGGATACCCGAATAGGAGAGAGATTTTCAAAGTAAGAGTAGTGCTGTGAGTTAACACCATTCCATGCAGCCCTTGTTCCAAACATAACAAACGTATTCCATTGGATATTCTGGAAGGCAGGTGGTGCATAAAGTGTTGGCCAATCCCAAGATCCAATTGGCTGGCAGATGTTGCAATAGACGCAGCTTTGCCTCTGAGACGTATAGGGTAGATTTGCAACAAGAAGATAGGTAAAAACAATGATTGCAGCCTTAGCAAACTTGAAATCGTCACTCATTGTCCATATAATGAAGCTCAATCCGTAGAATCCACCATGGACATAATGTCCCTATCGGACCATGACACCAGCAGTCGAGTACAGCCAGATCATCATGAAAAATACTCCTCCAGACAGCGCAGGGCGTCGGCCAATACGGTCGACAAAAGAAAATAGCTCGTAGTGTAAGGAGTACATTGGTGATGTACTGAACACGCGATGCAATGAGTTTGACATTGCCTACAAGGCCAGCAATCTGGTAATTGTGCACAATGTTGTACAACAGAGCATTATTGCCGCTTAATTGAACCCAGATATTGAACGAAAATCCCGTTCGAGGTACGATGTAATTTGTCGCGATGGATCAACTCTATCCACTTTTACCTTAGCATAACAAGAACAGGGAATATCTACACTGCCACATGGTACTCGCAATACAACATATATCTTGCTGTAGGACGCCCCGAAGGTAATGTAGTATATAACTAGGCCCTATGTAGGACATATTAAGCACGGGGGATAGTTATATAGTGCTCAATGCGCCTAAATCCCCCCCTTTAGTAATGCTCCACTGCTGAAAACTAAGAACACGGCACCTGATTTCGGGGCGCGACAGCTCCACAAGATACAGTGGCGCTGTGGAAGTGGACAGTCCTACACTTATGTCAGTGTTTGGTGCTTCCTATGTAGGGTTGTCAACAGTAGGTATTATCTTGTAGGGCCTGGCTTACCAACCGCTCCACCACACAGTAGTCTGCCAACGATTAACATTGCAATGTGAACACTAGCTATACTTTACATATTATTGAGCAAAGCTGCGAAGCAGATTTGCGAAGGTACCAACCGGAGAAGAGATGCTTCCAGCTTTGCTCTTATTAATAGGACAAAATGCCAACGCTAAATCGAGCTTAAAAAAAAAACTCAACTAGCAATTAATCGGGCAGAAAAATTCACCGCTCTTATAAAGTAAAAAGAACCTGTTTTTTTAGTGTTTTCTTATAATTGTCGATACCAAAAAAATTGGAGTGATCTTGTCTTTTTTTATTCTAGGGAGGAAAAGGGAATTCTGGGGGACGCAGGACATGTCTTTTCTTCTTCTTTTTTCTTTTTGGTGCTTAAATAAGAAACACATATAATCAACTTCAACTAAAGGCTAGGTACAAGTGATTTAAATACCGAGTATCACGCCCGTACTCGGCCCCTTGATTATACTGCGCCAATGTACCTCAACGTCTTAAGATGTTGAAATGTCAGTATCAATCAATGGCAATAGCAAAAAAAAAAGAGGACGCAAGTATAGTAATCAATCTCTCTATTCTTTTTATATAGCCTAAATCTCCCTTCCTTGACGCTTATACTTAACCACCTATTATGGTTAGCAGTATCATATTTGTGTGACGTCTAGTTAGACTTGTTCTTTGAAGCCTTCGCCTTAGCAGCTTTCTCTTTGGCAGCAATTTGAGCTTCAGTATGATGGGGTTCACGCTTATCAGCCCAAGAACCGAACTCATCATCTGCAGGAACCTCATCACGAGCCTGGTTCTTCTTTCCACCTTTCTTTCCGCCCTTCTTCTTGGCGGCGGCCTCCTTGGCAGCAATCTGTGCCTCGGTGTGATGGGGCTCGCGCTTATCAGCCCAAGAGCCGAATTCATCATCAGGAGGAACTTCACTTGCTTCGCGGGCTTGGTTCTTCTTTCCACCCTTGTTCTTTCCACCCTTCTTCTTGGCAGCAGCTTCTTTAGCAGCAATTTGCGCCTCAGTGTGATGGGGCTCGCGCTTATCAGCCCAAGAGCCGAATTCATCATCAGGAGGAACTTCACTTGCTTCGCGGGCTTGGTTCTTCTTTCCACCTTTCTTTCCGCCCTTCTTCTTGGCGGCGGCCTCCTTGGCAGCAATCTGCGCCTCGGTGTGATGGCGAACCTCGAGCCCTGCAATCATAGAGCGCACGAACTTGGTAGCCAGAGTTGCACCGGAGCCCTAATGAACCTATTTAGTTTGGTTGGAATAATAGATATAATGAAAACTACTTACGATGTATCGTCGTTCCATGTCTGTAGATCCTGGCGCCAAGTGGCCGGAAGCAATAGGGGCCAAGCCAAACATGGCAAAAACCAGGGCATTAGTAAGTGAAGAGGGACGCATGGTGAATAAGAAGTGGAGGATAATTCAAAATGGAAACGAATTGTAAGACAAGATGCAAAAAAAAGAAAAAAGCAAAAAGAGAGAGAGAGAGAGAACTGATTCAAAGAAGACTGTCCAGCAGCCAGGAAAGTGAAAGAAAGAAGAATGAAATGAAGAATGAGATACTGGATGCGAACCGGATTGCGAGGAATAGATGAATTGCAGGTGCTTTTATAATACTTGAGGAATATCGACCTATCTGCAGACGCTCTAGGAATAGGCGAACTAGCCCCACACCTCGGCTCAGGATATTATCAGAAACTTGGTTGAAACGGAAAGCCCATTAACTGTTTTCCAAAAATTCAAATGCGAGCGCTAATTGAAACCGACTATCAGTCTTGCTCCGAAACTTTTAGATAGTCCTAGGCCAAGGTTGTAGGCATGCTATGGCAAAGCTCCAGTTTTAAGTTGGGGTTGCGCTAGGCGTACTAGGAAGTTACAGCCGTGCATCACAAGCTGTGAAACTGCCGTATTCTAGACAGTAACGAAATACGAGCGATAATTCGGCTAGCGGTTTGAGAAGACGGTTGATCATTCTTTGGAAATGACTACCTAGTATCTAGCTTTCACACTTATAATTGAGATGAATTGATACTTACCATGAAAATACTCAAGCCTGTATCGCTAAAGTCCCCTTTACCCCTGCGTCACGTAACCAGCCTCCTAGGCTTAATAACGGCGTAGTCTTGGTACTCATTTATGAATTGAACAAAGTCAAATTCTCCAGTTGCGCATGGTACAATATATCCTTCTCTTTGTATTCATTCAGAACCTATAGGCAACTCTATTTACAACTCTCTTTCGTTTGCATTATCATGGCTTTCGAGTATCGATCTCTTGAAGTGGCTTTGCCTGGCGAGAAACCTACCCGTCTGTCATCTGAATCATCATCGACCTTGCAAGCAATCGACGATCTAGACTATCTATCTCACGATTCGGAGCTATGCTACCAATATTCCTTCTGTGAAACAGCTTCCAGATGGGTGAAGTCTAAATGGCTATGGGCCGTTCATGCAGCTTTGCTGTTTACCTCATGTGGAATGCTCGTCATGACTATGATCATGAGATCATCAACTCTATATCATATTCGACAAGTTTCAGCCTGGTGTAGGTCATTAACGTAACCTGATAAGACATTTCAAAGCAGCTGACAATATATACAGCACCTGCCGATGTTTCCGTCCAATACAGTCATGTTCGATATAACATTACGACTAAAGGTAATCCCTTTGTTGGCGCTGGGCCTGAAGTAGATAAAGCTTGGAGAGAAATTTCATATGACAGTAAGTGCGCGATCAGTCACTCAGTTCATAAACAAACCTGACAATTGCATGAAAGTGGGCGACCAATGGATACCAAAACACGACATCTCGAAGTTGGATATGCCAGAGACTTCGCTTAAGGTCAACCATCCTATCACTGGAGAGGAGGGCTATAGAGTTGGTATGGAAGTTTTTCATCACTTGCACTGCTTAAACCTTCTGCGCCGCGTGACCTACAAGGATTACTATGAACCACTTGGTGGAGAGTTTGGCCATGGCCCAGAAGCCCTTCAAGCACATACAGGTATGTACATTGCTAATTTTGTCACAAGAAAAAGAAAGAAATATTGGATATGTTTGGCTTATAGATTTATAGATCACTGTATTGAAGTACTGCGTCAAAATATTCAGTGCAACGCAGACATCGGCTTGTTCACTTTCTATATGATCCCGGATGACCCTCTCGCTTGGCCTGAACTAAATTCGAAGCACGTTTGTCGGAATTTTGACAACGTACGCAGGTGGGCATTGGACCACTCCGTAGGAAACATGGAGGTGCTCGAGCAATAGGTGTGATTTTTTTTCTTCTCTTATGCTTTGTACAGATCGTATGCAAATAGCCTGATTTTACGTTAATGATATACTATTTTTTTTTTTTTTTTTTTTTTTCATCCTTACGCGTGCACATCGCACTTGCCTTTATATTATTCTTGCTAGCTCCTAATGCTATTTGCAGAGCATCTGTTTTGACGACAAATTTTGTATTCCACTCGAACTTTTCGTAATCGTTAGGATAGCAGCCTAAGAATTCTCCGAGGTAGACGTTCATCTATCAGGCGAAGAATCTCAAGGAAGCTAAATCTCCTCACCTGAAGCTCGCTTGGTAACCGAGCTAAAGTTCACGATTAAGGTGGACTAGCAATCCACTCCCCACTAACCTGCAGCAGTTGTCAACTGGAGATGTGGGGCCTCGTCTTAATGGTTTTATGGTTAGCACACGGTTGCCACTATCTTGAAACCTATGTAGTTCGGTGTTGAGTCAGCTAAAGGCCCCGTGAGGAGCGTTGCATCGACCCCTTTCGTGCAGAGTTGAAACAGAAACTACTTAGCTTGCCTACCAAACATTAGTTTGACTAATGCTATAGCCAGGCACGAGTCTTCGCTCTTCGCGAATAAGGGATAATTTCGTCATATTGTACCTCTTTCAAAATGGATTCTTGTCGCATCAAACGTTGAAAGTTCGAGCTACGGGTTAAAGGGGGGGAGGGGGAGACTATCAAACCCTACATAGCTCACTTTTGTCTGGCATGCGACTCTTCCTTCTTCTCACGCCTCCTGACAAAATTGCCTATCTTCTGCTGGTTCAGAGGAAATTCTACTTTGTTTTCTTCTTCTATTCTTGTTTTTATTATCGTGTGGCTTACTTTTTAACACATTATAATCATTTACTCTAATCATCATTCATCTAATATGGCATTCTCTCAAAAATACTCAAAACTCAAAGGAGGCCACGGTTTTCAAGAGGGTGAAGATGTTGACTTGGAAGATAATGCATCTGACGTAACTAAATTTTCCTCGACCGTTGAAACGTTGGACAAAGCAGAGCTTCTGCCTTATCGAGATGATACAAGTGAATCGACATCATGTTCTCCAGCACAGCAACTGAGAGGGAACCGATTCAATATGCCCTCCATTTTTTGGACATGGCTACGATGGGCAGTGATTGTTATATTACAGACTACTCTTATTATAATGATCTTCTTAAAACACGACAACAACAGACAGCCAACCAACGATCTTCAACAGATTAGCGGTAGCGATCAATTTATTGAGACAGGCGGCGACATTAATGGACTCTACAAGGCTTGTACGCACCACTGATTCTGCTTTTATTTACCACCTGAAGGTTCTTTGTCTAACCTAACTATTCAATAGTATCGCACACGTACACATTCCTTAAGCCCGAAGAAGACAAATATGTTCCTAACATGACATCTAATGATAATCGAATGGAGGTCCGAAAAAACTGGGATATGTTAATGCCGCGTACGTGGCAACCACCTCGTTTTTCGTACTATAAGAAATTATACTAACAATTGTTCTAGTTGGAAGTGGAAGTGTTTTAATTCCTGATTATTTGGATCACCCTTTGCTTGGAAAACCTATTACCGACGACCCCATTCGTTCAGGACCGTTGTTTGAGGCGTCATGGACACATGCGCTACACTGCGTGAGCAATTACACTACATAACATCCCTCATTAGCTCTATATCACTAACCAACGTTTTTAACATCTTCAAGTTATACTACAGTGTAGACAGTTATCACCAATTGATACTTAATGGACCCAGTGAAGACGACAACCCAAAGCATGCAGCCCATTGTTTCGAGTATCTTCGGAACAGCATTCTCTGCAACCTTGACATGACTCTAGAGGGATCTATGTCAACGCCAGATGATAAAGAAAGAGGACAACCTCATGTTTGCCGCAATCGACAAGAAGCTATCTCTTGGATTGAAGCTCGAAGAATGGACGATGCAAAAGATATTGTTGGCCCTTAAAAGGTGTGGCCTAATGTTATATATATTTTAACCACAGTATATACTGCTATGTTTCTGTTATTTATTCTATAGAGTGTGGATTTAGAGTACCTTCATTCAGTTGATTAGCTTCTCGCTCTGCTTGTTGGCTCGACTGTGTTTTTTAATACTCTAGGCTCAAAATTTGGGGCAATTCAGATAGGATCACCTCATACTCGAATAGCAAAGTATATACTATGTATAATTGGCGCACAAATAATTGGCGCACAAATGTAGGTATATACTTTTATTACATACATAAAAGTTTTGGCAAAAAAAATTATAAGACTACCGTATAGGTAATAGTAAATAAGGACTGTATTATAGCATGGCGCTATACCATAGTAGATAAATGCTGTATTATACTATATATACAGTGCTTTTAAGCGCTGTAATATAGTGAATACGCGCTGTAATATAGTGCCTGGTCTAAGTTATAAGTCGGCTTCCATCAACTACGCTATATTGACGGAAAGGCCGCGTGGGTCGTGTTTATTACGCTTCCATTTTTTGCTCTGTGGATGTAACAGCTGACTCTTCTTTGACGGACTTGGGCCTGCGATTGAAGGGGGCTTTGTGTAGTATCTTGGATGGGGTTGGATCTACAAATTTTCTCATTTTGGACGTTCGTGATGAATTCTCTGGCATCAAAAGAGACAAATATCGATATCATCATTTACGCTGGTTCTTTTGTACTGCATGACTCCCGCCAAGCTTGGGATAATCAGGCAGAATTTTGGGCGGTGCCGACTGTAAAACAGCCTTTCGGGAATTTGATTGGATAAGATCAGCATGTCTAAGGAGTAAAAGAAGCACTTATTTTAACATGATTTCAGTCTAACATCCTAGGCTTAGATGTTTCTTCATCTGCTTGTTTGTTTTTACGTTCGGTGGAAACATTTATCCCTTCACTCATTTATCTTATGTATATAGCGTTGAGTAGGTCAGCCGAATGGGAATGTACTGGGGCCCTTTTAAGCAGAATGATAGTTCACGTAGGACTACCTACCACGCTTAGTCATGCACCAACATCAACGACTACCTAGCAAACTCGGTAGTTTGCGCCCGTTCCGCTACGTTCAGGAGATATTGTTGAATTCTACCACGTTCGCTTGGCCAGTGCACAAGCAAAGCTACGCCGGCACTTGTCAACTATTATTTCCATCTTACTCCCAAATTCAGCTCATTTTCATGCCTTGGGCTTCATTATCTATTTTTGTCTATATAAATCTGAATATAACTATGTACCAGTTGGTAGCTGCGACGGCCTTGTGCCGATTTACCGTAGCTCGTTACCCCATAAGACGTAAGCAACAACATATTCGGGCCGTTTTTTAATCTATGCGAAAAGAAGTACCTTTACATAAGATATTCCATTATTCTATCGTAAGTAAATATGTGGCTAAAAAACTCCATCACACAAGTTCTTCATGTTCTTTCGCTCTTCACCTCCTCTTCTGTGATATATCTTGATGCAAAATTGTCGACTGCATTTCGAGTTTTTATGATTCGCTTTTGCAGTAATTTTTATTTATCTCCCCCCCGCCCCCTCTCTTTCTGATGCATCTAGCTAAAGGATAACCTCCTGTATCAAGTCTCTTAGCTCAAGAGCATGCTAGCTATTTTATAAGGCAGAATTGGATTTGGCTTTATATATATATATATTTCCTATCAGCGGCTATGGGGATCAGTTGTGTCTCTAAAGTATCAATTGCATTTCTGTTGAAAGTAATACTTGTTTACTTTATTAGTTAGGGTATATAAATCGACACAGAGAGTCATTATAAAACCTGTAGTCATAGAAATAGGGGATAGTTTGCCCTCTTTACTGAACGTTTCCCAATGTGTCAGGAGTTAGACTTCAAAATCGCCCAATGATGTCGGGTAGTAGAGTATTAAGAGCAAATATGCCATACCTTTCTCAACTAAACACGGACCGGCTGTCGGCGAAGCGCTACCGGTAAAGCTGCCTATGGTAATTACTCTATATCAGAAATATTGGCTGGGGAAAAGAGGTACATATGGATAATTCCGCCATGACTTTAGATCTAGTGTAGGAATGTCCAATCCAAGTTTGAGGAGCCTCTCTATCAAAAGTTTAGACTGCTGACCCAACGCATTACGTTTAGAACATTGCAAGAAAGCAGATATAGGTGTTTCTAAAAAGTACGTAGCAGAACTCAAAAGGAAGGATCTTAATCCAATGGCCAACTCTTAGTTTTTAAACAAAACGCTGTGAAGTTCTTGGGATCTGATGACACCGTAAAGACGGCCCTTTTTTTGATGCGGACCATCGCATTCAGCCTACAATAATGCTGTAGAAGGCTTGTACTAGGGGGAAAAACGCCCATAGGCCGATAGCGCGTATTAGCGTAAGTAGGCGTGTTAGCTCCGGTGCAATATCCCCTGTATAGGAAAAACAGTACCTACCAACCCTCTACATTTAAGCACTGCTCTAGGTACCCTGTGCTCAATTCCCTTTTACATCATTATTGATTGGCTCTAGGTCGGGTCTACCTCGGCGGTGCTTTGTGAGCCCGAATGACTATTCACTGCTGAATGGATCTTTTGCTGTTGGATTATATGTTCTTTCCCTAATTTTCGTCCCATTGGCTATTTGTTCTCCATCATTCATGTCACGGGATATGCTAGGGCATTTTTTTTTTGGAAGGAATACCCCGAAAATACGCCATTGCTCTCTTTACTAGGCTATAAGTAACCACTGAGTACACTGATCAGATAGCAAACCATAATTATAAAGGCGTTCTGCAACCTAGTAGACTAGCGGGCCACTTGGGGCAGCCTGGAGCATATATCGGTCTTATCAATCACTCACAATTCTCAGTTCAACGAAACAGACCTTATGATGAGATAGATAAAAAAAAAGAAACTGCCTGAAAAATATTATTTTGTTTATAAAATGGGCAGCCCTAGCTGGGTGATACCGGTTGCTGCGCTTAGCACTATCTGCGGCGTTGGATTTATAGGCATTTGGTTTTGGTAAGTACCTTATACGACTAACTTCCAACGCATTGATGCCTTGTAATATTGACTTAACAGGTTTCCACGAATGCTGAAAAAGGGTACACAGCAAGAGCTTCAAGTTTTAGCGGCAGAGCGAGCTGAAAGAGACCGATACATGCAACAGAAGAATGCAGAAGAAGGCAAAATTGTACAGGAAACGCAAGTTACATCGGTACCAAAGGAGTTGCCTCAGGCGGCTTAACATGCCTCAAGATACGACTGGCAGCAAGGTCTTTACCATGATATTGATCACGAATTGAATACTCGCACTCCGGATGATGTCACATACGAACCAATAGGAGGAGGGTATAAATTGAACACTAGCACTAATTTAATGCTATATATTATATCGCCTGACCACTTCGTATGCTCGCGCGCGATATATTATTAGCCACTACGACGCATTTATCTAACAAGATAGTCAAACTGTCTAATAGCTGGATCATCTATGGGTATCTTTAAACCGCTGCCTTTTAAAAGATCCTATTTGCCACTCGCCACCCCGATCATACTTTCCCGATCATACTTTAGTGCGATTTTCAGAGGAGCTTTAGATCGAGCACGTTTTTGCAAAATCAGCGGTAGATACACAATGTCGATATAGTTTACCTGCCGACTTGGGAATCTTTTGTATGTCGCACATGTCCCCATGCAATGTCGGAATCATATATCTGCATGCTGGATTTTTGAAATATTTGCTGCGTTCATAAACTTCCTTCCTCTTCTTTGTACACTCAATATGTTATTTTGGCTTTCAATCATTGTTGCCTATCCTGCATAATGATAAAAGACTCGGAGTTCAATGCCAGATATATATAAATATATGATATTTGTTTCATGTTATCAGCACTGAAATTAACATTTACAAACTTGAGGCTGTGTTAATGGTTATAGAAGCAACTTAATGGAAGTGTACAACGCATACGAATTGCAAAAAATAGATATATGCATCTACTAACGCTAACCTATTACCTTTACATCTTGATAACTCTGAACTAGTAGAGCCAGATATACTATATCTTCAGTTTGCTATCGAATATACCCTTTAGTGGCTGTTCGTGGGAGTGAGCTTGGCGGAACGGCAATGATGAGACTAGTCGAGGCTATGCAGTCATAAAGATATGATCTAACATTAAATGCCTGTATTTTATCCAAGATTGTACATTTCAGATGTTGATGGATGAAATTTGAAATAGTTGTCGTTGTCGCCCTGCATGGCAAAACATCGTATATATTCGATGATGCCGCTACCCACGGCATAGTCTAACAATGTGTTGATTTTCTTTTTCTTTTTTTAGCCACGATTAGCTCAAGGACAAATTTGGGCTATGGGGCGCACGAGGATGTAATGCGGCGGGGTGTATTGCGCAGTCATGCTTTGCCTTGAGCAAATGTGAGGGTATCTATGCTTATTTGATCTAGTTCCCTTCTACGCGGACATTCAACGGTGAGAATGAATGTTATTGATCCATTAGTCTCTTCTCGAGAATTGTACTATTCCTGTTGTACTGTGCGCCGTAGTATTCCTGCATCTGGTGATCTCGACCCGCTGTCTTACATGGATGGACCTGTGCAAGGAAACGCTGATATAAGATTGATGGTAACTTACTAATACAGGATGCAAATAACCAAGTGTGCTTTTACCCGCTTCGAGTCGTTCTTCGTTGATCAGTGGTTATCACTGATACAAACAAAGGTGATGAGAGAGAAGTCCCTCCTATTAGCTGCCATTTGCCTCCTGTGAAGACCACTTGCCGATCTCCAACAGCAGCAACGTCTGGATATCCACGACCTCCATGGTGGTAAACGCCGCTAGTGACGGATGAATAGTTTCCATTGATGCCGAAATTATTATTGTCACTAAAGGGCAGTGAAGACTCAATTTGATCAAAGTATGCCGTAACGGCTTGTTGTTGGTAGCCGGGGGTCCCAAATATTTGACTGAAGCCGCCGCCGCTTGCAAACTCAGTTGTCGCAACTTCATTAATTTTCTCGTACGGTGCTTCAGGTCTTGTTGCATTGGTGAAGCGATCCCATTGAGTGCTCCCGACCGCTAAAACGTACGGGCAAGAAGCTGCTGAACGTGGAGAGAATATTTGCTCCTCAGCACCGCCACACTGACTTTGTTGATCTACCCCGACATCTCCAGAAGAGGTAACGATGGTTGTCCCCTGTAACGCTAACTTCATCCATTCATTTCATTCTCGTTTAAAATATGAGTCTGGAAGTTCCCTGTCCACCTGGTGATGTGATACGAAATGGAGATTACATTGGTTGGCCTATAAATACCACACTGTTTGGAACCTCTCTTTTAGGTATATTAAAGACAGTATCATCCCGAGAAACTGGACCGGCAATACTGTCTGCAAGAAATATTACTACCGCAGCGATAGGGAAGTTTTTAGGCAGCATGTTCAATTACAGTTTTGGTTGTAATATTGATAAATGGCTGTACGATAGAAAAATCCGCAGAACTCAAGGGAAAGAAGTGCTCCTATAATATGTATTAAAGAATTAACTCTACTTGGTTATGATTATACACACAATATATGGCGTGCTGATTGTGAAGCCCGCGTCGAAATCTGAAAAGGGCAGGTAGTCATAAAGCTGATTAGGCTAGAAATTTTAAAATAACGCAATTTTATCAACTGTTGGGCATGAGATAGGTTGAATTGACAATAGCATAATATGTCAGGACTATTCACCACAAGTAGAATAGTCTGTAGACTTACTTATATATTTGTTAATATATTTTATGTTACACGGAAGTCATTGATGTAGCGTTAATAAATATATTTTATCCAATGAATTTTGAAGCCAATGCGAGTTCACAATACATTTCACAGTCCATATTAAAAGGACTGGCAATTTAATAGCTATAATTTCGAACTTGCTTAGAAACAATACTTTTCGCTTTAATACTGTCGTTAACCTGGTAGATTGCAATGACGAAGATGACTAAATGAATACAATTATAAGTCATAAACCACATATATGTCTTGAGTTATATATAAGCGTACAAATTTCAAGTTTAAATTGCTTGATTGTAGCATGTTTTTATGACTTATTGTGTAATCAATACATTTATTCCTGATAGATAACCCAGGTCTATGTGTATGTATATAACCCTTTATCCAGAAAGGGATTGTAATTACTTCTGTTTTTGTCTACTATCTTTCTGCTGCTATGGATACCTAACTGCAGTGTATAAAGAGACTGTTTCATGACCTGGCATATATGCGAAATGTGTTACACTCAGATGTATATTGTGTTGTATAAGAACTAGGGTTCTAACTACTGTAGGTATCTAGTACATGACTTAAATAGTAATATCCACTAGGCACCCTGTCTTATAACTTAATTATATTATAGAAATCTAGTACCTCTCCTTAAGCTGGTTATAAAGAGGTACCCTATAGTTTTATTTCTGCTACCTTTATTAAAAACCTAGTAAAAAAAAAATAATAGTTACTATTATTAAATAATAATCTTTAATATAGGTTAATTAATTTATTAATATATTAATTTATATATTTTAATTTTTTTAATTTATTTTTTAAAAAAATCTTAAAATAAAGCTTTAATTTTTAAATTTATAAAATTCCTTTTTTTAAATATTTAATTAATAGCTATAATATTATTATTTATTAATTTTTTAATTTTATAATATTAAACCTTTATATACTTAATTTATTTATAATGCTTAATTTCCTTTATTATAATTATTAACTTATTATTATTAATATATAGTTAAATAATACTTAAGTTAATATATAGCTTTTTTATTAAGCCTTATAGGTATATAGCCTTTAGGCTATTAGCTACTAAAGTAATATATTTTAATTTTATATTAAAGGTTATTATAATACTTTATTTAATGCTTTTTTAGCTAATAATATTATTAGCTAAAAAAAAAATATAATACTATATTAATTTTAAATTAAAGGTATTTTTAGCTTATTTTATATTATTATATTTAATTAATTTAAGCCTTTTTTAACTTTTATAAATTAAAGTAAGCTTTAAGCTATATATTATATATTTTAATATTTATTTTATAATTAAAAAGTATATTATTATAAAGTTAATTATAAATTTATTAAGCTTAACTATAAAATAAGCTAAGTTAATTTTTATATAAATTATTATAAATATTAATACTTTAATAATATATTAATAAAGCTTTTTTTAATTTAAATTTTTTAAATCTTTAAACTTTACTAAAATAAGCTTTTTATTTATATCTATAGAGGTTTACTAAAGCTTAATATTTTATAGTTTTAAATATTTAAGTAATTTTTTTAAATAAATTTATTATAAAAGTTAAAGTTATTATTATTTATAGTTTTAAGTAATTTAAATTTTTAAAAAGTAATATATAAGCCTTAGATTATTTATTTAAAAATAACTTTTTAATTAATCTTTAACCTTATATATTACTTTAATATTTATACTAAAGAAAAATAAGTTATTAATATAGACCTTTATAATAACTCTTTTTTTTTTATTTATAAAAATAGCTTTATTATATTAAAAAACTATAAAGTTAAATTTTATTAATGCTTTAGTAAGTATTTTATATTAAACTTTTAATACTTACTTTAGATTATAAAATATCTTTTATAAGCAATAAACTTTATAATTATTATTAAAATTAATAGAAAATTTAATATAAATTAATTTATTAACTTTATTATAAAAAAAAGCTATTTTAATATTTATTTATTTAATTTTTTAATTTAATATTATTATAATTATAAATAGCAGCCTATAGGTTTTCTGCTTAATTACTATAGTAAAGGTTTTATTATAGTTAATACTATATTTTTATTTAAAGCTATAGATAATTTAATAAGCTTTATAATACTTAATTTAACTATTAGCATTAAATTTAATTTTATATATTTATTTATTAATTAATATATTCTATATTTATAAATAATTAATTAATTTTTATATATTATTTTTTATTAAAGAATTATATTTATTTTATATTATAGTTTATTATTATTTTTATTATAATAATTATTAAGCTTTTTTATAATTTAATAAATTAATATCTTTTAAAGCTATATTAATAATTATAGTAAAAGTTTTAATTATTATAAAAATATTATATAGCCTTAAGGGTAATTTATTTATAATTTTTTATAAAAACTATTATTTATTTTAATTTAATTTATTATATTAAAAAGAATATTTTTTTTTAAGCATTACCTTATAGGCTATAATAAAATCTTTTTATATAATTTAAAGTAGCTTTTTAAATAAGTATTTTAAAGCTTTTATTATTTATAGTATAAACTATAATTTTATATTACTTTAATATTTATTTTTTTTTTTAAGCTAGGCTATAAGTTTTTTAAATATTAAAGGCTTTTTTAATTTAAAAAATTAAAATTTCTTAAGTTAATATATTAATAAAATTTCTTTTACTATAGGCAAGGCTAATAGGTTTATACTTTTTATAAAAAGCTTATAGTCTATCTTTAAGTTAATCTTTATTTTTTTATTAAATATTACTTCTTTAGCTTATTTAACTTAATTAATAATAAAATTCTATAGATAATAAATAATATTAGCTTTATAGCTAATTAAAAAGTAAAGTTATATATAGTTATCTAGCTTTTTAAAGAACTTAAGCTTAAAGATAAGTTTATAGGCCCTGCAGCTTAAGTATTTAAAGTATAAAATATTAGGCTTAATTTTAATTTAAGCTTTATATAGTATTATATTACCTAAAGCACTATATAAGCTTTTTTTTTAAATATATACTATACTTTATAGGATTTTTTTTTATAGTTCTTTAGGTAATTAATTATTAAAGAAAATAATTTTTATTTTATTTTATATTATTTAATATATTTTTTTTATTAAATTTTATAATAATATATAAAGTATAGTTTATTTAAAATAAATTTCTTTTTATAAAAAGAAATTAAATATAATTATATTTTTAAATTTATTTTTATTATTTATTTAATAAAATTAAATTTTTAAATTAATTTAAGCCTTTAAGTAAGCAATATTTATTTAAATATATATAGCTGCCTAGCTTTTTTTTTTTAATAAATAAAAATAAGGTTTTTTAATTAAATTATTAATTATTAATAAATAGTAATATTTACTTTAAAGTATTAATAGTTTAATAAGTCTGCTTAAATTTATTATTTATTTTTAGCCTTTAATAAATACTTTATATAATATAGCTTATATATTTTTTACCTTACCTTTATTAATAATATAGGCTTTATATAGTCTAGGAGTTTTATTAATAAGTTTTATTTTAATTAAATTTATTAACTTAATATAATTTTAATAATTTAAATAGTTTATTTACTGGTATAGGGTAAGTAAAAGCAGTATTTTTATAGTATTATTTATAAAGTAAGTTATTAAATTATTAAAGTTATTAAATATTTTTTATTTAAATATACTTTTTATATATAAGTAATTTAAGTAATTAAACCTTTTATAGATTATACCTTAAAGAATAAAATAATTTTTATATATAATAATAATTTATTATTTATTTTAATAATACTTAAAGTAATTATATTTTATAAA